ATATCTGGGAAGGGAATATCTGGGAATATCTGGGAAGGGAATATCTGGGAATATCTGGGAGGGAATATCTGGGAGGGAATATCTGGGAAGGGAATATCTGTGAGGGAATATCTGGGAGGGAATATCTGGGAAGGGAATATCTGGGAAGGGAATATCTGGGAATATCTGGGAGGGAATATCTGGGAGGGAATATCTGGGAGGGAATATCTGGGAGGGAATATCTGGGGAGGGAATATCTGGGAGGGAATATCTGGGGAAGAAATATCTGGGAATATCTGGGAGGGAATATCTGGGAGGGAATATCTGGGAGGGAATAACTGGGAAGGGAATATCTGGGTGGGAATATCTGGGAGGGAATATCTGGGAGGGAATATCTGGGAGGAAATATCTGGGGAGGGAATATCTGGGAGGGAATATCTGGGAAGGGAATATCTGGGAAGGGAATATCTGGGAGGGAATATCTGGGAATATTTGGGAAGGGAATATTTGGGAAGGGAATATCTGGGAAGGAATATCTGGGAGGGAATATCTGGGAGGGAATATCTGGGAGGGAATATCTGGGAGGGAATATCTGGGAGGGAATATTTGGGAAGGGAATATCTGGGGAGGGAATATCTGGGGAGGGAATATCTGTGAGGGAATCCAGGAGCAGGAGCTGATCCCAGCAGCAGAGGGACTCTGGTGGAATATTCCATATTCAAGAGGCTGAAAAAAGGGAGATTTAGAGGGGATGGTGGGAAAAAAATCCTTCCCTGGGAAGAGAATTCCAGAGGATTTGTGGCTGTCCCATCCCTGGAAGTGCCCAAGGCCAGGCTGGAGCAACCTGGGGTAGTGGGAGGTGGGAAATGGATGAGCTTTTTATCCCAAACCTTTCAGGGATTCCCTGATTTTGCTGATTCTCTAAGCTGAACGTGTCACTTTAATATAATTATGGAGGAATTACATCAGCTTAAAGTCTAAAAAAAGCAACTTAACTGATTTTTTTTCAAGAGATAATAAATAAGTTTTTAAGCAATCAGCAGTACTGGAAGAGAAATCCACCGAATTTATTAATGGCAAGGCAATGTCTTAACAATAATTCTCATTTTTGCTTCACCTCCACTCTGTTTTATTGCACACTTTTCAGTACAAACCAGCTGATTTTTTAATTTTTTAATTTTTTTTAAATCAGGAAGTGCTGTGAAAAAGAGATTCTGGAAACCTCTTTGCAAGGCCTTCCCTCCAGCACACAAAATGAATCCTTCTGATTTTGTTTTTTCATTAATTTATGCTCACAGCAACCAGGGAGGGCACTTGGAGGCCAGAGATGTTCCCAGAAAAATGCCACAATGCCACGTGAATATTTAACAGCACAGAGCCAAATAATAAAAATATTCCCTCTTCTTAAGTCTATATTAAAGTGCAAACTAAGTTAATGCAAGGAATGGGAACATATTTTAGGATTTTCAGTCTTTTTTTTGCTTCCCAAAGCTCAGAATTGGGAGAATTGAATCTTGATGAAGCTTTGTTTTCCTCACAGCGTTCACCTTCACTCAGAATCGGCCCATAATTCCTCCCCAGCCTGGAATTACCGCCTCAAAACCTGATTTTTTTTGGCAAAAAAGGGAGTGTTAAACACACCCACGGCTCGGAATGGCTTTGGTGTGAATTGCAGCCTTTTGTGCCAGGTAATTTCTGCTTTTAAATCGAGTTTTTGCACCGCAGAAACCACTTTCCGTGGCAAAAAGCTCCCACAAAAATCGGGATAATTGCACCGGGATCGTTCTGGCTCAGGCTGGGGCTCCACGGAATTATTCCTTTCAGCAAATGGGTTTTAAATAAAAATTATGTTTCTGACAGGTGGCTGAAAGCAACAAAAAGGCTGAAAAATGAGCAGGATGTTGGCTGTTATCAGGGAAAAAAATGGGATTTTAAATTATTAATGGTGTGATGCGCCCTGGACAAGGACAAGGTGGGAAAAAAAATAAAAGGGAGAGGGGAAGGGAATTTAAATTATCCCAGGAATGAAGCAGCAGAATTGCAGGAAGGAAAGGCAGCACTTGGAGAAGGACGCTGCAGGGAGAGCTGCAATGATTCCATCACAATCCAAGGGAAACTGAAGGAAAGCAGCAAAAAAAAAATGGTTTTAAATAGGTTAGGAATAAATAAATAAATGAAATTCTTGAATTGCAGCATGGTTTGGGTGGGAAGGGTCCTTAAATCCCAATGGCCCAGGAGCTCCAGCCCCTCCTGGGACACTCCCAGAGCCTCTGGGAATTCTGCTCCAGGATTTGCCAGGGCAAATTCTACAACAAAATTCACTCCTTTTGCTGTTTTACAATAAAATCGCTAATTTTGCTCGATTTCACCACAAAATTCACTCCTTCTGCTCAGTTTTACAAAAAAATTCACTCCTTTTGCTCAATTTCACCACAAAATTCACTCCTTTTGCTCGATTTCACAATAAAATTCACTCATTTTGCTTGATATCCCCACAAAATTCACTCCTTTTGTTGTTTTACAATAAAATCGCTCCTTTTGCCCGATTTCACCACAAAATTCACTCATTTTCCTTGATATCCCCATAAAATTCACTCCTTTTGCCTGATTTCACCACAAAATTCACTCATTTTTCTTGATATCCCCATAAAATTCACTCCTTTTGCTCGATTTCACCACAAAATTCACTCATTTTGCTCAATATCCCCACAAAATTCACTCCTTTTGCCCGATTTCACCACAAAATTCATTCCTTTTGCTCAATATCCCCACAAAATTCACTCATTTTGCTTGATATCCCCACAAAATTCACTCCTTTTGCTCGATTTTACAATAAAATTCACTCTTTTTGCTCAGTTTTACAATAAAATTCACTCTTTTTGCTCGATTTCACCACAAAATTCACTCCTTTTGCTGTTTTACAAAAAAATTCACTCCTTTTGCTCCATTTCACCACAAAATTCACTCATTTTGCTCAATTTCACCATAAAATTCATTCTTTTTCCTTGATATCCCCGTAAAATTCACTAATTTTGCTCCATTTCACCACAAAATTCACTCATTTTGCTCAATTTCACCATAAAATTCATTCTTTTTCCTTGATATCCCCGTAAAATTCACTAATTTTGCTCAATTTCACCACAAAATTCACTCCTTTTGCTTGATATCCCCACAAAATTCACTCCTTTTGCTTGATATCCCCACAAAATTCACTCATTTTGCTCGATTTCACAATAAAATTCACTCCTTTTGCTCGATTTCAACACAAAATCCACCCCTTTTCCTCTGTTTTACAAAAAAATTCACTCATTTTGCTCAATTTCACCACAAAATTCACTCATTTTGCTTGATTTCACCACAAAATTCACTCCTTTTCCTCTGTTTTACAAAAAAATGTACTCCTTTTGCTCAATTTCACCACAAAATTCATTCCTTTTGCTCGATTTCACCACAAAATTCACTCCTTCTGCTCAGTTTGACAACAAAATTCACTCCTTTTGCCCGATTTCACCACAAAATTTACTCATTTTGCTCAATTTCACCACAAAATTCACTCCTTTTGCTCGATTTCACCACAAAATTCACTCCTTTTGCCTGATTTCACAAAAAAATTCACTCCTTTTCCTTGATTTCACCACAGAATTCACTCAATTTCCTCGATGTCACCACAAAATTCACTCATTTTGCTCTACTTTACAACAAAATTCACTCCTTTTGCTTGATTTCACCACAAAATTCACTCTTTTTGCTCGATTTTATAATAAAATTCACTCCTTCTGCTCAGTTTTACAACAAAATTCATTCTTTTTGCTCTCGATTTCACAATAAAATTCACTCCTTTTGCTCGATTTCACCACAAAATTCACTCCTTCTACTCTGTTTTAACACAAAATTCACTCATTTTGCTTGATTTCACCATAAAATTCACTCCTTTTTCTTGATTTCACCACAAAATTCACTCTTAGCTCTGTTTCTCAATACAATTCACTCATTTTGCCGTTCTACAACAAAATTCACTCATTTTGCTCTATTTCACTACAAAAATCACTGATTTTGCTCTGTTTCTCAATAAAATTCACTCAGTCATTTTAGTCACACCACAGAATTCTTAATATTCTGAATTTCCATTCATTTTAGTCCTATCAAAGAATATCTTAATATTCTGAATTTCTATTCCTTTTAGTCTTACCACAGAATATCTTAATATTCTGAATTTCCATTCATTTTAATCCTATCAAAGAATACCTTAATATTCTGAATTTCCATTCTTTTTAGTCTCATCACAGAAATCTTAATATTCTGAATTTCCATTTTGTTTTAGTTTTATCACAGGATACTTTAATATTCTGAATTTCCATTCTTTTTAGTCTCATCAAGTGAGGAAACTCCTTGGGTAGGATGGAAAATAGACTGAAAAAATCTGTATAAATCAGACTTTAGGTATTTAAATTAAGCATCTCCCACTCAATTAGGCAGCACCTGTAGTCACGGAATATTTTGACTATTAAAATATGATTTTTGTGGTTATATTTGAATTATTCATTATATTGTTTTTTTTTCCTCCCCTTTCGGATTCTGTTATCAATTATTGGTGAAATTACTGATATTATTATCATTAAAGGCTGAAATTCAATACATAAAGATATATTTATGAAAATAACAAAGATATATTAATAAAAATAGAATTTCCTTTTTTTTTTTTAGTTTTGTCACAGAATACTTTAATATTCTGAATTTCCATTCTTTTTAGTCTCATCACAGAAATCTTAATATTCTGAATTTCCATTTTGTTTTATTTGGGGTTATATTTGAATTATTCATGACCTTGATTTTTTTTCCCTCCCCTTTTGGATTCTGTCATCAATTATTGGTGAAATCATTGATATTATCATCATTAAAGACCGAAATTCAATATATAAAGATATATTTATGAAAATAACAAATACATATGAATAAAAACAGATTATAAAGGAATATTAATGAAAATAAATATATTTTTAAGGGATAAAAAGCAGGTTTACCTCCATGGCCAGAGCTGCGGTTTGCTGGTCGTAGTGGTTGAGGAGGTTGGGCATGAAGGTGGAGTTGTAGGGCAGGTCCTGGCACATCCTGAGCATGATGGGCTCGCAGGAGAAGAGGCTGTGCCCCACTGCGGGGGTCACCCAGCCCCCCAAAACCCACAGCGAGCAGAGCAGCCACCCCACAGCCATCCTCGATCCCGAATTTTCACCGGAATTCCGTCAACTCCACGCTCCTCACAGCTGTGCTCAGCATCCTCAGCTCGATCCAGGCACGTTCCACATGAATTTTCCCCTTTTTTTTTTTTCTTTTTTGCCCCTTCTCAGTCCTCCGTGGCATGAATTAAATCCTGAGATTTCACCCACATTCCCACACTGTGGAGCCCATGGTGACAGGGCAGCGCTCCAGGGGTTTCCTGATTTTTTCTGTTTTTCCTAGAAAACCTGGAGCACAAAACACAGCAGAGAGAACACACTGAGAAACCTGGGAATCCATGAAAATACGAAAATATTTTATATTTTACCTCTCAGTGCCTAAACTGGCAGACAAACTCCTTCAAATTTTCCTACAGGGTCCTTCTGCGGGTTTTAATCCTGATTTTTTAAAAATTTCTGAAGGAAACGAATGAAAGGCAGAAAAATTTGATGGAAGAAAAGCACCCAAAAATGGTGAAAAAGTGGGGATTAGAGTGATTAGGATATTTTTAGCAAGGCCCACACTGAAACCAGGCTGTTTGTGACTCACTCACCCCGATAGCATCTCGGTGCTCCTGAGGAATAATTATAAAACAAAAACACAAATCCAGTCACCAGCACCACCAACCCCACAAGTCCCAGCTCGCCCCACTGGCCTGCCCAGGGAGGTTTGTGCCATTTTAATTTGCTTTTTTTTTGGTGCTGTTGTTGTGCCAAACCCATTTTAATTGCACACTTCCATCCTCCTCTCCATTCACAGAGCCCCAAGAGTGCAAAAAAAAGCGCATTTTTAACAATAATTTTGTCTTGCAACGGTAAAATTTGCAAAATCCAGTCTCTAAGTAGATGCTTTAAAGTGAGTTATTGTTAAAGAAGTAACAGAAATTTAGAAAAGCCCAAATATTCCATCAATATTCCCAAAAGGAAGCAACCACAGATCTGAAGAGATTCCCAATTTTGAGAGAACAGAGTTTTTCCTTGGAAAAAGTTTTTCCTTTCTGCCTATAGTGAGAGACAGGAAGAATTTAATTTCCAGACATGCACATTTTTATTTACACAGGCTCATCTCGTGGTCAGAAAAATGAAGGTTTTAAACCCTCAGTGCAGTTTGTGGCTTGGACTGGATAATTTTGAGGGGTTCCTTCCAATCTAAACAATTCTGGGTTTTTCTGTGAGAGGGGAAAGGGTTTGGCTAGAGCTTTTTGGAGACAGGCTGGTTAAAAACAAACATGCAAAAAGGAGGGAAAAAATAAAAAAAAAAGACCAAGCTGCTAAAGATAACCACGTTAAATTCAGTTTATTGACAGCTTTGCTTCTTCCTCTCACAGGGGAGGTCGTGGCTGAGGCAGCATTGAAATAAGGGAAAAAATAGAAATAGGAGAAGCTCCAAAGACAGGAAAAACAAACCAGGAGCAAAAAAAAAAGAATAAAAAAAGGGAAAAAGAGAACTACCTACACACCTGGAGAGGCAGAAGCAGCAGAGCTCAAATCTCAGCTCCTATTCTGAAGGAATTTAACAAATTTTCTGAGTAACCAGCCCTGGTTTTAGGCCAGTTTCAAGATGATATGAGCTTGAAAAGTTGTGTCCTTGTGAGGGAAAAAATGTTAATTTTTCAGGTGGATTTTAGAGCAATTTGGCAGCTCTGGGAGGAAAGGAGGAGCTGAACTGCCCCACCTGCCAGGGAGCATCACCAGCCTGGAGCTTTCCTGACATCCCCAACTCCTGAGCAGGAGGTAGAGACAGATAAAAGCAATTCCTGCCCTGTTTTGGGAAGTTCCCTGGCAGAAAAATTGGGAAGAAATGGTCCCTTTCCAACCCAAACCAGTCTGAGATCCCGTGTGGGACAAGCTGCTTGATCCCCCTTGGGTTTAACAACAGCCCCCCAAACTCCAAAAGAAAATTAAAAAACAGCTTTTTGAGTTTGTTGGCATCTCTAGAACTCTGGAATCACAATTTCACAATTTTCCTTTTGTTTCTCCTGAATTAACTCCAAAGGATTCTAAATATATTTCTATTTGAGGGAGGTCACCTTGCAGAATTAGAGAAATTCTCTAATTGAGGTGTGATCACAGTGATTTGTAAAAAAAAATCCCAAAAAAGGTTCAGAAGCAACCTAAAATGAACTGTGCTCGCACCACTTAAAGTCTGCACCACAAAAACTGGGCAAACCAAGGTCAGGATGTGGAGTTTTGGGAAAAAGTCCAAGAATTCTCCATGGAAATCATATTAATGACACACAAAACAGCAGGATCCCAACACATCCACCTCTCCTCTGCCTTCCCCACAGCCTCAAGCTGAGCAAATCATGCAAAAACAAAGATTTAAAGAGCCACAAAGGGAAAAAATAAAGTTTTACCTATGCAAAAAGCAGATAAAATATCGTATTAAAGATAAACATTTGAGTATCATAAATAAAATGAAGGATGTGTTTAGGAGGAGGGGAAGCACAGCAAAATGGACAACGTGGCCCTGGGAAAATTGAAATAATTCCGGGTGAAACAAAGCAAAAAGAGAAGGATTCCATTGCGAAAGGAGCCCCGGCAGCCCATGGGTGATGCATTAATTGGTGTGTAATCAGCAGCCCTCAGTGTCAGGAGAGCTCCTCACCACAGATCCAGTTTGTGCACTCTTTGTTAAGCCTCTGCAGAGGAGAGTTTGTGTTATTTTTGTATGCACAGAAAAACAAAAACACTTTCGATGACACCACGGCTGAAAGGAGGAGGAGAGCACTGGAAATAAATCGCAGGCAAAAGGAGCAGTTTGTTCCTGTGGTTGTGGATTTTTACATTATTTATCAGCAGGAGAAGCCCATCCCGTTCTTACTGGAAAGGATTAATTAAGACATGCACGGACAATTATTATAAAGAGTGAAAATCATGACCAGAAAGGGTTGATTCCCACAAGGAGTTTTCTGTTTTTTTCCCCAAAAACTAAATTTCAAAGTCCCTCAGGGAGCAATCAGGAAAAAAGAAAAGCTCATCAGGCTTTAGAATGAAAGGATGGGATTAATTCCCAGTTGTCTATCCCAGAGAAAAGGGGAGATAAAACAACAAACCAGAGGAAAATGTCCTCTCAGCCATTCCCTACCCAGTTCTGACCCTGGAGAAAGGAGAGGAACTCATCCATTGCACTTCCCCAACCCTTTCCCACCCACAAAAGGAGAATAAATTCATTCTCCCAAGTCCATTCTAATGAATTACTCAGTGGGAAAGCAGCCCCAGGAGCACAGAGGGAGGATGGAAAGGCAGAAACAACCCAATCCTTTCCCAGTTTGTCAGGGAATCCAAGGAAAGGCAGAAACAACCCAATCCTTTTCCATGCTTGTCACGGAATCCAAGGAAAGGCAGAAACAACCCAATCCTTTCCCATGTTTGTCACGGAATCCATGGAAAGGCAGAAACAACCCAATCCTTTCCCATGTTTGTGACGGAATTGTGGAATGGCTCGGAGGGGACTTGGAAGCTCCTCTAATCCCAAACCCCGCAGCACGGGCGGGGATGGAGAGACCCGGGGAGCGCAGGGACAGCTCCGGTACCGCCGAGCCCTCAGCGAGGTTCCGGTACCCCCGAGCCATCAGCGAGGTTCCAGCACCGCCGAGCCCTCAGGGAGGGGCGGTGAGGCTCCGCCATCCCCCGAGCCCTCAGCGAGGCTCCGGTACCCCCGAGCCCTCAGCCAAGGGCGGTGAGGCTCCGGTACCCCCGAGCCCTCAGCGAAGAGCGGTGAGGTTCCGGCACTCCCCGAGCCCTCAGAGAAGGGCGATGAGGCTCCGGCACCCCCCGGGAGGGCGGTGAAGCTCCGCCATCCCCCGAGCCCTCAGCGAAGGGCGGTGAGGCTCCGGCACCCCCGAGCCCTCAGGGAGGCTCCGGTATCCCCGAGCCCTCAGCCAAGGGCGGTGAGGCTCCGCCATCCCCCGAGCCCTCAGTGAGGCTCCGCCATCCCCCGAGCCCTCAGCGAAGCCCCGGTACCCCCGAGCCCTCAGCGAAGGGCGGTGAGGCTCCGCCATTCCCGGAGCCCTCAGCGAAGGACGGCGAGGTTCCGGTACCGCCGAGCCCTCAGCGAAGGGCGATGAGGCTCCGCCATCCCCAGAGCCCTCAGCGAGGCTCCGGTACCCCCGAGCCCTCAGCGAAGGGCGGTGAGGCTCCGACACCCCCCGGGAGGGCGGTGAAGCTCCGGTACCGCCGAGCCCTCAGCGAAGGGCGGTGAGGCTCCGGTACCCCCCGGGAGGGCGGTGAGGCTCCGGTACCGCCGAGCCCTCAGTGAGGGGCGGTGAGGCTCCGCCATCCCCGGAGCCCTCTGTGAGGGGCGGTGAGGCTCCGGTACCCCCGGGCCCTCAGCAAAGGGCGGTGAGGCTCCGGCACCCCCCGGGAGGGCGGTGAAGCTCCGGTACCCCCCGAGCCCTCAGCGAAGGGCGGTGAGGCTCCGCCATCCCCAGAGCCCTCAGCGAGGTTCCGGCACCCCCCGAGCCCTCAGTGAAGGGCGGTGAGGCTCCGGCACTCCCCGAGCCCTCAGCGAGGTTCCAGCACCCCCGAGCCCTCAGCGAAGGACGATGAGGCTCCGGTACCCCCGAGCCCTCAGCGAGGCTCCGGTACCCCCGAGCCCTCAGCCAAGGGCGCTGAGGCTCCGGCACCGCCGAGCCCTCAGCGAAGGGCGGTGAGGCTCCGCCATCCCCTGAGCCCTCAGCGAGGCTCCGGTACCCCCGAGCCCTCAGCAAAGGGCGGTGAGGCTCCGGCACCGCCGAGCCCTCAGCGAAGGGCGATGAGGCTCCGCCATCCCCGGAGCCCTCAGCGAGGTTCCGGCAGCCCCGAGCCCTCAGCGAAGGGCGATGAGGCTCCGTCATCCCCGGAGCGCTCTGTAAGCGGCGGTGAGGCTCCAGCACCCCCGAGCCCTCAGCGAAGGGCGGTGAGGCTCCGCCATCCCCGGAGCCCTCAGCAAAGGGCGGTGAGGCTCCGGTACCGCCGAGCCCTCAGCAAAGGGCGGTGAGGCTCCGGTACCGCCGAGCCCTCAGCGAGGTTCCGGCACCTCCCGAGCCCTCAGCCAAGGGCGCTGAGGCTCCACCATCCCCCGAGCCCTCAGCAAAGTGCGGTGAGGCTCCGGCACCCCCGAGCCCTCAGCGAGGTTCCGGCACCCCCGAGCCATCAGCCAAGGGCGGTGAGGCTCCGCCATCCCCAGAGCCCTCAGTGAAGGGCGGTGAGGCTCCGGTATCCCCGAGCCCTCAGCGAAGGGCGGTGAGGCTCCGCCATCCCCGGAGCGCTCTGTAAGCAGCGGTGAAGCTCCCGCATTCCCTCCCGGGGCCGCCGCGCCGCACTACGGCACGGGGAGCCCTCAGCGCGATAATCCGCGGCCTCACGGGGAGCGGATCCGGCCCTTCCCGGCGCTCAGGGCCGGCATCTCCCCGAGCCCTCCGCCCGCCGAGCGCCGCACCGGCATCCCCCCGGGTGCGCTGCCGGCCGCAGGGCGCTGCGTGGCCCCGCCGTGTCCCGGTTATTACCTGCCCGGCCCCTCCATGTCCCCGTTATTACCTGCCCGGCCCCGCCGTGTCCCCGTTATTACCGGCGCGGCTCCCGCCGCCCGCACGGTCCCGCGCACGCTCCTCGGGCGGCGGCGGCGGCGGCAGCACCGGCCACGCCCCTCGCTAAGCCACGCCCTCCGCGCCACCTCGCCCCGCCCACTCCTCACCACCCAGCCAATCAGAGCGCGCGGGGCTGGTTGCTAGGTAGATCGGAACCCCCGGCCGCTCTAACCCCTCTGGGGGGCTCTGATTGGCTGGCGCCCCCCGGCGTTGCCATAGCGACGGGATGCGGACGGGCGGGAGGAGGAGGCGGACGCTGATTGGTTGGCGCGGGGGGTTGCCATGGCGACGGGATGCGGAAGTGGGGGGGAGGAGGAAGAGGAGGAGGCGGCGGCCGCAGGCGGGAGGAGGAAGGTGAGAGGACACGGGGGGACACGGGGGGACACGGGGGGACACGGGGGGACACGGGGGGACACGGGGGGACACGGGGGGAATTTGGAAATTGATGATTTTTAAACTCCTTTCCCACCCAAACCATTCCAGGAACGAGCTCCTAAGTGAGTCCCAGGTGTGCAGCTTTGAGGAATTTCAGGAAAATCTCAAATATCCGCTCCTGAATCCTGAATTTTCAGGCACATTTTTCCCAAATCCTGAATTTTCAGGCACATTTTTCCCAAATCCTGAAGTTTCAGACAGACTTTTCCCAGATCCTGAATTTTCAGAATTTTCCCAGATACAGAAGTTTCACACAGATTTTCCCAGATCTGAAGTTCCAGACGGAATTCCCAGATCCTGAATTTTCAGACACATTTTTCCCAAATCCTGAAAGTTTCAGACTTTTCCCAAATCCTGAAGTTTCACATTTTTCCCAAATCCTGAATTTTCAGGCACATTTTTCCCAAATCCTGAATTTTCAGGCACATTTTTCCCAAATCTTGAAGTTTCAGACAGACTTTCCCCAGATCCTCATTTCAGAATTTTCCCAGATCCTGAAGTTTCACACAGATTTTCCCAGATCTGAAGTTCCAGACAAAATTCCCAGATCCTGAATTTTCAGACACATTTTTCCCAAATCCTGAAAGTTTCACATTTTTCCCAGATCCTGAATTTTCAGACACATTTTTCTCAAATCCTGAATTTTCAGACACATTTTCCCCAAATCCTGAATTTTCAGACACATTTTTCCCAAATCTTGAAGTTTCAGACAGACCTTTCCCAGATCCTGAATTTTCAGAATTTTCCCAGATACAGAAGTTTCAAACAGATTTTCCCAGATCTGAAGTTCCAGACAGATTTCCCAGATCCTGAATTTTCAGACACATTTTTCCCAAATCCTGAAAGTTTCAGACTTTTCCCAGATCCTGAAGTTTCACATTTTTTTCCCAAATCCTGAAGTTTCAGACACAATTTTCCCAAATCCTGTAATTTCAGACAGATTTCCCAAATCCTGAATTTTCAGACACATTTTTCCCAAATCCTGAATTTTCAGACACATTTTTTCCAGATTCTGCAATTTCAGACTTTTCCCAAATCCTGAATTTTCAGACACATTTTTCCCAGATCCTGAAAGGTTTCAGAAAGACTTTTCCCAGATCCCGGGGATTCAGAATTTTCCCAAATCCACCCCAAATCCACCCCAAAATCCACCCCAAAATCAATCCCAAATCCACCCAAAATCCATCCCAAAATCCACCCCAAATCCACCCCAATTCTGCCCCAAAATCCACCCAAAATCCACCCCAAATTATGCCCCAAAATCCACCTCAAAATCCGCCCCAAAATCCACCCAAAATCCACCCCAAAATCCACCCAAAATCCGCCTCAAAATCCACCCAAAATCCACCCCAAATCCACCCAAAATCCACCCCAAATCCACCCCAAATCCGCCCCAAAATCCGCCCCAAAATCCGCCCCAAAATCCGCCCCAAAATCCGCCCCAAAATCCACCCCAAATCCACCCAAAACCCGCCCCAAAGTCTGCCCCAAAATCAATCCCAAAATCTGCCCCAAAATCCGCCCCAAATTCCACCCCAAAATCCACCCCAAAATCCGCCCCAAAACCCACCCCACTGGATCCCTTGTAAAAATTCTATTTTTTCCCATAAAAATGAAGGAACAGCACGGGGATAACGCCCATCTTTGTTCCAATGGGTTCCTTGTTAAAATTCTATTTTTTCCATGAAAATGAAGGAATGGCACAGGGATAACGCCCATTTTTGTTCCATTGGATTCCTTATTAAAATTTAAATTTTTTCCATAAAAATGAAGGAATAGTACAGGGATAACGCCCAATTTTGTTCCATTAGATTCCTTATTAAAATTAAATTTTTTCCCATAAAAATGAAGAAATGGCACAGGGATAAATTCCCTCTTTCTTCCATTGGATCCCTCATTAAAATTCAAATTTTTCCCACAAAAATGAAAGAATGGCACAGGGATAATGCCCATTGGATCCCTCATTAAAATTGTATTTTTTCCCTTAAAAATGAAAGAACGGCACAGGGATAATGCCCATTGGATCCCTCATTAAAATTGTATTTTTTCCCTTAAAAATGAAGGAATGGCACAGGGATAAATTCCGCCTTTCTTCCATTGGATCCCTCATTAAAATTCTTTTTTTTTCCATAAAAAAGAAGGAATGGCATGGAGATAACGCCCATTTTTGTTCCATTGGATTCCTTCTTAAAATTTTAATTTTTTCCATGAAAATGAAGGAATGGCACAGGATAATTTTCTTGTTTCTGCTATGAAATCATTGGATTCTTGTAAAAATTCTATTTTTTCCCATAAAAACGAAGGAATGGCACAGGGATAATTTCCCTCTTTCTTCCATTGGATCCCTCATTAAAATTCAATTTTTTCCCATAAAAATGAAAGAAAGGCACAGGGATAATGCCCATTGGATCCCTCATTAAAATTGTATTTTTTCCCTTAAAAACGAAGGAACTACGCAGGGATAAATTCCACCTTTCTTCCATTGGATTTCTCATTAAAATGCAATTTTTTCCCATAAAAATGAAGGAATGGCATGGAGATAACGCCCATTTTTGTTCCATTGGATTCCTTATTAAAATTAAGAATTTTTCCATGAAAATGAAGGAATGGCACAAGGATAATTCCCATCTTTGTTCCATTGGATTCCTTGTTAAAATTAGAAATTTTTCCATGGAAATGAAGGAATAGTACAGGGATAACGCCCACTTTTCTTCCATTGGATTCCTCATTAAAATTCTATTTTTTTCCATAAAAACAAAGGAATGGCACAGGGATAAATTCCATCTTTCTTCCATTGGATCCCTCATAAAATTCAATTTTTTCCCATAAAAATGTAAGAACGGCACAGGGATAACGCCCATCTTTCTTCCATTGGATCCCTCATTAAAATTCAATTTTTTCCCTCAAAAACGAAGGAACAACGCAGGGATAAATTCCACCTTTTTTCTATCGGATCCCTCATTAAAATCCCATTTTTTCCCATTTTTTCCCGTTTTTAGCCGCCCTCCCGATGGCGTTTGCGCCTCCCAAAATCCCGGATGGCTCCGAGCTCCGGATCCGCCTCAGCTCCTGGACTCCCCTGAACAACCAGCGCATCAACGACAAGGCAAGTTCCCAAAAAAACCCCAAAAATTTGGGAATTTGGGAATTCCGGAGCTCCCGGAGCTCCTCCAGCCCCGCCCCTCCGGGATTTGTTCCGCTCGGTTCGGAATTGCCTCAAAATCCCAAATTTTGCCGATTCCCAAGCCTGGGAAAAATTCAATTTGTTGGATTTTTCCTTATGGAAGTCGTGGGAAATGGAATAAGAATATGGAGATATGTGATATATACAGATATAAAAAAAATAATCTAAAATAAAATATATATAAAACCTTTATGATATATAAATATCCATAAAATCGAACATCAAAAGATGGAAAATTCTGATTTACCTATTTAAAGCAAACAATGTTTGATTTAAATACCGCTATTTTGCTAAATAATTTGCTTTTTTAAAAAAAAAATAGGTTTATTTTTGCTGAAAGTCACAAAATTGTCCTTTTTTTTTGCACCAAAAACCTCCAGTTTCACCCCAGAGTGTGAGTCAAAAGTGGTCATGGGAAATGGAATTTTGTTCCCTGTTAAAAGTATGGAAATATATGATATTTTTATATATTTATATATATTAGATATATTATATAATACATATATAATATATATTATATATATACTATATTATATATATAGTATATATATTATATATATTATTTATATTATTTATATTATTTATATTATTTATATTATATATGTGTGTTTATAAATATATAAAAATTCTAAAATAAAAAATATTTTAAAATCTAAAATCTAAAATAAATCTGAAATAAAATTAAAAACTATATAAAATCTTTATGATGTATAAATATACATAAAATCTAACCTCAAAATATTATATATATTATATATGTGTATTTATATATATTTATAAATATATAAAAATTCTAAAATAAAAAATATTTTAAAATCTAAAATCTAAAATAAATCAAAATTCTATATAAAATCTTTATGATGCATAAATATACATAAAATCTAACCTCAAAAGATGGAAAATTCTGATTTATCTATTTAAAGCAAACAATGTTTGATTTAAATACCGCTATTTTGCCAAATAATTTGCTTTTTTTTAAAAAAAAATTTGGTTTATTTTTGCTGAAAGTCGCAAAATTGTCCTTTTTTTTTTGCACCAAAAACCTCCAGTTTCACCCCAGAGAGTGAGTCAAAAATGGTCATGGGAAATGGAATTTTGTTCCCTGTTAAAAGTATGGAGATATATGATATTTATATATTTTTTTATATATATAATATATTTTTTTATATATATAAATATTATAAATATTATATATTATATATATTTTATATATTATATATATTATATATATTATATATGTGTATTTATATATATTTATAAATATATAAAAATTCTAAAATAACAATATTTTAAAATCTAAAATCTAAAATAAATCTAAAATAAAACTAAAATCTATATAGTCTTCATGATGTATAAATATACATAAAATCTAACCTCAAAATAATATATATTATTATATATATTATATACATTATATACATTATATGCATTATATACATTATATACATTATATATATTATATATATTATATATATTATATATGTGTATTTATACATATTTATAAATATATAAAAATTCTAAAATAAAAAAGATTTTAAAATCTAAAATCTAAAATAAATCTAACATAAAACTAAAATCTATATAAAATCTTTATGATGTATAAATTTACATAAAATCTAACCTCAAAATATTATATATATTATATATATTATATTATATATATATAATATATATTATATATATTATATATATTATATGTGTATTTATATATTTATAAATATACAAAAATTCTAAAATAAAAAATATTTAAAAATCTAAAATCTAAAATAAATCTGAAATAAAACTAAAATCTATATAAAATCTTTATTATGTATAAATATACATAAAATCTAACCTCAAAATATTATATATATTATATATATTATATATGTGTATTTATATATATTTATAAATATATACAATATTATATATGTGTATTTATATATATTTATAAATATATACAAATTCTAAAATAAAAAAAATTTAAAGTCTAAAATCTAAAATAAATCTGAAATAAAATTAAAATCTATATAAAATTTTTATGATGCATAAATATACATAAAATCTAACCTCAAAAAATTATATATATATAATATATTATATTATATATAATATATATAATTTTTATATATTTATATATAAATTTATATTTATATATAATATCTCGTTAAAATTCAATTTTTTCCCATTAAAATGAAGGAATGGCACAGGGATATTTCATGGATTCATCTTCATTTTCATGGATATATATTTATATTTATATATAATATATATAATTTTATATATAATATATATAATATTATATTATATATAATATATATATTATATGTATTATATGTATTATATGTATTATATGTATTATATATATTATATATATTATATATATTATATATGTGTATTTTTATATATTTATAAATATATAAAAATTCTAAAATAAAAAATATTTTAAAATCTAAAATAGAAAATAAATCTAAAATAAATCAAAAATCTATATAAAATCTTTATGATATATAAATATCCCTAAAATCGAACATCAAAAGATGGAAAATTCTGATTTACCTATTTAAAGCAAAAAAAAAAATTGATTTAAACACTGCTATTTTGCCAAATCAATAGCTTTAAAAAAAAAAGGTGGATTTTTTTTCTCAAAATCACAAAATTCAATTTTTTTTTGGGGGGGGGCAGGTGGAGGACTATTATTCCTTAAAAAATTAAAATTAATAAAAAAATTAATAATTTTCTCACGATAAATCCCTTCTACCATAAAAAGACGAAGCATCTCCTCCTGCCTGGATACCTCTAAAATTAAAATTAATTTAATTTTTAATTAAACTCCTCCGTATCCAGCACTTTTCAAGCCAAAACTTGAATTTATTTTATTTTTGATAAACTGAAGAGATTGAGTTCTTTGAAGTCTTTCAAAGGATGGAATTCATGGATGGAATTCATGGATGGAATTCATGGATGGAATTCATGGATGGAATTTATAGATGGAATTTATAGATGGAATTTATAGATGAAATTTGAATTTATAGATGGAATTTGAATTTATAGATGGAATTCATGGATGGAATTCATGGATGGAATTTATAGATGGAATTAATGGATGGAATTTATAGATGGAATTCATGGATGGAATTCATGGATGGAATTCATGGATGGAATTTATAGATGGAATTTATGGATGGAATTCATGGATGGAATTAATGGATGGAATTTATAGATGGAATTTATAGATGGAATTCATGGATGGAATTTATAGATGGAATTTATAGATGGAATTTGAATTTATAGATGGAATTTGAATTTATAGATGGAATTCATGGATGGAATTTATAGATGGAATTTATAGATGGAATTCATGGATGGAATTTATAGATGGAATTTATAGATGGAATTTGAATTTATAGATGGAATTTGAATTTATAGATGGAATTTAAATTTATAGATGGAATTCATGGATGGAATTCATGGATGGAATTTATAGACGGAATTTATAGATGGAATTTATAGATGGAATTTGAATTTCTAGATGGAATTTGAATTTATAGATGGAATTCATGGATGGAATTTATAGATGGAATTTATAGATGGAATTCATGGATGGAATTTATAGATGGAATTTATAGATGGAATTTATAGATGGAATTTATAGATGGAATTCATAGATTAAATTTGAATTTATAGATGGAATTTGAATTTATAGATGGAATTTGAATTTATAGATGGAATTCATGGATGGAATTTATGGATGCAATTTATAGATGGAATTCATGGATGGAATTTATAGAAGGAATTCATGGATGGAATTCATGGATGGAATTCATGGATGGAATTTATAGATGGAATTCATGGATGGAATTTATAGAAGGAATTCATGGATGGAATTTATAGATGGAATTCATGGATGGAATTTATAGATGGAATTTATAGATGGAATTCATGGATGGAATTTATGGATGGAATTTATAGATGGAATTTATAGATGGAATTCATGGATGGAATTCATGGATGGAATTCATGGATGGAATTTATAGATGGAATTTATAGATGAAATTTGAATTTATAGATGAAATTTGAATTTATAGATGGAATTTGAATTTATGGATGGAATTCATGGATGGAATTCATGGATGGAATTCAAGGATGGAATTTATAGATGGAATACATGGATCGAATTTATAGATGGAATTTATAGATGGAATTCATGGATGGAATTCATGGATGGAATTTATAGATGGAATTTATAGATGGAATTTATAGATGGAATTTGAATTTATAGATGGAATTTGAATTTATAGATGGAATTTGAATTTATAGATGGAATTTGAATTTATAGATGGAATTTGAATTTATAGATGGAATTTGAATTTATAGATGGAATTCATGGATGGAATTCATGGATGGAATTCATGGATGGAATTTATAGATGGAATTCATAAATGGAATTTATAGATGGAATTTGAATTTATAGATGAAATTTGAATTTCTAGATGGAATTTGAATTTATATATGAAATTTGAATTTATAGATGGAATTTTAATTTATAGATGGAATTCATGGATGGAATTCATGGATGGAATTAATGGATGGAATTAATGGATGGAATTTATAGATGGAATTTATAGATGGAATTTATAGATGGAATTCATGACTGGAATTTATAGATGGAATTTATAGATGGAATTCATGGATGGAATTCATGGATGGAATTCATGGATGGAATTTATAGATGGAATTTTAATTTATAGATGGAATTTGAATTTATAGATGAAATTTGAATTTCTAGATGGAATTTTAATTTATAGATGGAATTCATGGATGGAATTCATGGATGGAATTTATAGATGGAATTTGAATTTATAGATGGAATTCATAGATGGAATTCATGGATGGAATTCATGGATGGAATTCATGGATGGAATTCATGGATGGAATTAATGGATGGAATTAATGGATAGAATTTATAGATGGAATTTATGGATGGAATTCATGGGTGAAATTTATAGATGGAATTCATGGATGGAATTCATGGATGGAATTTATAGATGGAATTCATGGATGGAATTCATGGATGGAATTCATGGATGGAATTTATAGATGGAATTTATAGATGGAATTCATGGATGGAATTTATGGATGGAATTTATAGATGGAATTCATGGATGGAATTTATAGATGGAATTCATGGATGGAATTCATGGATGGAATTTATAGATGGAATTCATGGATGGAATTCATGGATGGAATTAATGGATAGAATTTATAGATGGAATTTATGGATGGAATTCATGGGTGAAATTTATAGATGGAATTCATGGATGGAATTCATGGATGGAATTTATAGATGGAATTCATGGATGGAATTCATGGATGGAATTCATGGATGGAATTTATAGATGGAATTTATAGATGGAATTCATGGATGGAATTTATGGATGGAATTTATAGATGGAATTCATGGATGGAATTTATAGATGGAATTCATGGATGGAATTCATGGATGGAATTTATAGATGGAATTCATGGATGGAATTTATAGATGGAATTCATGGATGGAATTAATGGATGGAATTCATGGATGGAATTCATAGATGGAATTCATGGATGGAATTTATAGATGGAATGTATAGATGGAATTTATAGATGGAATTTATAGATGGATTTCATGGATGGAATTTATAGACGGAATTTATAGATGGAATTTATAGATGGAATTTGAATTTATAGATGAAATTTGAATTTATAGATGGAATTTGAATTTATAGATGGAATTCATGGATGGAATTCATGGATGGAATTTATAGACGGAATTTATAGATGGAATTTATAGATGGAATTTGAATTTATAGATGGAATTTGAATTTATAGATGGAATTCATGGATGGAATTCATGGATGGAATTTATAGATGGAATTTATAGATGAAATTTGAATTTATAGATGGAATTTGAATTTATAGATGAAATTTGAATTTATAGATGGCATTTGAATTTATAGATGGAATTCATGGATGAAATTTATAGATTGAATTTATAGATGGAATTCATGGATGGAATTTATGGATGGAATTCATGGATGGAATTCATGGATGAAATTTGAATTTCTAGATGGAATTTGAATTTATAGATGAAATTTGAATTTCTAGATGGAATTTGAATTTATAGATGAAATTTGAATTTCTAGATGGAATTTGAATTTCTAGATGGAATTTGAATTTATAGATGGAATTTGAATTTATAGATGGAATTCATGGATGAAATTTGAATTTCTAGACGGAAGGGATGGGAAATTATGGATGGAAGGGGTGGGAAGGGCAGGGAGAGATGGGATGTGTGAGGAATTATCTCGGAACAGGGAGTGAGGGGCAGGAATTCCGAGCTGCTCCGAGGTAGAAACGTCAAAATTCCGGGTCAGGAGCAGCCCTGGGAATTGACGGTGTCGTAAATCTGATAAATTTTGGGTAATTTGATCCCATTCCAAACCCTTCTGTGGTTCCGGGCGCTCCTGAAACCTCCTGGATTCAACGGAAGTGTCCAAGGCCAGGTTGGACACTCGGAGCACCCAGGGGTGGTGGAAGGTCTCGGGGTTGGACCTGGATGAGCTTTAAGGTCCTTCCCACCCAAAGCATTCCATGATTCCATGGCCAAAGTCAAGGTGGCAGAATCGGGAAATCCCAAATCGTTCACGGCCAAAAAACGAGGAATGAAATCCCAAACGCTCCAGGGTGGTGAGGACGGAGCAGCGGCAGGAGATGGAAGGGCTGGAATTCGGGACAGGATTTGGGCAGGAATTCAGCTCCGAGGCAGAAGATCCTCCAGTGGCATTGGACATGAAATCCCAAATCCTTCATGGCCACAAACCCAGGGATGAAATCCCAAACGCTCCAGGGTGGTGAGGACGGAGCAGCGTCAGCAGATGGAAGGGCTGGAATTCGGGAGAGGATTTGGACAGGAATTCAGCTCTGAGGTAGAAGATCCCAAATCGTTCATGGCCACAAACCCAGGGATGAAATCCCAAACGCTCCAGGGTGGTGAGGACGGAGCAGCGGCAGGAGATGGAAGGACTGGAATTTGGGAGAGGATTCGGGCAGGAATCCAGCTCCGAGGCAGAAGATCCTCCAATGGCATTGGCAATGAAATCCCAAATTTTTCACGGCTACAAACCCAGGGATGAAATCCCAAATTCTCCAGGGTGGTGAGGATGGAGCAGCGGCAGGAGATGGAGAACCCTGGGAAGGGCTGGAATTTGGGAAAGGATTTGGGCAGGAATTCATCTCCGAGGCAGAAGATCCCAAATCATTCACGGCCTCAAACCCATGGATGAAATCCCAAATTCTCCAGGGTGGTGAGGACGGAGCAGCAGCAGGAGATGGAAGGGCTGGAATTCGGGAGAGGATTTGGGCAGGAATTGAGCTCTGAGGCAGAAGATCCCAAATCATTCACGGCCACAAACCCAGGGATGAAATCCCAAACGCTCCAGGGTGGTGAGGATGAAGCAGCGGCAGGAGATGGAGCACCCTGCAGGCTCCATCCTGGGAAGGGCTGGAATTCGGGAGAGGATTTGGGCAGGAATTCATCTCCGAGGCAGAAGATCCTCCAGTGGCATTTGATGCGAAATCCCAAATTTTTCACGGCCACAAAACCAGGGATGAAATCCCAAACGCTCCAGGGTGGTGAGGACGGAGCAGCGGCAGGAGATGGAAGGGCTGGAATTTGGGAGAGGATTTGGGCAGGAATTCAGCTCGGAGGTAGAAGATCCTCCAGTGGCATTTGCAGCAAAATCCCAAATCGTTCACGGCCACAAACCCAGGGATAAAATCCCAGAAGCTCCAGGGTGGTGAGGACGGAGCAGCAGCAGGAGATGGAAGGGCTGGAATTTGGGAAAGGATTTGGGCAGGAATTCATCTCCGAGGCAGAAGATCCTCCAGTGGCATTTACAGCAAAATCCCAAATTTTTCACGGCCACAAACCCAGGGATGAAATCCCAAATTCTCCAGGGTGGTGAGGACGGAGCAGCGGCAGGAGATGGAGCACCCTGGGAAGGGCTGGAATTCGGGAGAGGATTTGGGCAGGAATTCAGCTCCGAGGCAGAAGATCCTCCAGTGGCATTTGAGTGAAATCCCAAATTTTTCACGGCCACAAAACCCGGGATGAAATCCCAAATTCTCCAGGGTGGTGAGGACGGAGCAGCGGCAGGAGATGGAAGGAGCTCTGAGGTAGAAGATCCTCCAGTGGCATTTCCAGCGAAGGATGGAGGGATTTTCCAGCTGCTTGAGCACCTCCAAACCCCCCGGAGATGTGGATGTGAGACAGAAGATCCCAAAATCGTCCCGGAACGCTCCACAGGTGCAGAGGACACGGGTTTGATGATTACACCAAATTTGGGCCATTCTAATTAATTAATTAACTAATTAACCCCGCCAAGTGCCTGGAGAGGCAGAACTGGGAATGTTCACCTGGAGAAGGGAAGAACCCTCAGAGCCCTTCTAGGACCTGGGAATGTTCACCTGGAGAAGAGAAGGATCCAGGGACACCTCAGAGCTGGGAATGTTCACCTGGAGAAGGGAACAACCCTCAGAGCCCTTCCAGGACCTGGAAATGTTCACCTGGAGAAGAGAAGGATCCAGGAACTCCACAGAGCTCTTCCAGGAGCTGGGAATGCTCACCTGGAGAAGGGAAGGACCCTCAGAGCCCTTCTAGGACCTGGGAATGTTCACCTGGAGAAGGGAAGGACCCTCAGAGCCCTTCCAGGACCTGGGAATGTTCTCCTGGAGAAGAGAAGGATCCAGGGACACCTCAGAGTTGGTGTTGGTGGCAGGAGAAGGGATGTGGATTCTTTCCCTCTCCGCAGGAAAAGTTGGGAATTCTGGGTCCATTTCTGGGCTCCCCAGTACGAGAAATTCCCGGATTTATGGAATAAATTTGGGATTTGGGAATGATTAAAGGAGCGGAGAACCTGATGTTTGGAGAGGTTCTGGAATCTCCATCCAATAAAATCCCCAAAACTCATGGACATGCCTGAGCTCCCCCTTGAGCTGATCCTCTCAGGGAGTTTGGATTAAAGGATTTCCATATTTTTTTTCCAAAATCATCCATTGATATTTCATGGATTGTTTTTCAAGCTGCATTTTTCTCAGCACGTACCAAATCCCCTCTAAATATTCAATTTTCTGGGTTTTTTTTGTGTGTGTGTTTTGTAGGTATTTGAAGAAAGAAGAGCCCTGCTTGGAAAATGGGTAAATTTTCTCTTTAAATCAATATTTTGGAAGTGATCAGGCGTTTATCTCATTGGAATGTAGAATTTCTCCTCTTTGGAAAAAAGGGATTCGCTTCCCTGCTCTGCTTTTGAGGAGAGTAAAGGTGTTACAAACATTATATACCATAAGCTACCTGTGCTATATTTACAATAATGCGCCGATGTAACACCCCTCAGTGGGATGTTACAAATATTATATACCACAAACTACCTGTGCTATATGTATAATATATTTAATATATATGTATTTAAATATATATTCACATGTATTTAAATATATATTTAAATATATTTAATATATTACAATAACGTGCCAATATCTGTCACCTACATTGACCAGTGTGTCCCCAGCCTAAACCCAGTCCTCATTTTCTGGTATATAATGTTACAAATATTATATAATATTACAAACATTAAATACCACAAACTACCTGTGCGTTATTTACAATAACGCACCAATGTAACACCCCTCACTGGGATGTTACAAACATTAAATACCACAAACTACCTGTGCTATATTTACAATATATTTAATATATATGTATTTAAATATATATTCACATGTATTTAAATATATTTAAATATATTTAATATATTCCAATAACATGCCAATATCTGTCACCTACGTTGAACAGCTTGTCCCCAGCCTAAACCCAGTCCTCATTTTCTGGTATATAATGTTACAAACATTATATAATATTACAAACATTAAATACCACAAACTACCTGTGCTATATTTACAATAACGTGCCAATGTAACACCCCTCAGTGGGATGGTACAAACATTAAATACCAGAACCATGTGTGCTATATTTACAGTAATGTGCCAATGTAACATTATATACCAGAAATTACCTGTGCTATATTTACAATAATGCACCAATGTAACACCCCTCAGTGGGATGTTACAAACATTAAATACCACAAACTACCTGTGCTATATTTATAATATATTTAATATATATGTATTTAAATATATATATTTACATATATTTAAATATATTTAATATATTACAATAACGAGCCAATATCTGTCACCTACGTTGAACAGTGTGTCCCCAGCCTAAACCCAGTCCCCAGTTTCTGGTATATAATGTTACAAACATTATATAATATTACAAACAGTATATACCACAAACTACCTGTGCTATATTTACAATAACGCACCAGTGTAACACCCCTCAGTGGGATGGTACAAACATTGAATACCACAAACTACCTGTGCTGTATTTACAATAATGTGCCGATGTTATTGTAAATAGAAAATATTTATAAATATAAAATATAAAAATGCCAACACCACAGTGAAACATGGAGGGCATGAAGAAGGAGGAAAAGGACAAGACACACCCAATTTCCTCCATCTTGTCCCCTTTGGACTCCTCATCTAGAATCCTAAAATTTTACTTTTGCACCCGTGCCACAGTTAATTATTACTGATATCAAACACTCAGAGCTGGTAATTCATCCTGTAAGAAAAATCACGGGATATGATTCCATGCAGGTGCTTTTATTGAGAGCTTTGGGAATCAGAAGTGCCACAGACCCAAATCTGACTCCAACACGGCTTTGGAGCTGAACATATTTTATATTCTATCCTTAATTAACTCACATATTAATTATTAAACTTACATTGTTCTAGTGTATACATTGACATGAGTTTCTCATGATTATTCTTACGATTAAACAATAATTATATTTAATTAACAAACAATCATCACATCTAACAATTATATCATTTATCACGTCCTAGCTACATAGGTGCAGCTCCAGCAAAGTAAAAAGTCTTAATGTATTTAGAGTATTTATTTTCTTTATTTTCCTTTTAAAAGCCCGGGGAATCCAGTCCGACCTGTCTGGCAGCTGAAATCCCATCCAAGGGCAGACAAAAGTGGGATCAGGGACTCGTTAATTCCGAAAAAAAACCCCAAATCCTTCCAATTTAACCCCTTGGCTGCTGCGGCAGTTGTTTAAATTCAGTTTAAATTCAGTTTAAATTCAGTTTAAATTCAGTTTAAATTCAGTTTAAAGGATGACAGAAGGAATTCCCCCAGTGGGAATTTCCCAGGGTGGGAAGGGTTAAAAAGGAGCAGCTTTTCCCTCTGCTGGGAAGTGAAGTTGGATTTGTTTTGACTGGTTCATTTAATCTCTTGATGTGGAAGAGACTGAGCCAGCTACTCACACCGAAATTTAGCAGCTCAAATTGGGATTGTGAAAGAAAAAATAAATTTATTTCAAGCCCTTATATTCAGAAATTTATCTGCACAAATTGGGATTGTGACGGAAAAAAAAATTTATTTCAAGTCTTTATATTCGGAAATTTAGCAGCACCAATTGGGATTGTGACAGAAAAAAATATTTTATTTCAAGCCCTTATATTCAGAAATTTATCAGCGCAAATTGGGATTGTGACAGAAAAAAAAAAAATTATTTCAAGCCCTTATATTCAGAAATTTAGCAGCGAAATTGGGATTGTGACGGAAAAAAAAAATTATTTCAAGCCCTTATATTCAGAAATTTAGCAGCGCAAATTGGGATTGTGACAGAAAAAAAAATTTTATTTCAAGTCTTTATATTCAGAAATTTAGCAGCGCAAATTGGGATTGTGAGAGAAAAAAAATTTTTATTTCAAGCTTTTATATTCGGAAATTTATCTGCACAAATTGGGATTGTGACAGAAAAAAAATATTTATTTCAAGCCCTTATATTCAGAAATTTAGCAGCGTAAATTGGGATTGTGACGGAAAAATAAATTTTATTTCAAGCCCTTATATTCAGAAATTTAGCAGCGCAAATTGGGATCGTGACAGAAAAAAATATTTATTTCAAGTCTTTATATTCGGAAATTTAGCAGCGCAAATTGGGATTGTGACAGAAAAAAATAAATTAATTTCAAGCCCTTATATTCAGAAATTTAGCAGCGCAAATTGGGATTGTGACGGAAAAATAAATTTTATTTCAAGCCCTAATATTCAGAAATTTAGCAGCGCAAATTGGGATTGTGACAGAAAAAAAAATTATTTCAAGCCCTTATATTCAGAAATTTATCTGCACAAATTGGGATTGTGACAGAAAAAAAATTTTTATTTCAAGCCTTTATATTCAGAAATTTAGCAGCATAAATTTGGATTGTGACAGAAAAAAAATATTTATTTCAAGCCTTTATATTCAGAAATTTAGCAGTGCAAATTGGGATTGTGACAGAAAAAAATTTTATTTTAAGCCCTTATATTCAGAAATTTAGCAGCGTAAATTGGGATTGTGACAGAAAAAAAAAATTATTTCAAGCCCTTATATACAGAAATTTAGCAGCGCAAATTGGGATTGTGACGGAAAAATATTTTTATTTCAAGCCCTTATATTAAGAAATTTAGCAGCGCAAATTGGGATTGTGACAGAAAAAAAATTTTTATTTCAAGCCCTTATATTCAGAAATGTAGCAGCTCAAATTGGGATTGTGACAGAAAAAAAAAATTTATTTCAAGCCCTTATATTCGGAAATTTAGCAGCGCAAATTGGGATTGTGACAGAAAAAAATATTTTATTTCAAGCCCTTATATTTAGAAACATAGCAGTGCAAATTGGGAGTGTGACAGAAAAACAAATTAAAAAACCATCAGGAAAGAAAATGTTTCTCAATCGCCTCCATCTGACATTTTAAACTCCTCCCTTCGAACAGAGATTTGGGGCGGGGAGGAGGCAGAGGAAAAAAAAAATCTGCATTTCTAATCTGAATTTCGGATTCTGTTTCTAATTTAATTCTGACAGGGAAAAGAAGGGACACTGGGCATTAAACTATTTATTTATAATTAAATTTATAATTTTTATTATAATTTAAAAAAATTAATTTTAAAAAAAATTTTTCGGGAGGATTTTTTTCCTTATTTTTCAAAATAGCTATCTATATCTATGTCTATATCTATGTCTATGTTTATATCTATATCTATATCTATATCTATATCTATATCTATATCTATATCTATATCTATATCTATATCTATATCTAATCTATATATCTATATCTATATCTATATCTACATCTATATATATGTCTATATCTATGTCTATGTCTATGTCTATGTCTATATCTATATCTATATCTATATCTATTTATATCTATATCTATATCTATATCTATATCTTTGTAATTATAGTATATAATTATATGGTTATATACTATAGATATAGTTATATCTATATATATATAGTTATTTATAAATTTTATAGTTATATAAATTTTATAGTTATATAAAATGTCTATATCTATATCTATATCTATATATCTATATCTAATCTATATCTATATCTTTATATTTATATTTATATCTAATCTATATCTATGTCTATATCTATATATCTATATCTATATCTATATTTCTATTTGTAGTTATAGTATATAATAATATAGTTATATACTATAGATATAGTTATATCTAGTTAGAGTTATTTATAAATTTTATAGTTATTTAGATTTGTATTGATATTCATAATTGTATTTTAATTTTGGTGGTTTTGTGTAATTAGATTAAAAAGGCCACTGGTAGATAGTTATTAAGTTAAAAGTGAAATTAATTTAAGCATCATTCCTTAATTAAACAGTTTCTCCTTAATATTATGTTGGAACCAAAAACATTTAAAACACTGCTTAAGATAATTAATACAGCACAACTTTATAACGTTACACATATAATATTCATTGTAATATTTGCAAAAAGCCAATCATAAAAGATGCATTTTTCACACAAAACAACCAAAAAAACCCAAAAAAAAAACCCACAAAAAAAACCCCCCAAAAAAGATTGGAGCCATTTGAGGGATTTTTGGGGCTGATTTGAGGGATTTTTGGAACTGGTCCCAGGAGCCTATACAATGCCTATTGCTTATATTAAATGGTGCTTTTTTATCTTTTATATGGTACATTACGTGTTACATGTTACAGTTTTTCCCCAATGCCTATTACCTGTATTAAATGGTGCCTTTCTATCTGTTATATGATACATAACATATTAAATGTTTATATTTTTTCCCCAATACCTATTACCTATATTAAGTGGTGATTTTCTACCTTTTATATGATACATAACATGTTAAATGTTTATATTTTTTCCCCAATGCCTATTACCTATATTAAATGATATTAAATGGTGCTTTTCTACTCTAAACCAACCCATGAGTGCCAACATCACCCAAAAACTTTGAGGTGAGGAAGAAGAAAGAGGGAGGGCAGGACAGGCCCAAATCCCTCCATCTTAAACTTCTGACCCCCATGTACAAAACCAAAGCACTCAAAAATTCTTCCCTTTATTTTGTGATTACTTCTACTCTAATATCTAAATTTTGTGACTTTTTGTTCTTCCTGCAAGGTTGGTAAATCGTTCCATGGCTCAAACCCAAAATCACAGCTGTTTCCAGCTGCTGCCAGGGCCTCAAATGCTTCTGGCCTGGGCCTGGAACACCCAAAAATGTCTGAGGGACGTTTTGATTTCCAATATTTGGCTTCCCTCATGGAAAAATGTTGGAACTCAAAATGTCCCTCAGGCAGACATAGCCTGGGCTGTCCTGGATATTTTGAGGGTTAGAAATTATTCTGATTTAATTTTTTAATTAAAATCTGAATTTTTTAATTCAGATTTTCCTTTCAAGCAGCTTCTCCATTCATTCCCAGCGCTCTGCTCTGTGCTTTCCCTCACCTCATTTTATTTTAAGAAGTTGAATCTCCGCTTTCTCTGCACCAGAAACTCCTTTTTTTTATTTTTTTTTAATTTTTTAAATTTTATTTTTTCAGTTTGACAAGTGGACAGACAGCCAGAGGAGGAGGATCCTGCTGGATTTGCTGGAACGTTGCTCCTTGTCCCAGCAGAAATTTTGTGCCCGGCAGCTCCAGGTCCGGGTCCCCGTCGAGGCCGTCGATTTTACCACCAGGGTCCCTCGAGTCCTGTCCTTGTACATCTTTTCCTTCCTGGACCCACGGAGCCTCTGCAGATGTGCACAGGTAAAAAAATTCACCACCTGCCTGGGGTTCACAAAGCAGTTTAAAATAAAAAAAAATAAAAATAAAAAAGGAAAACACTGATTTTTGAAGGTTTAGGTGAATGCTTAGCGATGCTCATTCCTTGGAGCTTAAATTGAGACAGATTGGCCAAAATTCATGGAATTGATAAATAATTTTAAATGCTCTAAAGCTTTTTAAAAGTGGCATTTTCACGGCTGGATATTCCCAGAAAGGAATCCTCCTAAAAATCACATTCCTCTAAAACATTTTGTGCAGAGCCCTTTATTCTTTGAGAGATATTGATTTGTGCTTTTGCAAAGACAATACTCGATTCTGTAAGGAAAACAGAGACTTTAAAATGCCCAAAAGTCGAGTGTTGGACGTGGAGAAGCAGAAAATGACAGATGGGAGTAGGAGCAAAATGATTAAGTCTCCAAAAATTTGTTTGCATCCCATAAAATGCAGTGAGATTAATTTAAAATCACTGCCCAAAGTGGTTTTAAATTAATAAATTCGTTTTCAGTGGCATTATTACTGTGCTAATGCAATACTCCATTATTCAATACGAATATTGAATAATCTCATTTTGGCTAGGCCTTGCTTTAGTAATTTTATTATTTAAGAATATATCATAATCTCATTTTGGCTGAGCCTTGCTTTAGTAACTTTTATTATTTAAGAATATATCATAATCTCATTTTGGCTGAGCCTTGCTTTAGTAACTTTTATTATTTAAGAATATAGAATAATCTCATCTTGGCTAAGCTTTGCTTTAGTAACTTTTATTATTTAAGAATATATCATAATCTCATTTTGGCTGAGCCTTGCTTTAGTAATTTTATTATTCAAGAATATAGAATAATCTCAATTTGGCTAAGACCTGTTTTAGTAACTTTTTCCAGCATTTCATGTGGATGCAGCTCAAACTCTCCACGACAACAGGTTAGAAAACCCCGTAGGATCACAGAATATCTTGAGTTGGAAGGGGACCCAATCAAAGGTTTAAATGGAGCGCGAACGGCGCAGAATTAAATTAATTTACGCATTTGTGAGAATTACACCCCCAGCACAGAAATCCCAAATCCCAAATGCTGGAAAGGCCGAGTTCTTCCCGCGGCTGGGAATTCCCAGGTGAGCTGGCACTGGAAGAACCTGTCGGAGCTGGACCAGCTGTGGATGCTCAAGTGCCTTCGTTTCGGGTGGCGCCTCCGCTCCTGCCCCTCGCCCCTGGAGCAGGGCGCCTGGAAGCAGCTCTACATCCAGATGGTGCGCGAGCTGCGCCTCAGCCCGCCCAAGGTACGTTGTCTTCCCCCAGATTCCAGTTTTCCACCTTTTCCACGTTGTGGGAATCCCGAGATTGTAGAAAGTCTCTGTCTGTCAGCCCCGTTGCCAAAGAAGTCATAATTGGTCTGTGCTGTTTCAAGGTTGTTTATTCTGTTTATCTCTAACATGTTCTGCTGCCCTGCCGCAGCTCTGTCCTGCAGGGCAGCGTGTGGGGCTCTGCCCTCAGTGGGATGTTACAAACATTATATACCAAAAACTACCTGTGCTATATTTACAATAATGCACCAATGTAACACCCCTCAGTGAGATGTTACAAACATTAAATACCAGAAACTGCCTGTGCTGGATTTACAATAACGTGCCAGTGTAACACCCCTCAGTGGGATGTTGCAAACATTAAATACCAGAAACTACCTGTGCTATATTTACAATATATTTAATATATATGTATTTAAATATATATATTTACATATATTTAAATATATTTAATATATTACAATAATGTGCCAGTATCTGTCACCTACGTTGAACAGTGTGTCCCCAGCCTAAACCAGTCCCCAGTTTCTGGTATATAATGTTACAAATATTATATACCACAAACTACCTGTGCTATATTTACAATAACGCACCAATGTAACACCCCTCAGTGGGATGTTACAAACATTAAATACCACAAACTGCCTGTGCTATATTTACAATAACGTGCCAATGTAACACCCCTCAGTGGGATGTTACAAACATTAAATACCACAAACTACCTGTGCTATATTTACAATAACGCACCAGTGTAACACCCCTCAGTGGGATGTTACAAACATTACATACCACAAACTACCTGTGCTATATTTACAATAACGTGCCAGTGTGACACCCCTCAGTGGGATGTTACAAACATTACATACCAGAAACTACCTGTGTTATATTTACAATAACGTGCCGATGTAACACCCCTCAGTGGGATGTTATAAATATTACTATATTCATTGATTTTAGTGTATTCATATGATATGACTATATTCATATCATATTACTATATTCATAGATATTATTATATTCATATGATATTACTGTATTCACAAATATTACTGTATTCATATGATATTACTAAATTTATAGATGCTACTGTATTCATATGATATTACTACATTCATAGATATTACTATATTCATAGAAATTACTATATTCACACGATATTATTATATTCATATATATTACTATATTCATAGATATTACTATATTCATATGACATTACTATATGAATATATTACTATATGAATATATTACTATATTCATATATTACTATATTCATAGATATTACTGTATTAATATTACTATATTCATAGATATTACCATATTAATATTACTATACTCATATATATTACTATATTAAAATTACTGAATTCATAGTTTTGACTGTATTCTAAACCCTTAAACTCCAAGTTTCCCACCATGTGACATTCCACACTTCCACTCAAACCCCACACCCACAATCCCAGTTCTACCCTTCAATTTTGTAAGGTTTCTCCACGGTCTCAGGTCAAACAAATTGTTCTCTTGTGGGTCTGTGCCTTTCAGCAGGGAAATTGAATTAATTTAATTAATTAATTAAATTAAACTTCCCGGCAGTGTTTAACTCAATGTTAGCAAGTTCTCCTCACAGCTCAGTCAGACAAAACAATTTTTTTCCAGCTTCAGGCCCCAAAAAGTTTAAACAACATCGAATTGATGGGAGCAAACTGGGAGGATTGGGACTTCGTTAGCTGAAGCCGTGATTGAATAATTAACCCCCAATATGCAAATGGCCCGAAACTTTTATAAAAGTTTATGAAAACTCGTGACCTGTGGGAAATGGATTTGCAGAGAATCCTCCAAGCCTGACAGAAGGCTCACATCGTCTGCAAACCTGGAGATAAAAAAATGGTGATTTAGAAATGAGAAATGCCATTTCTAAATTCTAAATTTCTAAATGGCATTTGGAATGGGACAGGTATTGCTGAGAGAGAAATGCAACTAGAAACAAATTTCAAAGGATGGCCTTGCAAATGAGGCTGGAAATAAAACTACGAAAGAAGAGTTGTAGTAGGACCCACGAAGTGTAATTTTAGATGATTGGTTTTGAGGTATTTATGGTATAGTAAAAGTTGATAGGTCAAGAAATGCTTATAATGCATTTTAATTAGGAAATAGTTGGTTTCTGGTTGTGATGGTGTGAATTATAACATCTGTATTGTCCCCCCTCTGGTCACACGAGACTGAAAATGGAATAAAAGTTTTTACAACGCCTCTCCTTGCCCCGTTTCTGGGTGAGAAAAAGGCTCAATCCAACAGCGACCCGTGGTCCATCCTGGGCGTAGCCTTGGCCAGGCCCTCGTGTTTATAGTCATCTTTCTTAGGTCCATGACCACAGTTTCACATGATTATTCTTTCTGATTAAGCAGTAATTATATTTAATTACTAACAGTCGTCACATCTAACAGTTATATCAATTATCATGTACCAGCTACACAGCACAGTACTATTTCTCCGTGTGCTAAAGGTATTTATCTTTCCAAGGCTTATTTTTCCCGTTAACCCTAAATCTCATGATTTTAAAACAATTTTACAATTATTTTCAGTGTGGATTACAGGGCTTGGGTGGTGACAGCGCTGCCAAGGTGCCTCACTGACCCTCATGGAGCCCGCAGAGACCAATTTGGATATTCCCAATTATTATAACCCTACTGAAAATCAGACCAATCTGATTTTCCTCACAGACTAAAACTCATTTCCTTCTTTCTGCCTCCCCGATCAGACTCCGTCCAAGGCCGAGTTCATCGTTATCGACGTGCAGCCAGTGAAAAGCCACGTCCCGGAGGGGAAACGTCCCGCGGAAGGGCTGGGGACGGCCCGGGGGAAAAAGGAGCTCCGTCCTTGGCGTTCATCCGACAGGAACCCCACGGACACCGTCCGCTACAACTACCTGGACAACCACGACCCCATCGAGCAGGCCAGGCAGGCGTAAGAGCTTTTCCCCTATTTTCCTTTTGGCACAAGATTTTCCACGTCCTTCTGCCTGTCCTGGTTGCAAATCCACTTTCCTGCTCTTTTTGGATTTTCTTTTTGATCGGTTTTGGCCCGAAGCTGGCGCTGCTTTGTGTCCTTTCTGCACAAATCTCCTGAGGGATGTTACGGAGCTGGAACGGGAGGAATCAGGCCAGGGGTTTGTCGGAGAGATTTTTTTACATCGAGCTGCCAGGCTGAGAGGAATGTGTGGGTTTGGCAGGGGCAGAGGAAGAACGAATTAATTGTGATGAAATGTAATTCTATCTCTCGGAGGATCTCCTGGCTGAGAGGAGGTTGGGATGATTGAATTGCAGGGCAGGTGTACGAGGATGTCAGAGCGCGGCAGTGATGAATGGTATTTGTGTCTGCTCTGCCTGGATCCGTCACTTCCTGGGCTCCCAGGATTATCCACATGGAAAAAAAAAAGGCATTTCCCTCCCAAAACAGAGTTTTGCATGTGGATCTGTGCTAGAACTGCCCCACGTTTTCCTTGGTCACCTCTGGCATCAGCGATTTTCCAAATCTTAGATCCAGGTCAGTTTTCTGTGCGTTATTTCATTTCCAAATCTTAGATCCAGGTCAGTTTTCTGTGCGTTATTTCATTTCCAAATCTTAGATCCAGGTCAGTTTTCTGTGCGTTATTTCCAAACCTTAGATCCAGGTCAGTTTTCTGTGAGTTATTTCATATCCAAATCTTAGATCCAGGTCAGTTTTCTGTGCTTTATTTCCAAATCTTAGATCCAGGTCAGTTTTCTGTGCGTTATTTCCAAACCTTAGATCCAGGTCAGTTTTCTGTGTGTTATTTCCAAACCTTAGATCCAGGTCAGTTTTCTGTGCGTTATTTCATTTCCAAATCTTAGATCCAGGTCAGTTTTCTGTGCGTTATTTCATTTCCAAATCTTAGATCCAGGTCAGTTTTCTGTGCTTTATTTCCAAATCTTAGATCCAGGTCAGTTTTCTGTGCGTTATTTCCAAACCTTAGATCCAGGTCAGTTTTCTGTGTGTTATTTCCAAACCTTAGATCCAGGTCAGTTTTCTGTGCGTTATTTCATTTCCAAATCTTAGATCCAGGTCAGTTTTCTGTGCGTTATTTCATTTCCAAATCTTAGATCCAGGTCAGTTTTCGGTGCGTTATTTCATTTCCAAATCTTAGATCCAGGTCAGTTTTCTGTGCGTTATTTCATTTCCAAATCTTAGATCCAGGTCAGTTTTCTGTGCGTTATTTCATTTCCAAATCTTAGATCCAGGTCAGTTTTCTGTGCGTTATTTCCAAATCTTAGATCCAGGTCAGTTTTCTGTGCGTTATTTCATTTCCAAATCTTAGATCCAGGTCAGTTTTCTGTGCGTTATTTCATTTCCAAATCTTAGATCCAGGTCAGTTTTCTGTGCATTATTTCATTTCCAAATCTTAGATCCAGGTCAGTTTTCTGTGCGTTATTTCCAAATCTTAGATCCAGGTCAGTTTTCTGGCCGTTATTTCCAAATCTTAGATCCAGGTCAGTTTTCTGTGCGTTATTTCCAAATCTTAGATCCAGGTCAGTTTTCTGTGCGTTATTTCATTTATAATTTTAGATCCAGATCAGTTTTCTGTGCGTTATTTCCAAATCTTAGATCCAGGTCAGTTTTCTGTGCGTTATTTCCAAATCTTAGATCCAGGTCAGTTTTCTGTGCGTTATTTCATTTCCAAATCTTAGATCCAGGTCAGTTTTCTGTGCATTATTTCATTTCCAAACCTTAGATCCAGGTCAGTTTTCTGTGCGTTATTTCCAAATCTTAGATCCAGGTCAGTTTTCTGTGCGTTATTTCCAAATCTTAGATCCAGGTCAGTTTCCTGTACGTTATTTCAAAATTTTAGATCCAGGTCAGTTTTCTGTGCGTTATTTCCAAATCTTAGATCCAGGTCAGTTTTCTGGGCATTATTTCCAAATCTTAGATCCAGGTCAGTTTTCTGTGCGTTATTTCCGAATCTTAGATCCAGGTCAGTTTTCTGTGCGTTATTTCCAAACTTTAGATCCAGGTCAGTTTTCTGTGCGTTATTTCATATCCAAATCTTAGATCCAGGTCAGTTTTCTGTGCGTTATTTCCAAATCCTAGATCCAGGTCAGTTTTCTGTGCGTTATTTCCAAATCTTAGATCCAGGTCAGTTTTCTGTACATTATTTCATTTCCAAATCTTAGATCCAGGTCAGTTTTCTGTGCGTTATTTCATTTCCAAACCTTAGATCCAGGTCAGTTTTCTGTGCGTTATTTACAAATCTTAGATCCAGGTCAGTTTTCTGTGCATTATTTCATTTCCAAATTTTAGATCCAGGTCAGTTTTCTGTGCGTTATTTCATTTCCAAATCTTAGATCCAGGTCAGTTTTCTCTGCGTTATTTCATTTCCAAATTTTAGATCCAGGTCAGTTTTCTGTGCATAATTTCATTTCCAAATCTTAGCTCTAGGTCAGTTTTCTGTGCGTTATTTCCAAATCTTAGATCCAGGTCAGTTTTCTGTGCGTTATTTCATTTCCAAATCTTAGATCCAGGTCAGTTTTCTGTGCGTTATTTCATTTCCAAATCTTAGATCCAGGTCAGTTCTCTGTGCGTTATTTCCAAATCTTAGATCCAGATCAGTTGTCTGTGCGTTATTTCCAAATCTTAGATCCAGGTCAGTTTTCTGTGTGTTATTTCCAAATCTTAGATCCAGGTCAGTTTTCTGTGCGTTATTTCATTTCCAAATCTTAGATCCAGGTCAGTTCTCTGTGCGTTATTTCCAAATCTTAGATCCAGATCAGTTGTCTGTGCGTTATTTCCAAATCTTAGATCCAGGTCAGTTTTCTGTGCGTTATTTCCAAACCTTAGATCCAGGTCAGTTTTCTGTGCGTTATTTCCAAACCTTAGATCCAGGTCAGTTTTCTGTGTGTTATTTCATATCCAAATCTTAGATCCAGGTCAGTTTTCTGTGTGTTATTTCATTTCCCAATCTTAGATCCAGGTCAGTTTTCTGTGCGTTATTTCCAAATCTTAGATCCAGGTCAGTTTTCTGTGCTTTATTTCCAAATCTTAGATCCAGGTCAGTTTTCTGTGCGTTATTTCATTTCCAAATCTTAGATCCAGGTCAGTTTTCTGTGCGTTATTTCATTTCCAAATCTTAGATCCAGGTCAGTTTTCTGTGCGTTATTTCCAAATCTTAGATCCAGGTCAGTTTTCTGTGCATTATTTCATTTCCAAATCTTAGATCCAGGTCAGTTTTCTGTGCGTTATTTCCGAATTTTAGACCCAGGTCAGTTTTCTGTGCGTTATTTCCAAATCTCAGATCCAGGTCAGTTTTCTGTGCGTTATTTCATATCCAAATCTTAGATCCAGGTCAGTTTTCTGTGCATTATTTCATTTCCAAATCTTAGATCCAGGTCAGTTTTCTGTGCGTTATTTCATTTCCAAATCTTAGATCCAGGTCAGTTTTCTGTGCGTTATTTCCAAATCTTAGATCCAGGTCAGTTTTCTGTGCGTTATTTCATTTCCAAATCTTAGATCCAGGTCAGTTTTCTGTGCGTTATTTGCAAATCTTAGATCCAGGTCAGTTTTCTGTGTGTTATTTCATTTCCAAATCTTAGATCCAGGTCAGTTTTCTGTGGGTTATTTCCCAATCTTAGATCCAGATCAGTTGTCTGTGCGTTATTTCATTTCCAAATCTTAGATCCAGGTCAGTTTTCTGTGCGTTATTTCCAAATCTTAGATCCAGGTCAGTTTTCTGTGCGTTATTTCCAAACCTTAGATCCAGGTCAGTTTTCTGTACGTTATTTCCAAATCTTAGATCCAGGTCAGTTTTCTGTGCGTTATTTCCAAATCTTAGATCCAGGTCAGTTTTCTGTGTGTTATTTCACTTCCAAATCTTAGATCCAGGTCAGTTTTCTGTGCGTTATTTCATTTCCAAATCTTAGATCCAGGTCAGTTTTCTGTGCGTTATTTCCAAATCTTAGATCCAGGTCAGTTTTCTGTGCATTATTTCATTTCCAAATCTTAGATCCAGGTCAGTTTTCTGTGCGTTATTTCCAAATCTTAGATCCAGGTCAGTTTTCTGTGCGTTATTTCCAAATATTAGATCCAGGTCAGTTTTCTGTGCGTTATTTCCAAATCTTAGATCCAGGTCAGTTTTCTGGGCGTTATTTCATTTCCAAATGAGGTGATGGATCCTCTCCACCGTTCCCCGGCTGCTGTGGGAATCCACGGCCTCGCCAGGCCGGGCAGGCGATTCCTCCCCTCCGTGCCAACAAAAACCTTGGGAAAAAAACCAACAAATCCACGGCGGGGCCGTGTTTAAACAAACACCCAGCAGAGCCAAGATTATCCCCGTGCCCGGGAACAATCAGCCCAGGAATTACCCCAGCCAGCGATTGTTTGGCCAAGCGCTTTTTCCCAACGGACCCACCGCTGCTTCGGGGTGTTCCACGGAGCAAAAACCTTTTATGAATCACATTTTAATCCGCGTCCCCCGGTCCTTGGATGTTGCACTACTTCAAAGAGCTTCCCAGTTTCCACCTCGCCCTTTTTCTGTGGGATGTTTCCCAACTCCAGCGCCACTTTTGGGTCGTGTTCTTTGAGGGTTTGAAGTGAAAATTTTCAGCGAACGCATCTTGCCACAAACAAATCTTTTCCAGCTGTTCTCGGCGGTTTCGTGCAGCAGCTCCCAGAGGTTTCTGTGAGGTTTAGGATTCTCTTGTGCTGTTTCTGTGAGGTTTAGGATTCTCTTGTGCCGTTTCTGTGAGGTTTAGGATTCTCTTGTGACGTTTCTGTGAGGTTTAGGATTCTCTTGTGCCATTTCTGTGAGGTTTAGGATTCTCTTGTGCCGTTTCTGCGAGGTTTAGGATTCTCTTGTGCCGTTTCTGTGAGGTTTAGGATTCTCTTGTGCCGTTTCTGTGAGGTTTAGGATTCTTTTGTGCCGTTTCTGTGAGGTTTAGGATTCTCTTGTGCCGTTTTTGTGAGGTTTAGGATTCTTTTGTGCCGTTTCTGTGAGGTTTAGGATTTTCCCCGTGCCACGAAAAAAGTGGGACAAGCCTCGTTTGAAGAGTTTAATTGTGAAAACAATTCACCTGAAATAATGAGACAGTAAATAATAAACACACTCCCTGTTTGCCTCTCCCTAGTGGGATCCCAGCCTGTCTCCGTTCGTGGGGAATGTTTTAATGCCAAATGTTCCTGCAAATCTGCCATTTATCCTCAATTACAGAGGATTACTGCGAGGAATTCTGTGAGATTTGCCTGTTTATTGAGGATTTGCCTTTAATATCACTTAAGCTGCAGGTAATTGCTGCTGCTCGGGCTCATCTCTGCTGATTATTCAGCAGCACAGGTGCCACGTTTCAGGTGCTGACCCAGCCTCCCACTCCCACGGACACCTCGTTGTGCCTTCCCAAAAATCCTCCCACCGAGGCTCGGTGCTGCGGAGAATGTTTGGGAATGGGAATCCAGCTGGATCCCTGGAGCAGGAGGACACCACCCCGAGGTTTTGGTGGTCCTGGTGTCCCTGTGGGATCCACCTCGGTGCAGGCAGACCCTGCCCGAGCAGGGCTCAGCTTGGAAAGGCAGGAACAGAATCCCAAGATAAAAATCTCCGACCCCGCTGGCGATTCCAGGTTCTCCTGGAGCTCAAGGGCAGAACAACTTCTCCTGACGTAAAAGAGATGTCGGGAGGAAGGAGATGGGTGTAAAATCAGACACTGCAACAACAGAAGCGATTTCCCCGATTTACCCGGGGTTTGCCACAGGGAATCCGAGAGGGGAAATGGCTTTTGCTGCAGCCTGGAAAGGAGCAGGGCTGGGGGTTTCCTTGAGGAGAAACCCAAAGTGATGGTGGGCAGCAAAGGCCTGGAGGGAGCTCTTCTAGCCCGGCAGTCCCTGAGCCAACAAAACCTTTTCCCACATGCCGAGGAAGCTGCGGAGAATTCCTTGTGAATAAAGAGGATCACATCAAAGGAATACCTGACGCCACCATCAAAGCCAGGTGTGAGACGAGTCCGACTCCGAATTAATCTCCCTAATTCCAGGCTGGATTTTGCACAATTTAAGAGTTAATAGACCAAAAAGAAGTTTTTCCTAAGTCTTAGGCCTGGTTTAAATCTCCTCAGAGCCTGACCTCGCTCTGCAGTTTTTTCTGGTCCAAAGGGAGGGCAGGACTATGCTGCTCATCACATCAAGGTGAAATGTTGGCATTTAAATGGCAGAGTTAATGGAATTCCAGAATGGTTTGGGTGGAAAGGGACATTAAAATTCATCCAGTTCCAACCCTGACACCTTCCACCATCCCAGGCTGCTCCAAACCCTGTCCAACCTGACCTTGGACACTGCCAGGGATCCAGGGGCAGCCACAGCTTCTCTGGGAATTCCAGCCCAGCCCCTCCCCACCCTCACAGGGAAGGTTTTCCCCCTAATATTTAATCTAAATATCTTTAAAACCGCTGATGGAAAAAGTCACTTCTTGTCATCTGTGATGCTGAAGAGTTTTTGTGTGTTTCTTGCTTGGCCTTTTTCAGTCATCAGCTGCCTTCTCCCTCCCACAGCAGCACCAAAAAAACGCTGCTGAGAATTCCTAGCAGAGAACTCATCCTTGTTCATCCAAAAAAAAAAAAATGGAAATACGGGAAGCAGAACGAGCCGCAGTCAATTCCCAATTAGGCAGCGCGGTGGAAATGGAGCGCTCTAAGTGGAAATGCAAAACACATTTTGCAGCCTATCAGACCATAATTGGCTCTTTAGTTTGAAAAACAGATCAATACATTTTACATTTCCAGACAGCAGCTGGGTGGTGCTCACTGGGGACAACAACAGGGAGTGCCCAAAAAACGGGGTTCATTTGCAACCTGGATGATCACTGACATCTATTTTGTGTTTCTGCTGGATTTCTTTGGTGGTTTGTACCCTAAAAACTGTGCCCAGGAGCTCAGTGAAGCCCTGCTGAAGGAGGGAAGGAGATGGGACAGAGATCCCCCAGTAAGTTCCCTGAGAGGTTTTGTGTTAGAACTCAAAACGTCCCTCAGACATTTTTGGATGTTCCGGGCCCAGCTCAGAAGCATTTGAGACCCTGGCAGCAGCTGGAAACAGCTGTGATTTTGGGTTTGAGCCATGGAATGATTTACCAACCTTGCAGGAAGAACGAGAAGTCACAAAAGTTTAGATATTAGAGTAGAAGTAGTCACAGAGTAAAGGGAAGAATTTTTGAGTGCTGTACAGGGCGGTTTTGGTTTTGTACATGGGGGTCAGAGGGTTTAAGATGGAGGGATGTAGGTTGGTCCTGTCCTTCCTCTTTCTTCTTCCTCACCTCCATGTTCTTGGTGATGTTGGCACTCATGGGTTGGTTTAGAGTAGAAAAGAACCATTTAATATCATTTAATATAGGTAATGGGCATTGGGGAAAAAATATAAACATTTAATATGTTATGTATCATATAACAGATAGAAAGGCACCATTTAATTCAGGTAATAGGCACTGGGGAAAAACTGTAAACATGTAACACATAATGTACATATAAAAGATAGAAAAGCACAATTTAATATAGGTAATAGGCACTGGGGAAAAACTATAAACATTTAACATATAATGTATCATATAAAAGATAGAAAGGCACCATTTAATATAGGCAATAGGCATTGTGGAAAAACTGTAAACATTTAATATGTAATGTACCATATAAAAGGTAGCAACCAGCCCTGGGTGGGGAGAGAAGAAGCAGTGGGAGTCAGAGAGGATGTCAGGGTGTGTGTGTGCCTCTGCCTGAGCTGTGAGCAAACTGAGCAGCTCAAGAAGAAAATATTTTAGATAATTTGCAATAAATTACCTTTAGTCCGAACAACAGAAAACTTCTGAACCTTTTTTTTGAAAGCACAGCTTGGAGGAGAGATTTTCCACCACACGGAGCCACCCCCGACCCGGGTGAGCTCCGTCAGTTTTGGGTTTAGTTCAGTGTGGGAAAAGCTTCCCAGTCACTGAGCAGGAAAATTAAGAATAGCAAGGCTCAGACGTGCAGCTGAGGGAGTGGTGAGGTGATAAGAGAAGAGATACAGACAGGCTTGGATGACAAATTGCCTGGGAGGATTTATCAAAATCCCTCAATAAAATTATAGCTGTGACTATCGGTGTTGTAATTTATCACAGAGATGATTTCTGGTAGGTCTGGTTTGTTTTCTGCCTCAATTGTCCAAGCAGCTTTAAAAAAACAAAACAAATATCCTCCAGAGATCAGCAAGGATTTGCCTCTCTGGGCACAAAGAAAATATTGCATAGGGGAAGTGAAGGATTTTTATCTGAAGCGAGTTAGGAAATATTTCTGTGGGGCTCTGATCCGCCTCCAGAGGCCCAGGAGGGCGTTTCTGTCGGGCTCTGCGTGCACAGCTCTGAGTTCTGCTGGAAGGCATCTGCTGTTTGTGCTGCTGCTCGCCAATAAATCAACAGATTCGCCTCCCACTTGATCACGGATAACGAATTCCGATTCCGCCGCGCGCTGGAGCCGCGCCAAGGCTGCGGCATTGCGCCTCAAGACAGAGCCCTGCTCCTTCTCACGGCCAAAAACTCCTTCCCCCATCCCCAGCCTGGGGTAATTTATGGCTCTAAAAACAGTTGGATATTGTCCTGAGGAAATAATTGCTGTCGGTAATTGCGCTGCGGCGGCGCGGCCCCGCTCCGGACAAAGAGGGGCTCGCTGGCGTGAGAAGGACTCGCGGTGCTCCCTCCCTTTCTGTGCTGCTCAAAACCAGCCTGAAGCTGTGCTGCTGATGGTTCTGAGATTGTAGAAAATCTCTGTCAGCCCCGCAGCCAAAGAAAAAAATAATAAATTGTCTGTGCTGTTTTCAAGGTTGTTTATTTTTGTTTATCTGTAACAAGTTCTGTCTGTCCTGCCGCAGGTCTGTCCTCAGTGGGATGTTACAAACATTAAATACCACAAATTATCTGTGCTATATTTACAATAACGCACCAATGTAACAACCCTCAGTGGGATGTTACAAACATTAAATACCAAAAACTACCTGTGCTGGATTTACAATAATGCACCAATGTAATAACACCCCTCAGTGGGATGGTACAAACATTAAATACCACAAACTACCTGTGCTATATTTACAATAACGCACCAATGTAACACCCCTCAGTGGGATGTTACAAACATTATACACCACAAACTACCTGTGCTATATTTACAATAATGCACCAGTGTAACACCCCTCAGTGGGATGGTACAAACATTAAATACCACAAACTACCTGTGCTATATTTACAATAACGTGCCAATATCTGTCACCTACGTTGAACAGCGTGTCCCCAGCCTGAACCAACAGAAAAATGCCAACACCACAGTGAAACATGGAGGGCATGAAGAAGGAGAAAAAGGACAAGACACACCCAATGTCCTCCATCTTGTCCCCTTTGGACCCCTAATCTAGAATCCTAAAATTTTACTTTTGCACCCGTGACACACTTAATTATTACTTATATCAAACACTCAGAGCTGGTAATTCATCCTGTAAGATTGAAAACTCTTTTCCATGGACAGAGATCACAGCCAGTGTCTCTGGGGGCTCTGTCCAGGGGGGTTCTGACCCCCTGAGACCTTCCAGGGCAGCCAGAGGGATGTTCTGGACTCCCACACCAGCCCAGCTCCCTGTGGGCGTGTGGGAATGGAAAATATTCCTTAAGGGAGGAAAATGGGGCAAAAAACATCAAATTCAGCACTGGTAGTCCTTCTTCCTTGTCCTCACTCCTCGCATTTTCCCGACCTGGAGCTGGGGTTGCAGGGGTGACCTGACACCACAATTTGGACACCAGAAGACAGCAGCAGATACCTAAATTTACAATAATAATTTACACTAATAATTTACATGAATAATTTACACTAATAACTCACAATAATATTTTACAATAATATTTTACAGTAATATTTTACAACAATATTTACAGTCGCAAGGCCAGCGCTGCTTCCTACCCAAAGGTCACATCATCATTTTTAGGATGGAAAAACACCTTTAAGATCACCGAGTCCAACCATAACCTGGGACAATGCCAGGGCCACCAAAATGACCAGTTCATTCCCAGCTGGAATATTTTAGAGGGAATTATCTCTCTTGGCTTTTTTTGGTTTTTAAACAGGTTGTGGTTTTCTTCCGTTTCAAATGCTGGATTTGACTTTATGGCGCTGGACTGGGATGAGGGAATACTGGAGACAGGCTGGAGGTGTGATCCTGGTTTTTTAGAGGATAAAAGCTGATTTTAGAGTCCATTTCTGCCCTTTATATCCGTGGTTTTGTATTCCTACTGTGCTTTTTTAGCTGCCCAGAGACACTTGGAGAACCACTCAGAGCTTCTGCTTTAAATTCCCAGATTCCATATCCTGGAATTTGAATGTGGAATTAATGCCTCCGGATAATGAACCTGCCAGAGTGCTTGGAAATAACAATGCCTCAGAGTCTGGATTTTACTCCTGATATTGTAAAAAAATGTGGCTACTGGCCAAATTCCAGCGCAATTCACTTAATTTTCACACTCCGAAATATTCCTGTTCTTCCAGTTAATTGTGTTGAGTTTAATAGCAGCTGCATATATTGCCAGAAATATGCAAATATATGTATAAAATTATTTGACTACAAAAAACACTGAATAAACCTTGCTGGAGGGGCAGCCCCCAGCCCTTTTCACACTTCAGGTCACACAGACTTCACTGAAAACTCCCAAATCGATTTAGCTCAACTTCTTTCCTGTGAATTTCCCCAAGGAGCTGTAACACCTTAGGCAGATTTAGCTTAAATCACTGAGACCTCAGCTTGTGTTTGAGTGCCAGAATTTATCACAATTTAAAAAACAAAACAAAACAAAACAAAAAAAAATGAAGTTCCCACCTTCCCCTGAGCCCCGGTGGCTGATTGTGCTCTTTGGGGCAAGATAAAAAATGTGTTATCTCAAGGCACGTCTTGAGAGAACACAAATCCCAAAGGATTTGACTTTTATCACCCCCAGGGCAGCAAGTACACGGAATTTATTGGAATTATCACGTTCTGCTCTGCAGGAGGAGCAAGGGAGGAGGTCACACCCCGGACCTGAGCAGGCAGGAGGCCGAGAGGAAGAAGAGAGCAGCTCGTGGACCCACTCCGCTCCGAGAGGTGAAATCCCCGGCAAGTGTCACCAGGGTGGGATTCCAGCTCCAGGGATGGTGGAGCTCGGAGTTGTTCCCTCAGGGAAAAACCTGGGCAGGAGGAGAACACCAAACTCTGAGGGAATCTCCCCGCTGCATCCCAGACATCGCCGTGGGTGGGAAAGGGACAGTTTCTTGGTTTGAAAAGAGAGGAGTCTGTGAAGGAAGGCAAAAGCCTCCTGTGAAATGGAAAAGGTAAACCCCCTCCCTCCGAATTACCACAATTAAAAAAAAAAAACTCTCAGGCAACAATATGGGAATAACAGTTCTTTACTAGGAGAAAAACTAACTAAAAATAATAATAATAAAAAAAATGTGATTAGTACAAATGATGGAGTCAGAATCCTGACACCTTGAGGAGTCAGGGTGTTGGTAACAGTCCAGTTAAATGGTGGCGGCTCCTCCTGGAGCAGCAGATGAAATGCTGCTGACGTGGTGATCTCTAGAAGGTTGGAGTTTTCTCTGAAGGTCTGGTAGATGTTGGGCCTGATCTTCCTCTGGGAATCCAGCAGAGAAGAAGCTGCTCCTCTGGGAATTCAGTGAAGGGCTGCCCAGTGTCTCAAAAAGTGCTGATTTTATGCAGGTATGGCTGCTTGGCTCCTCCCTCTGGGTGGAGCATCTCACCATGGGATGATGTCACTTTTCCATCATGCACTGACTCGTTCAATGGCCCATTAACAGAAGATGTCTCCCCAGAGGGAGACATTATTCTTGGAAGAGATAAGGAAACTGCCCAACCTCCAACAGATGGATATAGAATCCATGCTGATCTTACAAGCCAGGACAACAGCGCTGTCAGTGCAGAGAGTGACTCTGTTATTTATCCTCTTCTCTGCCCCAAAATACCCTTTTCATGCTTTTCACAAAGTGCTGCCACAGTTCTTCCACGACTCTTGTGCCTCTTCCCAAAATCTCACGGCTTCGGTGTCGGAATCTGTGGTGTTGATGATTCCAAGACTGTAGAAAGTCTCTGTCAGCCCCGCAGCCAAAGAAGAAATCATAAATTGTCTGTGCTGTTTTCGAGGTTGTTTATTTTTGTTTATCTCCAACATGTTCTGCTGCCCTGCCACAGGTCTGTCCTCAGTGGGATGTTACAAACATTAAATACCAAAAAACTACCTGTGCTATATTTACAATAACGCACCAGTGTAACACCCCTCAGTGGGATGGTACAAACATTAAATACCACAAACTACCCGTGCTATATTTACAATAATGCACCAGTGTAACACCCCTCAGTGGGATGTTACAAACATTAAATACCACAAACTACCTGTGCTGGATTTACAATAACGTGCCAATATCTGTCACCTACGTTGAACAGTGTGTCCCCAGCCTGAACCAACAGAAAAATGCCAACACCACAGTGAAACATGGAGGGCATGAAGAAGGAGAAAAAGGACAAGACACACCCAGTTTCCTCCATCTTGTCCCCTTTGAACCCCTTATCTAGAATCCTAAAATTTTACTTTTGCACCCGTGCCATACTTAATTATTACTGATATCAAACACTCAGAGCTGGTAATTCATCCTGTAAGATTGAAAACTCTTTTCCATGGACAGAGATCACAGCCAGTGTCTCTCGGGGCTCTGTCCAGGGGGGTTCTGACCCCTGCCAGGGTCCCAGACGGAAGCTCTGGACTCCCACACTTCGGTCGCCGCGGTTTGACGTCGGTTGGTTCTGCGCGCCCTGAGCCCGAGCGAAGCAGCCCCAAACCTCAGCACTGAGAGCTCTTTGTGCTCAGGGCTGCTCAAACAGGACATCCCCCCATGAAAGGAGCCCAGGGAAGTCATTCCAGAAAATTCCACGGGGTTTTGTGGCTCTGGGAACAAAGGAGAGGCGGGAGGAGGCCGCGCTCAGCAGCGCGTCGCGGCTCCGGGAGCGGACCTGGCGCTCCCCGAGCGCGGAGGGCAGGGCACGCCTGGGACTTGTGCAAGAAAAGGGTGACAAAAAAAGAGAGGCATTGTCTCCCAGCTGGGGAAGCATCCTCCTGACCCAGATACAGCCTTGCCTGCAAAGAAATGGATTCTGGCACAGAAAATGTCATTTTTCAGCCTCTGTCTTCGGCTTTGCACTCTCTGCAGATCAACATCCTCACACTTTTTAAATTCTTTTTGCCGTTAAATGCTCGAGATGGAATTTCTTGTTTGGACTCAGAGCTTCATTAGTTCTTATCTCTGTCGCAGTGTCACGAGCAGTGAGTTCTGTAGCACTTCACCCTAACAAACCAAAAATGGAGCTGCAGCCTGGAAAGGAACACGGTGTTCCCCATCTCTCCTTCTACAAGGCCTTCTAAGGATAAAAGAATTAAAGAAAGAATAGAATAAAAGAATAGAATAAAAGTAAAGAATTATTTTTAATTTTAACCCAATAACCAGCCACCCGTGGCCTGCAATGTGGAATTTTGATATCCAATTACACAAAACCACCCAAACCCATGGAGAACAGGGTGAAGAAAACGGATCAGCCTCTGCCCAAAAACCTCCACCTTGTTTATATTTATTACTATTTTCTAAAACCCCAAACTCTTAAGTTTTCCACCCTGTGATATTACACATTTCTATTCAAACTCCACACTTGTAATCTCAGTGCTATAATTTAATTTTGGAAGATTTCTCCACGCCCTCAGGTCAAATTCAGAAAATTTACAATTCTCAACATCCAGGGTTCCAATCCCTTCCCTTCCAACTTCCCAATTTCGAGTTGTTTTATTGCCAGGCCAGAAGTGGGAGGATCTCATTTCCGAGTAAATAAATGAGTGAATTTGGTTTTCTTTACCTATATTTTAGGAAAGTTATGTGATCTTCAAGTTAATTAACCTGCAACTCCAATCAGGAAGCATTTAAGTGATTAAAAAAAACCAGAGAATCCCGGAATTGTTGAAGTTCAAAAAGATCTTTAAGATAATCCAGCCCAATCATTCCCTGCCACCACTGATCCATGTCCCCAAGTGTCACTTCCATAGGGATTTTTAATCCCTGCAGGGATGGGGGCACCACTGGAGCCCTGGGCAGCTGTGCCAGGGCTGGGCAGCCATAAATGAGCACTAAAAACAAATAAAACCCAGGTTAAACCAGGCTGATGCGTAAGAAAAAGTAAAAATAAACACAAATATAATTCTCTAGTAATAATCCAAAATTAATTTCCATTTCTTATTAAAGGTAACATCGGGAAACCTGAAATGAAAGGCCTTTGAAAAGGTTCTTATTTAATGAAGCCTAAATAAAGAGGCTTAATGTGGAAATCTTTCAGCAAACCCTTAGAAGAATGGGATGAAAGAATAAATGCCCAAGGCGAGCAAACAGCGAGTCAAATTAAGATGAAACCCTCAAATAAATCAATGATCCAAGTGCAGAGAGCAGGTGAAAATAAAGAATATTCCAGCCAACAATGAAGATGTAAAAAAGGGTTTTTAGATGGAGCTCCCAGCCCAGGAGGCTCAGCCAAAATAAGAATAAACACCTAATTAAGGGGACATCCAGTGGCTCCACGTTTCCCTGCGGTGAATGAGAAAACCTGGGAGGGTTTGGAGTTTGTTGCTAATCATGGAAATGTAAAATGAGGCCAGGCTCGCTCTTCGTTTGGAATAAATTAACGTCCAAGGGCTCAATTAGAATAAAGGGTAAATTACAGCGAGTGGAGTTAATTAGGTTTGGAATGAAGGGTTCTGCACGTGGAGCTGTGCAGGGAATTCCTGCCCCCTCTTTATCCAGGGAAAGGCTTTAAGGACACTCCAAGGGTGTCACTTTGACTTGGAGCTGGGATTCCTGAGCCCTTCCCAGGAAATTCCCAGGTTTTTCTGGGAAAAGGTAAAACTGGGTGGATCGACGGCAGCAACGCGGGGTGGCTCTGACCTCCCTGCTGCTCCCCAGTTCTTTTTAGCCTTCCAAAAATTATTTTTAGTCCTTAAATAAATTCTTTTTTACAGGATCAGTCGTCCCTGCCTCCCTGCCTGCGTCCTGAGGTGATGAGGTTGTAGGATTTGAAGGCAGGAGTGGATTTTTTCCGTGGTGTTTTGATGGGGAATTGATGTTCCGAGTCAAAATTCCATTTCCAGGAGGTGGGAATAGCTGAGAGAAAAATCCACAATTCCCAGCGCACGGTCCTGTGCAATGTGTATTTATATTTTATAAACCTTACTTTAAATTTTCTTTATTCAACACAATAATGTTTGTTCTCTATCCTTACCAAATAATTTGTATCAAAACCCACGAGCTGTTCTCCTCCAGAATCTGGGGGATTTTTTTTTGAATTTTTGGGATTCTTCTCAAGGAATAAACTGGGTTATGAATATTTTTTTTGCTTAATTTTTATACTAAATAAAAGTTACACTTTTATTTGAGTCTTCGAACACTGACCAAGCCTGGGGACGTGCACAGGGGAGAATTTGGGCATTAACATATTAATTGGTATGGAGAATTAATGAATGTGGGTTTAGCTTTACTGGCACCAATTTCTAATTGGGTCCTTCTGTCCTTAAGGCACCGCAGAACAGCTCAAATAAAGCAGATTTTGGCTTTATTTCTTAGGAATATCATTAAGGGATGTAATTTAGGCATAAATTTGATAGAATCAATATTTATTGATTTTATTCTATAAAATCAATAGAATAGAATTTGGGACTGAAATTTATAGAATGTATAGAATTTCCCAGTGGATTCCAATGCTTTCAGTCCTCTGAAGTTATTGGAGACGATGATTTTTCTCTCTCTTCTCTTCTCTTCTCTTCTCTTCTCTTCTCTTCTCTTCTCTTCTCTTCTCTTCTCTTCTCTTCTCTTCTCTTCTCTTCTCTTCTCTTCTCTTCTCTTCTCTTCTCTTCTCTTCTCTTCTCTTCTCTTCTCTTCTCTTCTCTTCTTCCAAAATCTCTTCCCTTTTCCCTTCCATTTTCCCTCTTCCCATTTTCCTTCCTTTCCTTTTCCCCTTCCATTTCCCCTTCCCTTCTCCCTCCTTCCTTTGCCCTTTTCCCTTCCTGGAACTTCCCTTCTTGGAACATCCTTTCCCCTTTCCCTTTCCCCTTTCTCCTGTCCTTTTCCCCTTCCCCTTTCCCCTTTCCCCTTTCCCTTTTCCTTTCCCTTTCCCCTTTCCCTTTCCCTTTTTCCCTTTCCTTTCCCCCTTTCCCCTTTCCCCTTTCCCTATACCTTTCCCCTTCCCCTTTCCCCTTTCCCTTTTCCCCTTTCCCTTTCCCCTTTCCCATTTCCCCTTTCCCCTTTCCCTTTCCCCTTTCCCTTTCCCCTTTCCCCTTTTCCCTTTCCCCTTTCCCTTCTCCCCTTTCCCTTTCCCCTTTCCCCTTTCCCTTTTCCCCTTTCCCTTTCCCCTTTCCCATTTCCCCTTTCCCCTTTCCCTTTCCCCTTTCCCCTTTCCTTTCCCCTTTCCCTTTCCCCGTTCCCTTTCCCCTTTCCCCTTTCCCTTTCCCCTTTCCCTTCTCCCCTTTCCCTTTCCTCTTTCCCCTTTCCTTTCCCCTTTCCCTTTCCCCTTTCCCTTTCCCCTTTCCCTTTCCCCTTTCCCCTTTCCCCTTTCCCTTTCCCCTTTCCCTTTTCCCCTTTTCCCTTTCTCCTTTCCCCTTTCCCCTTTCCCCTTTCCCCTTCCCTTTCCCCTTTCCACTTTCCCTTTTCCACTTTCCCTTTTCCCTTTTCCCATTTCCCATTTCCCATTTCCCATTCCCCATTTCCCATTTCCCATTTCCCCTTTCCCCTTTCCCCTTTCCCTTTCCCCTTTCCCCTTTCCCCTTTCCCTTTTCCCCTTTCCCTTTCCCCTTTCCCCTTTCCCATTTCCTTTTCCCATTTCCCATTTCCCATTTCCCATTCCCAGTTTTCCCTCCCTGCGGATCCCAATCCCATCCCAAACCCCATCCCATCCCATCCGGGCCCGACCTCTCCACCCCGGGGCCGTGCCCGCCCGGAGCTCCCACCGGAACGCCGGGATCCGCCCAGGCCCTGTTCGAGCGCCGGAACCACGGCACAGAGCAGCCGGAGATGCCACCAGGGCGGACACCGCGTCCCCACGTGAGTGTCCTGTCCTCGGGGAGCTGCTCTGTGACAGCACCCACACCGTGGAATCGCGGGATCATGGAATGGTTTGGGTGGGAAGCCACCTCAAATCCCATCCAGTTCCACCTCCGCCATCTTCCGCTGTCCCACGGTGCTCCAAGCCCTGTCCAGCCTTCCCTTGGACACTCCCAGGGATCCAGGGGCTGCCACAGCTTCTCTGGGAATTCCAGGAATTCCTTCCCAAATCCCACCCAAATCTCCTCTTTTCCACTTCCACAGCCATTCCCTGTGTCCTGGCGCTCCATCCCTCGTCCCAAGTCCCTCCTCAGCTCTCCTGGAGCTGCTCTTGGGGATGGAGGACAAGGAAGTTCTCTGGGGGCTGAGAACCCGGGGAACCCAGAGTTCCCAAAAACCAGGAGGCAAAGCGACAGGATCCGATCCCTTTTCCATGGGCTTGGCTGTGGAAGCTCTTCCCGGTGCATCCCGAAGCTGCCCAGGGTCCGGAGCCTGCTGGAAAAGCCTTTTTGGGATCTCTGGGAAGTCCTGGTGGTTCACCCGGCGGTTGTCACCCTGAGGAGTTCACTCTGTGACCACTGGTGGTTTTTTGTGCAAAATCGGCGAAGAATGCAGAGGGAGCAAAGAAAAAGAGGATTTTGATGGAATGCTGTTGGGATTTTAGGAAAGACACCGGGGCGCAGTGATGGGAGATCCTACAGGTGAATAATTATCTGGTAATTATTGGTGATCCCATCTAGACAGGAGATGATGGAGCACATGGACACCTCCAGGATCCCTTTGGATCTCCCAAACTTTGCCTTTTCAGCAGATCCATGGGTTCATCTCCACGAGGAGAATCCACAGTGCAAACCAGAAATCCCAAATCCATGTGAGGAGAGAAAGGATCCAAGAAATAGATCAGGAAAACTCCGGAATGCTTGGATTGGACCGGATTAGGGATTGGATTTAAATAGATTTTAGGAATATTTCCTTTGCTGGAAGGGTTGTCCAGCCCTGGCACGGCTGCCCCGGGGTGGAGTCCCCATCCCCGGAGGGATTTAAAATCCCTGTGGATGTGGCACTTGGGGACACGGATCCGTGGTGGCCGTGGCAGTGATGGGGGACGGTTGGACTCCACGGTCTTGGAGAACTTTTCCAACCTTAACAATTCCACGAGTCCATGGATGATGCCTGAGGAAAACACAAGCAGGAGCACATGGACACCTCCAGGATCCCTTTGGATCTCCCAAACTTTGCCTTTTCAGCAGATCCATGGGTTCATCTCCACGAGGAGGATCCACAGTGCAAACCAGAGATCCCAAATCCATGTGAGGAGAGAAAAGATCCAAAAAATAGATCAGGAAAGCTCCGGAATGCTTGGATTGGACCGGATTAGGGATTGGATTGAAATAGATTTTAGGAAAATTTCCTTTGCTGGAAGGGTTGTCCAGCCCTGGCACAGCTGCCCCGGGGTGGAGTCCCCATCCCCGGAGGGCTTTAAAATCCCTGTGGATGTGGCACTTGGGGACACGGATCCGTGGTGGCCGTGGCAGTGATGGGGGACGGTTGGACTCCACGGTCTTGGAGAACTTTTCCAACCTTAACAATTCCACGAGTCCATGGAGGATGCCGAAGGAAAACACAAGCAGGAGCACATGGACACCTCCAGGATCCCTTTGGATCTCCCAAACTTTGCCTTTTCAGCAGATCCATGGGTTCATCTCCACGAGGAGGATCCACAGTGCAAACCCAAATCCCTGTGAGGAGATAAAGGATCCAAGAAATAGATCAGGAAAGCTCTGGAATGCTTGGATTGGACCGGATTAGGGATTGGATTGAAACAGATTTTAGGAAAATTTCCTTTGCTGGAAGGGCTGTCCAGCCCTGGCACGGCTGCCCCGGGGTGGAGTCCCCATCCCTGGAGGGATTTAAAATCCCTGTGGATGTGGCACTTGGGGACACGGATCCGTGGTGGCCGTGGCAGTGATTGGGGACGGTTGGACTCCACGGTCTTGGAGAACTTTTCCAACCTCAACAATTCCACGAGTCCATGGATGATGCCGAAGGAAAACACAAGCAGGAGCACATGGACACCTCCAGGATCCCTTTGGATCTCCCAAACTTTGCCTTTTCAGCAGATCCATGGGTTCATCTCCACGAGGAGGATCCACAGTGCAAACCAGAGATCCCAAATCCATGTGAGGAGAGAAAGGATCCAAGAAATAGATCAGGAAAGCTCCGGAATGCTTGGGTTGGACCGGATTAGGGATTGGATTTAAATAGATTTTAGGAATATTTCCTTTGCTGGAAGGGTTGTCCAACCCTGGCACGGCTGCCCCGGGGTGGAGTCCCCATCCCCGGAGGGATTTAAAATCCCTGTGGATGTGGCACTTGGGGACACGGATCCGTGGTGGATGTGGCAGTGGACTCCACGGTCTTGGAGAACTTTTCCAACCTCAACAATTCCACGAGTCCATGGATGATGCCGAAGGAAAACACAAGCAGGAGCACATGGACACCTCCAGGATCCCTTTGGATCTCCCAAACTTTGCCTTTTCAGCAGATCCATGGGTTCATCTCCATGAGGAGAATCCACAGTGCAAACCAGAGATCCCAAATCCATGTGAGGAGAGAAAGGATCCAAGAAATAGATCAGGAAAGCGCCGGAATGCTTGGATTGGACTGGATGAGGGATTGGATTGAAATAGATTTTAGGAATATTTCCTTTGCTGGAAAGGTTGTCCAGCCCTGGCACGGCTGCCCCGGAGTGGAGTCCCCATCCCCGGAGGGATTTAAAATCCCTGTGGATGTGGCACTTGGGGACACGGATCCGTGGTGGCCGTGGCAGTGGATTCCACGGTCTTGGAGAACTTTTCCAACCTTAGCAATTCCACGAGTCCATGGATGATGCCTGAGGAAAACACAAGCAGGAAGAAGAACATCAACACATCCCGGCCATAAAACCACCAGGATCAGGCTGGAAAATCCCGTTCCCTCATGGGGCTGAAGCCATACAAGGTTTCCATAAAACAGGCCCCAGATCCTGGAATCCCGGAAAAAGCTGGGAATGGGGAGAAGGTGTTGGAGTCTCTCTGAGCTTTTCCATGAGGAGAATTCCAGTGCTGTCAGGATGTGGGAGAACTGGGAATTCCTGCAGGGAATGGGACATGGAGGGTTCCGGGACAGGCCGGGATGTGCCAAATCCCATCCCAAGCTGCATCCAGGAAAATTAAAAACTGTGGAAGAGGAAGGGGTTAGGAGGGGAAGAATCTACCCACACCACTGAGGAAATGATCCCTGAGGGGATTTGGGGCAGTTCTGCAAGGAAAATCTGTGTTTTGGGGTTTTTTGTGTCACAGAGACACAAATTCTCTCGTAATTCCTTCAGTGACCTCTCCCAGACCTCTGTGAGATCCGCCAGGCTCTTCCCAAATCAAACATCCCAATTTTGGATGGGTTTTTTTTCCAGCTGGGATTTGCCAGGTTGTCAGGAGGGGACAGAAAAAGGGAAAATGTTCTGATTGATGATTATTTTTCCCTATAAGGAGATCCCGAGCGGGAATAATCTTCCCACTCAATCCAGATTTGGAAAGGTATTTGAGGTATTAAATTCCACTAAAATCCCAAGGACTGGCTGAGCACTTCAATACTTTTAGAACCCGAATGCTCTGAGTTAATCCGAATTTTCCAAGTCTGATTTTTATCTTTTTTCTCTCATGCAGCACCTCCTCCGTTTGAGGCTCAGCCCTGGCACGTTCCTTCATCCAACCACGGATCCGACACGGAGTAAGGGAGGATCCACAGCATCCTTCATCCAAAAGAACATTTGGGAAAACGACAGGAAAGTTCCTGCTGGCTTTGGGATCTGAACCTGTTTTCCTGTGGCTGGGGCTACGTTCCTTTTCCCTCTGGGCACACCCGGAATTTCCGGAACTTTGTCCACGGAGAAGCTTCCTTAGGTCTTTGCCTGAGCTGCTGGATCTCACGGGACGTCGCCTGTGGATCATTTGGACATCCTGGGGCACATCCCATGGAAAAACCTGGAGACAGAATTCCCTTCTCACGTTAAAACAATTCCATCTTTTCCCTTGCAACGGCGAGAAGGAAATCAAATCCAACACTCTGGATTTGCACGTGGATCCACGAGGAGCTGGGATTTAAGAGATTGGGAATCCCGTGCTCGTTCCTCTCTCTCTTTCATTGCTCTTTTCTGCAATTTGGGAAATTCCCAGAAAATGCAACCAAGAGCAGTTTTTGAGGATATTCACCCGAGATCTGGGACGAAACGGAACCTTTCCACGCATCGGGAAAAATCACGGCAAGCGCAGGAATCCTCAGCGTTCATGGACAAAAATCACATTTCAGGGGAAATTCCAACCTCCAATCAGAGAGTCACAGAGTTATTCAGGATGGAAAAGACCTTTTAGATCCCCAAATCCACGCCCATCTTCCTTTAAACCGTGTCCACGGGTTTTCCGGACGCTCCCAGGAACGGGGATTCCATTCAGTGGGATGAAGATTCCATTCTTTCCGTGAAGAAATTGCTCCTGATGTCCAACCTCATCCTCCCCTGGTGCAACTCAAGGATGTTTCAACGTGGATCAGGAGGAAACTTCTGCTCTGGGAGCAGATTCATCTGTGTCCCCTCAGGGTTTCACAGATTTTGGGAACACCGCGGCATTCCACGGACACGGAACATCCAAATAATTAATTTTACAGCTCAGTGCAGTTCCCTCTCCCAGACTTTGGGTTTTTTTTTATTCTGGTTTTCCTGGGTGCTTGGAAGGACAAGTTCATCCCAACCAACTTAAAGCATAAAACCCGAAAAATCTGAGCTGCCACCTCCCAAAAACTCAGCCAGGAACTTGCAGATGGGAATTATCTCCTGTATCCTCAGACCTGTTCATTATGCAGGAGAGAGACTGATGGATTTTGATGAAGAAAGTGAAATTTTGAGAATTTAAAGTGAGGTGGAACAAAGGAAAGCATTCACCAGCATCGTTCCCTGGAATTTGGAATTGCAGATCTCTCCTCACCAGCCTTTTTTTTTACATAAGAAACCAAATTAAACCGATTTCTCCACAGGTTCTTACTTGGTTTCCTAAATCCAAGATTTTTTTATTTGTTTTGTTTCCATTGGGCAGCAGTTGAGGTCAGATCCACGTTCCAAAGATGGAAATTATGTCAGTGGTTTATATTTCCCCATCAATATTCCCTGGAATTGTACAATTCCCGGGATCTGAGTGGTCTTGGACAGGCTCTGTCCATTTTAAAGCACATTTTAAAGCTTAAACCTTCCCTGATTTATAAATTTTTTGTATTCATTTTTGTACTTTATTAAAAAAAAATTATTAAGAGAAGATCGAAGCTTTAAAATGATGCTGTAAAATAATAAACAGAACTGCCCAGGAGCGTGTTGAGCCAAGTCAATTATCCTCGGAATACCGGCAGAGCTACAGAAATTAATCAGAATAAAATCAGATGTACTTATGTTGTCTGTAAACACATTTTACATCATTCTGAGGTCAGGAAATGGGCTGGAATTTGAAATGGAGAGGGAAAAAAAATCTCTATCAGCTGCCTGGGGCTGCAGATGGTCCCTGCCCCACTGCAGAGTGAGATCCCAGATAAGAAATTCCCAAACTGCAGAGCAGGGACTGAGTTGTGCCTTTGGAAATGCGAATTTGGACTGGAATCGGCCCCAGCCTGGGATTAAAGGCACCTCTCAAAGCCCAGGGGCCACTGAAAATTGAATTTTCCTGATGATTCTGAGCTAAAGAAGCAGAAATTTGGGGGAAGGAAAAAAAAAAGTGTGGCTTATGTGGATGGGGGCAGCAGGTGGGAGGATTTTTGGGAATGTATGGCTCCCAAAATGGAATTTTCCTGATGATTCTGAGCTAAAGAAGCAGAAATTTGGGGAAAGAAAAAATAAAAAGTGTGGCTTATGTGGATGGGGGCAGCAGGTGGGAGGATTTTTGGGAATGCTCGGCTCCCAAAATGGAATTTTCCTGATGATTCTGAGCTAAAGAAGCAGAAATTTGGGGGAAGAAAAAAAAAAGTGTGGCTTATGTGGATGGGGGCAGCAGGTGGGAGGATTTTTGGGAATGCCTGGCTCCCAAAATGGAATTTTCCTGATGATTCTGAGCTAAAGAAGCATAAATTTGGGGGAAGAAAAAAAAAAAGTGTGGCTTATGTGGATGGGGGCAGCAGGTGGGAGGATTTTTGGGAATGCCCGGCTCCCAAAATGGAATTTTCCTGAGGATTCTGAGCTAAAGAAGCAGAAATTTGGGGGAAGAAAAAATAAAAAGTGTGGCTTATGTGGATGGGGGCAGCAGGTGGGAGGATTTTTGGGAATGCTCGGCTTCTAAAATGGAATTTTCCTGATGATTCCGAGCTAAAGAAGCAGAAATTTGAGGGAAAAATAAATAAAAAGTGTGGCTTATGTGGATGGGGGCAGCAGGTGGGAGGGTTTTTGGGAATGCTCGGCTCCCAAAATGGAATTTTCCTGATGATTCTGAGCTAAAGAAGTAAAAATTTGGGGGAAGAAAAAAATAAAAAGTGTGGCTTATGTGGATGGGGGCAGCAGGTGGGAGGATTTTTGGGAATGCTCGGCTCCCAAAATGGAATTTTCCTGATGATTCCGAGCTAAAGAAGCAGAAATTTGGGGGAAGAAAAAAAAAAAAAATAAAAAGTGTGGCTTATGTGGATGGGGGCAGCAGGTGGGAGGATTTTTGGGAATGCTCGGCTCCCAAAATGGAAATTTCCTGATGATTCTGAGCTAAAGAAGCAGAAATTTGGGGGAAGGAAAAAAAAAAAAAAAAAAGTGTGGCTTATGTGGATGGGGGCAGCAGGTGGGAGGATTTTGGGGAATGCCCGGCTCCCAAAATGGAATTTTCCTGATGATTCCGAGCTAAATAAGCAGAAATTTGGGGGAAGAAAAAATAAAAAGTGTGGCTTATGTGGATGGGGGCAGCAGGTGGGAGGATTTTTGGGAATGTATGGCTCCCGAAATGGAATTTTCCTGAGGATTCTGAGCTAAAGAAGCAGAAATTTGGGGAAAGAAAAAATAAAAAGTGTGGCTTATGTGGATGGGGGCAGCAGGTGGGAGGATTTTTGGGAATGCCCGGCTTCTAAAATGGAATTTTCCTGATGATTCCGAGCTAAAGAAGCAGAAATTTGGGGGAAGAAAAAATAAAAAGTGTGGCTTATGTGGATGGGGGCAGCAGGTGGGAGGATTTTTGGGAATGCTCGGCTCCCAAAATGGAATTTTCCTGAGGATTCTGAGCTAAAGAAGCAGAAATTTGGGGGAAGAAAAAATAAAAAATGTGGCTTATGTGGATGGGGGCAGCAGGTGGGAGGATTTTTGGGAATGCTCGGCTCCTGAAATGGAATTTTCCTGATGATTCCGAGCTAAAGAAGCAGAAATTTGGGGGAAGGAAAAAAAAATGTGGCTTATGTGGATGGGGGCAGCAGGTGGGAGGATTTTTGGGAATGCTCGGCTCCCAAAATGGAAATTTCCTGATGATTCCGAGCTAAAGAAGCAGAAATTTGGGGGAAGAAAAAATAAAATAAAAAGTGTGGCTTATGTGGATGGGGGCAGCAGGTGGGAGGATTTTTGGGAATGCCCGGCTTCCAAAATGGAATTTTCCTGAGGATTCTGAGCTAAAGAAGCAGAAATTTGGGGGAAGGAAAAAAAAAAATAAAAAGTGTGGCTTATGTGGATGGGGGCAGCAGGTGGGAGGATTTTTGGGAATGCCCGGCTCCCAAAATGGAATTTTCCTGATGATTCTGAGCTAAAGAAGCATAAATTTGGGGGAAGAAAAAATAAAAATTGTGGCTTATGTGGATGGGGGCAGCAGGTGGGAGGATTTTTGGGAATGCCCGGCTCCCAAAATGGAAATTTCCTGATGATTCTGAGCTAAAGAAGCAGAAATTTGGGGAAAGAAAAAATAAAAAATGTGGCTTATGTGGATGGGGGCAGCAGGTGGGAGGGTTTTTGGGAATGCCCGGCCCCCAAAATGGAATTTTCCTGAGGATTCTGAGCTAAAGAAGCAGAAATTTGGAAGGAAAAAAAAAATAAAAAGTGTGGCTTATGTGGATGGGGGCAGCAGGTGGGAGGATTTTTGGGAATGACCGGCTCCCAAAATGGAATTTTCCTGATGATTCTGAGCTAAAGAAGCAGAAATTTGGAGAAATAAAAAATAAAAAGTGTGGCTTATGTGGATGGGGGCAGCAGGTGGGAGGATTTTTGGGAATGCCTGGCTCGTGTGGAGAGGTGGGAGATGAGGAAATGGGAGCCAGGGAAGTGGGAGCAGGAGAAGAGCAAAGCCTCAGCAGAGGCACTGGGGCACAAAGGGTTAATGGATGGTTCTGGAAGACCTGGAGACCTCGTGGCAAAGGGAGAGCAGCCAAAGAGAGGAAATAAAAGCAAGATAAAAGTGCTGGAATCAGTGGATGAAGCTGATAAGGAGCAGGGGAGGAGATTTTAGTCCTCACTCAGGAATTTTTAGGGAATTTGAGAACAAGACCCTGGGGAAAAACGGGATTTAACTGGAGAATAGCAGGAGCTCATTAGTGAGAACTTCAGAAATTGTCCCTTTTTGGGTGGTTTGTTCCTCCCAAAGTCGATGTTTTTAGGGAGGCACAAGGATATGGAAATATTTGAAATCCCCCCAGGGCTGAGTGAGGAATTGTTTTTAGGGAGGCACAAGGATATGGAAATATTTGAAATCCCCCCAGAACTGAATGAGGAATTGTTTTTAGGGAAGCACAAGGATATGGGAATATTTGAAATCCCCCCAGGGCTGAGTGAGGAGTTGTTTTTAGGGAGGCACAAGGATGTGGGAATATTTGAAATCCATCCCTTTGTGCCTGCTGGAGGATGATTTAAATCCTATTTCAGCCCGTTCCACCCCGGGATCTGATTTCCAAACACCCTCGTGCCAACCTCAGACACAGAGCAAGTCTTTTAACACGTCCCACCCCATGGATGAGCTCCTTCCTCGTGCCCTTTTCCGTCCCCGCAGTCCCAGAAAAACTCACCACAGCCTCTGGATCTGGAGATTTTCCAAGGAAGTTTTTGCCCATCCCACAAATCCCCACTGCCAGCATCTCCCCTCAGTCTCACCTGCCATTTAGTGGGGTTTTCTCCTTGCTGCCTCTTCTCTGCTCCTCCCCACTCCTGGTTTTCCATCCAGGCAGGTTCCTGAGCCACCAGGATCCAGGGATTGACCAGGATGCCACCAGGGAGGAGATTTGGGAGCTGGTGGCACCAGCAACAACCTGGCTGAAGGTCCTTTCCCACCTGAAGCAATCTCTGTAGGAAATCTAAACTTAAATCACCGTTTTCCCAAGAAATAAATCCTCCAGGATCCCATTCAGATGCTGAGCAGGGAAAACGCTCTCAGAATTCCTCAGTCCTGAGAAATCCCCACCACAACCCCTGGATCTGGAGATTTTCCAAGGAAGTTTTTGCCCATCCCACAAATCCCCACCACCAGCATCTCCCCTCAGTCTCATCTGCCATTTAGTGGGGTTTTCTCCTTGCTGCCTCTTCTCTGCTCCTCCCCACTCCTGGTTTTCCATCCAGGCAGGTTCCTGAGCCACCAGGACCCAGGGATTGACCAGGGAGGAGATTTGGGAGCTGGTGGCACCAGCAAGAACCTGGCTGAAGGTCCTTTCCCACGTGAAGCAATCTCTGTAGGAAATCTAAATTTAAATCATGATTTTCCCAAGAAATAAATCCTCCAGGATCCCATTCAGATCCCGGGGATTGCTGAGCAGGGAAAACGCTCTCGGAACTCCTCCCGGCCTCTACTGGAAGTGCTGAAGGAGCCGAATCCTCGCCACAAAAAGAAATAAATTCAATTTTGAGTGTTTGGCTCAAGTGTCCCTGAGCATCCCAACCAACAACAGCCCAGCTCCAGGAGCACAAACAGCAAAAATTCCGCTTCATCTCCACCTCTCCAGCGTGCAGGAAATGCAACTCCAGGAACTCCCACAGAACTCCATTTTCCAAGCATTTAGCCTGAGCTTTATGGTTTTTTTTCATGCAGGCAGCATTTCCTGACCCACCAGGATCCAGGGATTGACCAGGGAGGAGATTTGGGAGCTGGCAACAAACACCTACAACCAAACAGTTTCCAATTCCCCAAACAACAACCGAGGAAATCCCTGTCTCCAGGAGCCCATGTGAGTTTTAGAAGTCGCTGGATGTTCACAAAAGAATCCCAAGTTGATTTTATAGGATTGATGCAGAATTTGGGATGCAATAGACTCCAGGAGACCTCTGGTCCAGCCTTCTTCTTTAAGAAGGGTCAGATCTGGGATCATCACGGACTCCTGAGGGCTTTAGGGCTTCCAAATCCTCCCAAAGAGGTGAGGGCACAACTACTGTGTGGGACATTGTGACATTTTGGGAATCACGGAAAATCCTGAGCCGGAAGAATCATCAAATCCAACTCTGGGCCTGCACAGACACCCCAAAAATCCCTCCCTGAGAGCGTTGTCCTAGAGCCTTGGAAATGCCACCATTCCCTGGGGATCCTATTCAGTGCCCAACTCTTTAGTGAAGAACCTTTTCCCAAAAAATAAAGCTTTTTCCAATATCCAGCCTCGCCTCAGCTGGGCTGGGTTTGCTTCCAGGGACCCCCTCAGCCTCTTCCCCCTTCAAACACGGCATTCCTCTTCTCTGCTCCTCCTCCGTGCACTCCCCGGGAACCCGCGGGGCTCCAGGAGGGATTTTTCTCCTTTTGGCAGGAAAATTCAGTCGTTTTTTCCCTCCTGGAGTCGATGTTTTGCCACCACCGAGCGCTGAGGGGGCGCGGCCGCCTCAGCCCCGCGCGGTTCCCCTCAGGGCGGAACCCAGCACCGGCGGGAATTTGGGAACGAGACCGCGGGGAAAATCTGGATTTTAACGGGGAACTAGCACGATCCCATAATTGAGAATTAAAGAAATTGTCCCTTTTTTTGTCGCTTTTTCCCTCCCGGAGTCGGTGTTTTGCTACCACCGAGCGCTGAGGGGGCGCGGCCGCCTCAGCCCCGCGTGGTTCCTCAGGGCGGATCCCAGCACCGGCGGGAATTTAGGAAGGAGTCCCCGGGAAAAACTGGATTTTACCGGTGAAACAGGATGATCCAACAAATGGGAATTTCAGAAATTGTCCCGTTTTAGTCGGTTTTCTCCTCCTGGAGTCGGTGTTTTGCTACCACCGAGCGCTGAGGGGGCGCGGCCTCCTCAGCCCCGCGTGGTTCCCCTCAGGGCGGATCGCAGCACCGGCGGGAATTTGGGAACGAGACCCTGGGGGAAAATTGGATTTAACGGGGAAATAGTAGGATCCCATTACTCGGAATTTGCGAAATTGTCCCTTTTTAGTCGTTTTTTCCCTCCCGGAGTCGGTGTTTTGCTACCACCGAGCGCTGAGGGGGCGCGGCCGCCTCAGCCCCGCGCGGTTCCCCTCAGGGCGGATCCCAGCATCGGCGGGAATTTGGAAACGAAATCCCGATGAAAAACCGGTTTTTAACGGGGAAATAGCACGATCCCATAATTGAGAAATTCAGAAATTGTCCCTTTTTAGTCGGTTTTTTCCTCCTGGAGTCGTTGTTTTGCTACCACCGAGCGCTGAGGGGGCGCGGCCGCCGCAGCCCCGCGCGGTTCCCCTCAGGGCGGATCCCAGCACCGGCGGGAATTTGGGAACGAGACCGCGGGGAAAAATTTGATTTAACGGGGAAATAGCACGATCCCATAATTGAGAAATTCAGAAATTGTCCCTTTTTAGTCGGTTTTTTCCTCCTGGAGTCGTTGTTTTGCTACCACCGAGCGCTGAGGGGGCGCGGCCGCCTCAGCCCCGCGCGGTTCCCCTCAGGGCGGATCCCAGCACCGGCGGGAATTTAGGAAGGAGTCCCCTGGAAAAACTGGATTTAACGCTGAAATAGGATGATCCCACTACTTGGAATTTGAGAAATTGTCCTTTTTAATAGTTTTTTCCCTCCTGTAGTCGATGTTTTGCTACCACCTAGTGCTGAGAGGGCGCTGATCCTCAGCCCATCAGGGAGGATCTCAGCACCGGCGGGAATTTGGGAACAATCCCGAAGAAAAACCGGATTTTAACGGGGAAATAGCACGATCCCAATACTGGGACCTTCAGAAATTGTCCCTTTTCAATCATCAGCTGTAAGAGCAGCCACAAGGATGTTTTTACACCCTGGGAATGCTGTGCCCAAGTCCTGGGACAGGAGCAGCTCAAATAAAGATGAGGAAGGACCTGGAGCATCTCCCTGGTTTGAACAACGCCAATCACTTGGTTTTTAAAATTTTAAAAGTTTAATAATAATAAAATGGCTATAAAAATAATAATATAATTAGATTATTAAAGTCTAGAGTTAGGACAATTATAAGACAATAAAAAGTAAAGAATTACGGACGTCCTGATGCTCTCAGACACTAAGTCACGAAAAGCATCCCTTGTGTATAAAGGAATAACCTTAAAATCCTTGCTTGAGCTAGTAAAAAAATCCTACACCGCAGAGTTTCTATTTCAACATTATGTTGTGAGCTAAAACTACATTTAACACACTACGTACGAGAATTAATACAGCACAACTTTCTAACATTACACAATTAATATTCATTGTAACGTTTGCGAAAAGCCGATCATAAAATCTGCATTTTTCACACCGGCCATGCAAGGGTGAGGGAGCTGTGATCCCACATTCCATCATTCTGCATTTCTGCGACTCCGCGACTCTCTGACGCCTTTATTCGGGATTCTGCGATTCCCTGATTCCTTGACTCCCTAATTCCGTGAGTCCTTGGTTGATTCCTTAATCGATTCCCTGATTTATTCCTTGATTGATTCCTTGATTGATTCCTTGATTGATTCCTTGGTTGAGTCCTTGATCAATTCCTTGGTTGATTCTTTGGTCAATTCCTTGATTGATTCCTTGATTGATTCCTTAGTCAATTCCTTGATTGATTCCTTGATTTATTCCTTGATTGAGTCCTTGATCAATTCCTTGATTGATTCCTTGCTCGATTCCTTGATTGATTCCCTGGTTGATTCGTTGATCGATTCCTTGGTTGATTCCTTGATCGATTCCTTGATTAATTCCTTGATTGATTCCTTGATTGATTCCTTGGTTGATTCCTTGATCGAGTCCTTGATTTATTCCTTGATTGATTCCTTAGTCAATTCCTTGATCGATTCCTTGATTTATTCCTTGATTGATTCCTTAGTCAATTCCTTGATTGATTCCTTGATTGATTCCTTGATTGATTCCTTGATCAATTCCTTGGTTGATTCCTTGATCGATTCCTTGATTGATTCCCTGGTTGATTCGTTGATCGATTCCTTGGTTGATTCCTTGATCGATTCCTTGATTAATTCCTTGATTTATTCCTTGATTGATTCCTTGAGTGATTCCTTGATTTATTCCTTGATTTATTCCTTGATTGATTCCTTAATTGATTCCTTGATTGATTCCCTGATTGATTCCTCGATTTATTCCTTGATTGATTCCTTGATTGATTCCTCGATTTATTCCTTGATTGATTCCTTGATTGATTCCTTAGTTGATTCCTTGGTTGATTCCTTGATTGATTCCCTGGTTGATTCCCTGATTTATTCCTTGATTGATTCCCTGGTTGATTCCTTGATTGATCCCTTGATTGATTCCTTGATCAATTCCTTGATTGATTCCTTGGTCGATTCCTGGATCGATTCCTTGATTGATTCCTGGATTGATTCCCTTGGTTGATTCCCTGATTGATTCCTTGGCTGATTCCTTTATTGATTCCTTGATTGATTCCCTTGGTTGATTCCCTGATTGATTCCTTGGCTGATTCCTTTATTGATTCCTTGATTGATTCCCTGATCGATTCCCTGATTTATTCCTGGATTGATTCCTGGATTGATTCCTTGATCGATCCCTTGATTGATTCCTTGATTTATTCCTGGATTGATTCCTGGATTGATTCCTTGATCGATCCCTTGATTGATTCCTTGATCGATTCCCTGATCGATTCCCTGATCGATTCCCTGATTGATTCCTTGGTTGATTCCTTGATTGATTCCCTGATCGATTCCTTGATCGATCCCTTGATCGATTCCCTGATTGATTCCCTGATTGATTCCTTGATTGATTCCTTGATCGATTCCCTGATCGATTCCTTGATCGATTCCCTGATCGATTCGCGGTGCGCTCCGGGCTCCCCCTGCCGGTTGCTATGGGAACCACACCCCGTGTGCCGCACGACACTTTACGCCTCTTTCGCGACAGCGCGCGGCGGCGTTGCTTTACGGCAGCGCGGCGGCCTAGGCCGCGGGACCCGGCGGGATGAAGCAGAAACGGAAAAACGGAAAAGGTAAAAAATAAAAATAAAAATAAAAATAAAATTAAATAACGAGACCGGAGGGGCTGGAGCGGCTCCGGGGCAGCGGCGGCTGTGGGGGCTGAGGGGGCTCGGCCTGGAGGAAAGGCGGCTCGGGGGGAACCGGGACGGGATGAGGGGAAACGGCTTCAAATTGTGTGAGGGTGGGTAAAGGAGCGATTTATTCCCTATTACGGGGGAATTTATTCCCTAAAATGGGGGGATTTATTCCATAAAAAGGGGGCATTTATTCCCTATAACCTGAGGGACTTATTCCCTATAACCTGAGGGATTTATTCCCTAAAACGGGTGGATTTATTCCCTATAACCTGAGGGATTTATTCCCTAAAACGGGGGGATTTATTCCCTATAACTTGAGGGGCTTATTCCCTAAAACGGGGGAATTTATTCCCTATAGCGGGAGGGATTTATTCCCTATAACGGGGGGATTTATTCCCTATAACTTGAGGGATTTATTGCCTAAAAGGTGGGATTTAGTCCCTATAACCGGGGGGATTTATTCCCTAAAACGGGGGGATTTATTCCATAAAAAAAGGGCATTTATTCCCTATAACGGGAGGCATTTATTCCCTATAACGGGGGGATTTATTCCCTATAACGGGGGGGATTTATTCCATAAAACGGGGGGGATTTATTCCCTATAACGGGGGGATTTATTCCCTATAACGGAGGAATTTATTCCCTATAGCCTGAGGGATTTATTCCCTAAAACGGGGGGATTTATTCCCTGTAACGGGGGGATTTATTCCCTATAACTTGAGAAACTTATTCCCTAAAACGGGGGAATTTATTCCCTTTAACGGGGGGGATTTATTCCCTATAATTTGAGGGATTTATTCCCTAAAACGGGGGGGATTTATTGCCTAAAAAGGGGGCATTTATTCCATAAAAAGGGGGCATTTATTCCCTAAAATGGGGGGAATTTATTCCCTATAACGGGGGGGATTTATTCCCTTTAACGGGGAGATTTATTACCTATAACCTGAGGGATTTATTCCCTATAACAGGGGGATTTATTCCTTATAACGGATGGGATTTATTCCCTATAACCTGAGAGATTTATTCCCTAAAACAGGAGGGATTTATTCCCTATAACGGGGGGATTTATTCCCTAAAACCTGAGGGATTTATTCCTTTTAACGGGGGGATTTATTCCCTAAAACGGGAGCGATTTATTCCCTATAACGGGAGCGATTTATTCCCTATAACGGGGGGATTTATTCCCTATAACGGGGGCATTTATTCCCTATAACGGGGTGGATTTATTCCATAAAAAGGGGGCATTTATTCCCTATAACGGGAGGGATTTATTCCATAAAAAGGGGGCATTTATTCCCTATAACGGCGGGATTTATTCCCTATAACGGAGGGATTTATTCCCTAAAACCTGAGGGATTTATTCCCTAAAACGGGGGGATTTATTCCCTATAACCTGAGGGATTTATTCCCTATAACGGGGGGATTTATTCCCTATAACGGGGGGATTTATTCCCTATAACGGGAGGGATTTATTCCCTATAACGGGGGGATTTATTCCCTAAAACGGGGGGATTTATTCCATAAAAAGGGGGCATTTATTCCCTATAACCTGAGGAATTTATTCCCTATAACGGGAGGGATTTATTCCCTATAACCTGAGGGAGTTATTCCCTATAACGGGGGGCATTTATTCCCTAAAATGGGGGGATTTATTCCCTATAACGGGGCGATTTATTCCCTATAACGGGGGGATTTATTCCCTTTAGCGGGAGCGATTTATTCCCTATAACCTGAGGGATTTATTCCCTATAACGGGGGGATTTATTCCTTATAACGGATGGGATTTATTCCCTATAACCTGAGGAATTTATTCCCTATAACGGGGGGAATTTATTCCCTATAACGGGGGGAACTTATTCCCTAAAAAGGGGGGATTTATTCCCTATAAAGGGGGGGATTTATTCCCTTTAACGGGGGGGATTTATTCCCTATAACGGGGGGATTTATTCCCTATAACGGGGGCATTTATTCCCTATAATGGGAGGGATTTCTGCCCTATAACGGGGGGGAATTTTCCCATTTTTTCCCGTTTTCCCCCAATATTTCCCCATTTTCCCCCATTTATTGCCAATTTTTCCCCGTTTTTGCCCATTTCCCCCCATTTTTCCCTGTTTTCCCACATTTTTTGCCATTTTTGCCACGTTTTTGCCCATTTCCCCCCATTTTCCCCCATTTTTCCCCATTTTTTCCCATTTCCCCCAATATTTCCCCATTTCCCCCCATTTTTTGCCAATTTTCCCCCATTTTTGCCCATTTTCCCCCATTTTTCCCCATTTTTTTCCCATTTCCCCCAATATTTCCCCATTTCCCCCCATTTTTTGCCAATTTTCCCCCATTTTTGCCCATTTTCCCCCATTTTCCCACTTTTTTGCCCCATTTTTTCCCCGTTTTTGCCCATTTCCCCCCCGTTTTTTCCCATTTTACCCCCATTTTTTGCCAATTTTCCCCCATTTTTGCCCATTTTGGCCCATTTTTCCCACTTTTCCCCCGTTTTCCCCCCGTTTTTTCCCATTTTTCCCCATTTACCCATTTTTTACCCATTTTTACCCATTTTTGCCCATTTTCACCCCATTTTTTCCGCAGGGGAGCGGAGCCAGGCGGAGCTGATGGTGATGGCCATCGCTGACATCATCCAGCAGCAGCGAAATCTCTGATTTTCCCCCATTTTTCCCCATTTTTTCCCCGTTTTCCCCCATTTTACCCATTTTTTTCCCATTTTTAACCATTTTTGCCCATTTTTGCCCATTTTTACCCCATTTTTTCCGCAGGGGAGCGGAGCCAGGCGGAGCTGATGGTGATGGCCATCGCTGACATCATCCAGCAGCAGCGAAATCTCTGATTTTGCCCCGTTTTCCCCCATTTTTCCCCATTTTTTCCCCGTTTTTCCCATTTTTTCCCCATTTTACCCATTTTTTTCCCATTTTTAACCATTTTTGCCCGTTTTCACCCCATTTTTTCTGCAGGGGAGCGGAGCCAGGCGGAGCTGATGGTGATGGCCATCGCTGACATCATCCAGCAGCAGCGAAATCTCTGATTTTGCCCCATTTTTTCCCCCTTTTTTCCCATTTTTTCCCCATTTTTCCCCATTTTACCCATTTTCTTCCCATTTTTGCCCATTTTTGCCCGTTTTCACCCCATTTTTCCGCAGTTGAGCAGAGCCAGGCGGAGCTGATGGTGATGGCCACCGCTGACATCATCCAGGAGCAGCGAAATCTCTGATTTTCCCCCGTTTTTTCCCGTTTTTTTCCCGTTTTTTCCCATTTTTTCCCCATTTTTCCCCATTTTACCCATTTTTTTTGCATTTTTAACCATTTTTGCCCATTTTCACCCCATTTTTTCCGCAGGGGAGCAGAGCCAGGCGGAGCTGATGGTGATGGCCATCACTGACATCATCCAGCAGCAGCGAAATCTCTCATTTTCCCCCGTTTTTTCCCCGTTTTTCCCCGTTTTTTCCCCATTTTTCCCATTTTTTGCCCATTTTTAACCATTTTTGCCCGTTTTTACCCCATTTTTGCCGCAGGGGAGCGGAGCCAGGCAGAGCTGATGGTGATGGCCATCGCTGACATCATCCAGCAGCAGCGAAATCTCTGATTTTCCCCCATTTTTCCCCGTTTTTTCCCGTTTTTCCCCATTTTTTCCCCGTTTTTCCCCATTTTACCCATTTTTTACCCATTTTTAACCAATTTTGCCCGTTTTCACCCCATTTTTTCCGCAGGGGAGCAGAGCCAGGCGGAGCTGATGGTGATGGCCATCGCTGACATCATCCAGGAGCAGCGAAATCTCTGATTTTCCCCCATTTTTCCCCATTTTTTCCCCATTTTTTCCCATTTTTTCGCCGTTTTTTCCCATTTTTTTTGCATTTTTAACCATTTTTGCCCGTTTTCACCCCATTTTTTCCGCAGGGGAGCGGAGCCAGGCGGAGCTGATGGTGATGGCCATTGCTGACATCATCCAGCAGCAGGAAAATCTCTGATTTTCCCCCATTTTTTCCCATTTTTTTCCCATTTTTACCCATTTTTTCCCCGTTTTTCCCCATTTTACCCATTTTTTTTTCATTTTTAACCATTTTTGCCCTTTTTCACCCCATTTTTTCCGCAGGGGAGCGGAGCCAGGCGGAGCTGATGGTGATGGCCATCGCTGACACCATCCAGCAGCAGCGAAATCTCTGATTTTCCCCCATTTTTTCCCCGTTTTTCCCCATTTTTTCCCATTTTCCCCATTTTTTTCCCATTTTTAACCATTTTTGCTCGTTTTCACCCCATTTTTTCCGCAGGTGAGCGGAGCCAGGCGGAGCTGATGGTGATGGCCATCGCTGACATCATCCAGCAGCAGGAAAATCTCTAATTTTGCCCCGTTTTTCCCCATTTTTTCCCCGTTTTTTCCCCGTTTTTTCCCATTTTTCCCATTTTTTCCTCGTTTCTCCCCATTTTACCCATTTTTTCCCCATTTTTAACCATTTTTGCCCTTTTTCACCCCATTTTTTCAGGAGGTGAGCGGAGCCAGGCGGAGCTGATGGTGATGGCCATCGCTGACATCATCCAGCAGCAGCGAAATCTCTGATTTTGCCCCATTTTTCCCCATTTTTTCCCCGTTTTTCCCCATTTTTTCCCCATTTTTCCCATTTTTTACCCATTTTTAACCATTTTTGCCCATTTTCACCCCATTTTTTCAGGAGATGAGCGGAGCCAGGCGGAGCTGATGGTGATGGCCATCGCTGACATCATCCAGCAGCAGCGAAATCTCTGATTTTACCCCATTTTTTCCCCGTTTTTTCCCCATTTTTCCCCATTTTCCCCATTTTACCCATTTTTTCCCCATTTTTAACCATTTTTGCCCATTTTCACCCCATTTTTTCCGCAGGGGAGCGGAGCCAGGCGGAGCTGATGGTGATGGCCATCGCTGACATCATCCAGCAGCAGCGAAATCTCTGATTTTCCCCCATTTTTTCCCCATATTTTCCCCGTTTTTCCCCAGTTTTTCGCCGTTTTTTCCCATTTTTTTTGCATTTTTAACCATTTTTGCCCGTTTTCACCCCATTTTTTCCGCAGGGGAGCGGAGCCAGGCAGAGCTGATGGTGATGGCCATCGCTGACATCATCCAGCAGCAGGGAAATCTCTCATTTTCCCCCATTTTTCCCCATTTTTCCCCATTTTTTCCCAGTTTTTCCCCATTTTTTCCCCATTTTCCCCATTTTTTCCCCATTTTTAACCATTTTTGCCCGTTTTCACCCCATTTTTCCGCAGGGGAGCGGAGCCAGGCGGAGCTGATGGTGATGGCCATCGCTGACATCATCCAGGAGCAGAAAAATCTCTGATTTTCCCCCATTTTTCCCCATTTTTTCCCCGTTTTTTCCCGTTTTTCCCCATTTTCCCCATTTTACCCATTTTTTTTTGCATTTTTAACCATTTTTGCCCGTTTTTACCCCATTTTTTCAGGAGATGAGCGGAGCCAGGCGGAGCTGATGGTGATGGCCATCGCTGACATCATCCAGCAGCAGCGAAATCTCTGATTTTGCCCCATTTTTTCCCCGTTTTTTCCCATTTTACCCATTTTTCCCCATATTACCCATTTTTTTGCATTTTTAACCATTTTTGCCCATTTTCACCCCATTTTTTCAGGAGGTGAGCGGAGCCAGGCGGAGCTGATGGTGATGGCCATCGCTGACATCATCCAGCAGCAGGGAAATCTCTGATTTTGCCCCGTTTTTCCCATTTTTCCCCATTTTTTCCCCTTTTTTCCCATTTTTCGCCGTTTTTTCCCATTTTTTTTGCATTTTTAACCATTTTTGCCTGTTTTCACCCCATTTTTTCAGGAGATGAGCGGAGCCAGGCGGAGCTGATGGTGATGGCCATCGCTGACATCATCCAGGAGTTGGTGGCCGCGCAGCAGACGGGGAAGGACGTGGACGTGAACCGGTGGGTGACCCCGAACTCCCGTTTTTACTGGTTTTCACCCCAATTCCTGACCCCAAACCCAACAAAAATCCCCAAATTGGGGCTGGTTTGGGCTGATTTTGGTTTTTTTTTTTTTTGTGATTTTGGGTGTTTTTTTTGTGATTTTAGGTGTGTTTTTGGTGATTTGGGGAGGTTTTTGTGGTGATTTTGGGTGTTTTTTGGTGATTTTGGGTGTGTTTTTGGTGATTTGGGGTTTTTTGGTGATTTTGGGGTGGTTTTTTGGTGATTTGGGGAGTTTTTTTGTGATCTGGGATTTTTGTTGGGTGATTTTGGGTGTGTTTCTGCTGATTAGGGTGTTTTTTGGTGATTTGGGCATTTTTTGGTGATTTGGGGAGTTTTTTTTTGGTGATTTGGGGAGGTTATTTGGGCGGTTTTTTTGATGATTTGGGGCGGTTTTTGTGATTTGGGGTTTTTTTTGTGATTTTGGGTGTGTTTTTGCTGATTTGGGGTTTGTTTTGGTGATTTGGGGTGTTTTCTTTGGTGATTTTGGTGATTTGGGCGTTTTTTGTTGATTTTGGGTGTGGTTTTGGTGATTTGGGGAGGTTTATTTTGTGATCTGGGTTTTTTTTTGTGATTTGGAGGATTTTTTTGGGTGATTTTGGGTGTTTTTTTGTGATTTGGGGAGGTTTTTTGGTAATTTGGGGTTTTTTTGCTGATTTGGGGAGGTTTTTGTTGATTTTGGGTGTGTTTTTTGGTGATTTGAGGAGGTTTTTGTTGATTTTCAGGATTTTTTTGGTGATTTGGGGAGGTTTTTTTGTTATCTGGGTTTTTTTGGTGATTTGGAGGATTTTTTTTTTTGGCATTTTGGGTGTTTTTTGGTGATTTGGGGTTTTTGGTGTTTTGGGGAGGTTTTTGTTGATTTTGGGTGGTTTTTTGGTGATTTGGTGTTTTTTGTGATCTGGGGTTTTTATGGTGATTTGGAGGATATTTTTGTTGATTTTGGATGTGTTTTTTGGTGATTTTCGGGGTTTTTTTGTGATTTAGGTGGTTTTTGGTGATTTTGAGTGTTTTTTTCCTGATTTGGGGAGGTTTTTGTTGATTTTGGGTGTTTTTTTGGTGATTTGGGTTTTTTTTGTGATTTGGGTGTTTTTTTTGGTGATTTGGGGAGGTTATTTGGGTAGTTTCTTTGGTGATTTGGGGTTTTTTTGTTGATTTTGGGTGTGTTTTTGGAGATTTGGGGAGGTTTTTTGTGATCTGGGCTTTTTTTGGTGATTTGGAGGATTTTTTTTTTGTGATTTGGGGTGTTTTTCGGAGGTTTTTGTTGATTTTGGGTGGTTTTTTTGGTGATTTGGGTGTTTTTTGGTGATTTTGGGTGTGTTTTTGCTGATTTGGGGTTTTTTGGGTGATTTTGGGTGTGTTTTTGCTGAATTGGGGTTGTTTTTTGGTGATTTGGGTGTTTTTTGTTTATTTTGGATGTGTTTTTGCTGATTTGGGGAGGTTTTTTGGTGATTTTGGAAGTTTTTTTTGTGATCTGGGTTTTTTTTTTGGTGATTTGGGGATGTTTTTGTTGATTTTGGGTGTTTTTTTGGTGATTTGGGGGTTTTTTTTTGGTGATTTTGGGAGTTTTTTTGGTGATTTGGGGTTTTTTTTTGCTGATTTGGGGAGGTTTTTGTTGATTTTGGCGGTTTTTTGGTGATCTGGGGAGGTTTTTGTTAATTTTTGGCATTTTTTGGTGATTTGGGGAGGTTTTTTTGTGATCTGGGTTTTTTTTGGTGATTTGGAGGATTTTTTTTGGCATTTTGGGTGTTTTTTGGTGAAATAGGTTTTTTGCTGATTTGGGGAGGTTTTTGTTGATTTGGGATGTTTTTTTGGTGATTTGGTGTTTTTTGTGATCTGTTTTTTTTTTGGTGATTTGGAGGATGTTTTTGGTGATTTTGGGTGTGTTTTTTGGTGATTTTCGGTGGTTTTTTTGTGATTTAGGTGTTTTTTGGTGATTTTGAGTGTTTTTTTTTGCTGATTTTGGGGAGGTTTTTGTTGATTTTGGGTGTTTTTTTGGTGATTTGAGGAGTATTTTTTGTGATCTGGGTTTTTTTTGCTGATTTGGAGGATTTTTTTGTGTGATTTTGGGTGTGTTTTGCTGATTTGGGGAGGTTTTCGGTGATTTGGGTGTGTTTTTGGTGATTTTGGGTGTGTTTTTGATGATTTGGGGCTTTTTTGGTGATTTGGGGAGATTTTTCGTGATTTTGGGTGTGTTTTTGCTGATTTGGGGTGGTTCTTTGTGATCTGGGGGTTTTTTGTGATTTTGGGGTTTTTTTGTGATTTTGGGTGTGTTTTTGCTGATTTGGGGTTTTTTTTGGTTATTTGGGGTTGGTTTTTTTTGGTGTTTTGGGTGTTTTTTAGTGATTTGGGGAGGTTCTTTGGGTGGTTTTTTTTGTGATGTGGGGGTTTTTTTGGGTGATTTTGGGTGTTTTTTTGCTGATTTGGGGAGGGTTTTTTGAGATCTGAGTTTTTTTGGTGATTTGGAGGATTTTTTTGGTGATTTTGGGTGTGTTTTTGGTGATTTTAGGTGGTTTTTTTTGGAGATTTGGGGTTTTTTTTGGTGATTTGGGGAGGTTATTTGGGGGTTTTTTTTGTGATCTGGGGATTTTTTAGTGATTTTGGGTGGTTTTTTTGGTGATTTGGGGAGGTTTTTTTGTGATCTGGGTTTTTTTTTGGTGATTTGGAGGATTTTTTTGGCATTTTGGGTGTGTTTTTGCTGATTTGGGTTTTTTTTTTGCTGATTTGGGGAGATTTTTGTTGATTTTGGGCGTTTTTTTTGTGATTTGGGGAGGGTTTTTTGTGATCTGGGAATTTTGGTGATTTTGGGTGTGTTTTTGCTGATTTGGGTGTTTTTTTTTGGTGATTTGGGTGTTTTTTGGTCATTTGGGGAGGTTTTTATTGATTTTGGGTGGTTATTTTTGTGATTTGGGGAGTTTTATGTGATCTGTTTTTTTTTGGTAATTTTAGGTGTGTTTTGGTGATTTGGGGAGGTTTTTGGTGATTTGGGGAGGTTTTTTGTGTTCTGGGGTTTTTTGTTGATTTGGAGGATTTTTTTGGTGATTTTGGGTGTGTTTTTGCTGATTTGTTTTTTTTTTTTAATTTTGGGCATTTTTTGGTGATTTGGGTGTTTTTGGTGATTTGGAGAGGTTATTTGGGGTTTTTTTTGTGATCTGGGATTTTTTTGATGATTTTTGGGTGTGTTTTTGCTGATTTGGGGTTTTTTTGGTGATTTGGGTGTTTTTTGCTGTTTTAGGAGGTTATTTGGGTGGTTTTTTGTGATCTGGCATTTTTTTGGTGATTTGAGGAGGTTTTTGGTGATTTTGGGTGTGTTTTTGGTGATTTGGGGAGGTTTTTGGTGATTTGGGTTTTTTTTTTGTGATTTTGGGCGTTTTTTGGGGATTTTGGGTGGTTTATTGGTGAATTGGGGAGTTTTTTGTTATCTGGGGTTTTTGGTGATTTTGGGTGGGTTTTTGCTGATTTGGGGAGTTTTTTGTGATCTGGGTTTTTTTTGGTGATTTGGGGAGGTTTTTGTTGATTTTGGGTGGTTTTTTGGTGATTTGTGGAGATTTTTTGTGATCTGGGTTTTTTTTCCTGATTTGGAGAATTTTTTTGGTGATTTGGGGAGGTTTTTGTTGATTTGGGGCGTTTTTTTTGGTGATTTGGGTGGTTTTTTGGTGATTTGGGTGTTTTTTGTGATCTGGGATTTTTTTGGTGAAATTGGCTGTGGTTTTGCTGATTTGGTTTTTTTTTTTTGGTGATTTGGGTGTTTTTTTTGGTGATTTTGGGTGGTTTTTTGTGATTCGAGGAGGTTATTGGGGAGGTTTTTGGTGATTTGGGGTGTATTTTTTGGTTATTTGGTTGTTTTTTGGTGATTTGGGGAGGTTATTTGGGAGGTTTTTTTGTGGTCTGGGTTTATTGGTGATTTTGGGTGTGTTTTTGGTGATCTGGGTGGTTTTTGGTGATTTTGGGAGTTTTTTTTGGTGATTTGGGGCGTTTTTTGTTGATTTTGGGTGTGTTTTTGGTGATTTTGGGAGTTTTTTTGGTGATTTGGGGCGTTTTTTGGCATTTTGGGTGTGTTTTTGGTGATTTGAGGAGGATTTTTTGTGATTGGGTTTTTTTTGTGATTTGGAGGATTTTTTTGTGTGATTTTGGGGGTGTTTTTGGTGATTTTGGGTGTTTTCTTGGTGATTTGGGGAGGTTATTTGGGTGGTTTTTTGTGATCTGGGGATTTTTGGTGATTTTGGGTGCTTTTTTGCTGATTTGGGGAGGTTTTTGTTGATTTTGGGTGTTTTTTGGTGATTTGGGATTTTTTTAGTGATTTTGGGTGTTTTTTGGTGATTTTGGGTGTTTTTTGCTGATTTTGTTTTTTATTTTGTTGATTTGGGGAGGCTTTTTTGGTGATTTTGGGAGGTTATTTGGGTGGGTTTTTTGGTGATTTGGGTGGTTTTTTGTGATTTTGGGTATGTTTTTGCTAATTTGGGGAGGTTTTTGGTGATTTGGGGTGTTTTTTTGCTGATTTGGGATTTTTTTGCTGATTTTGGGTGTGTTTTTGGTGATTTTGGGTGGTTTTTTTGGTGCTTTGGGGAGTTTTTTTTGTGATCTGGGGTTTTCGTGGTGATTTTGGGTGTGTTTTTGTTGATTTTGGGTGCATTTTTTGTGATTTGGGTGTTTTTTGGTGATCTGGGGTTTTTTTTGGTGATTTGGGTGTTTTTTGGTGATTTGGGGTGGTTACTTGGGTGGGTTTTTTGTGATCTGGAGTGGTTTTGGTGATTTGAAGAGTTTTTGTGGTGATTTTGGGTGTGTTTGTGCTGATTTGGGGAGGTTTTGTTGATTTTAGGTGTTTTTTTTTGGTGATTTGGAGAGTTTTTTTGTGATCTGGGTTTTTTTTGGTGATTTGGGTGTGTTTTTGCTGATTCGGGGAGGTTTTTGTTGATTTGGGGTTTTTTTTGGTGATTTGGGGAGGATTTTGGTGATTTGGGGTCATATTTTGGTGAATTGGGGAGTTTTTTGTGATCTGGGTTTTTTTGGTGATTTGGGGAAATTTTTTTGGTGATTTGGGGAAATTTTTTTGGTGATTTGGGGAAATTTTTTTGGTGATTTGGGGAAATTTTTTTGGTGATTTGGGTGTTTTCTGCTTATTTGGGGAGGTTTTTGTTGATTTGGGGAAGTTTTTGGTGATTTTGGGCGGGTTTTTTGTGATTTTGGGTGTGTTTTTGGTAATTTGGGGTATTTTTTTGTGATCTGGGTTTTTTTGGTGATTTTGGGAGGTTTTTGATGATTTGGGGAGGTTTTTTGGTGATTTGGGCATTTTTTGGTGATTTGGGGAGGTTTTTTGGTGATTTGGGCATTTTTTGGTGATTTGGGGTGTTTTTTTGGTGATTTGGGGAGCTTTTTGTGATTTGGGATTTTTTGGGTGATTTTGGGTGTGTTTTTTTGGTGATTTGGGGAGTTTTTTGGTGGTTTTTGGCGGTTTTCGGCGATTTTTTTTTTTATTATTTGGTATTTTTTCATGAGTTTGGATGGGTTTATTTAATTTGTGGCAGGTTTTTGGTGATTTGGGGAGTTTTTTTGGGTGGTTTTTTTGTGATTTGGGGAGTTTTTTGTGATCTGGGTGTTTTTTGTTATTTTGGGTGTGTTTTTTCTGATTTGAGGAGGTTTTTTGGTGGTTTTCGGTGGTTTTCAGTGATTTGGATTTTTTTTATTATTTGGGTTGTTTTTTGATGACTTTGGGTGTTTTCTTTTTTAATTTGCGGCAGGTTTTTGGTGATTTGGCTGTTTTTTGGTTATTTGGGGAGGTTATTTTGTGATTTGGGGTTTTTTGTGATTTTGGGAAGTTTTTCGTGATTTTGGGGTTTTTTTTGTTATTTGGGTGATTTTTTGGGGATTTGTAGAGGCTTTTTGGTGATTTTGGGTGTTTTTTGGTGATTTCGGGAGGTTCTTTTGTGATCTGGGGTTTTTTTGTGATTTTGGGTGTGTTTTTGCTGATTTGGGTTTTTTTTGGTGATTTGGGTGTTTTCTGCTGATCTGGGGTTTTTTTGGTGATTTTGGGTGTTTTTTTGGTGATTTGGGTGTTTTTTGGTGATTTGGAGGATTTTTTTGGTGATTTGGGGATTTTTTTTGTGATTTGGCGAGGTTTTTTGTGATTTGGGTGTTTTTTTAATGATTTTGTCACTTTTATGTTGATTTTTTTGTTTATTTTGGGTGTTTTTTTGATTATTTGAGTGGATTGTTGATATTGGGTGGGTTTTTTTGGTGATTTGGGGAGGTTTTTGGTGATTTTGGTGTTTCTTGGTGATTTGGGGAGGTTTTTGGCGATTTTTTTTGTTTTTTGTTATTTGGTGGATTTTTTTGGTGATTTGGGGAGTTTTTTTGTGATTTGGGTGGTTTTGAAATGATTTTGTCACTTTTTTGTTGATTTTTTGTTTATTTTGGGTGATTTTTGATGATTTAAAGAGTTCCTTGAAGATTTTGAGTGGGTTTTTGGTGATTTGATTTTTTTGTGAATTTGGGAGTTTTTTTGGATGATTTTGGGAGTTTTTTTTAAATTTGTGTGTCTTTTGATGATTTGGAGTTTTTTGTGTGATTTTATTGGTTGTTTTGGTGATTTGGGGAGGTTTTTGATGATTTGGGGAGGTTTTTGATGATTTGGGTGTTTTTTTGATGATTTGAGTGAATTTTTGTTGATATTGGGTGATTTTTTGTGATTTGGGGAGGTTTTTTATGATTTGGGGAGGTTTTTTGTGAAATTGGGTGTTTTTTGGTGATTTGGGGTGGGTTTTTTGGGGTGATTTGGTTTTTTTTTGGTGGTTTGGGATTTTTTTTTATGGTTTTGGGAGTTTTTTTGGTGATTTGGGGAAGTTTTTGGTGATTTGGGGTTTTTTGTGATTTTGGGTGTTTTTGTGATTTTGGGAAGTTTTTTGTGATTTTGGGTTTTTTTTGTTATTTGGGTGTTTTTTGGGGATCTGTGGAGGTTTTTTTGGGATTTTGGATGTTCTTTGGTGATTCGGGGAGGTATTTCTTGATTTTGGGCGTTTTTGATGATTTTGGGTGTTTTTTGGTGATTTTGGGTTTTTTTTTCTGATTTTGGGAAGTTTTTCGTGATTTTGGGTTTTTTTGGTTATTTGGGTGATTTTTTGGGGATTTGTGGAGGTTTTTTTGGATTTTGGGTGTATTTTTGTGATTTGGGGAGGTATTTCATGATTTTGGATGTTTTTTGGTGATTTTGGGTGTTTTTTGGTGATTCGGAGGGGGTTTGGTGGTTTGGGGAGATTTTTTTGGTGATTTGGGTGTTTTTTTGTGATTTTAGGAGTTTTTTTGGTATTTTGGGGAGTTTTTTGTGATTTTGGTGGGTTTTTTGTTATTTGGTGGATTTTTTGGTGATTTGGTGAGTTTTTGGGTGAATTTGGGTGATTTTTTTGTGATTGGGGCGGTGTTGGTGATTTCGGGAAATTTTTTGCTGATTTTGGTAGTTTTTTGTTGATTTTGGGTGGCTTTTGATTATTTTGGGTGGTTTTTTAATTATTTTAGGTGGTTTTTTGTGATTTGGGGTGTTTTTTGGGTGATTTTGGGTGTTTTTTGTGATTTTTGTAGGGTTTTTTGGTGATGTTGGGTGTTTTTTATTTCTTTTGGGTTTTTTTGATGATTTGAGTGGTTTTTTATAATTTTGGGTGTTTTTTGTGATTTGGGGAGGGTTTTTTATGATATGGGGAGTTTTTCTGGTGAGTTTGGGTTTTTTGGTGATTTCGGGAGGTTTTTCTTGATTTGGGGAGGTTTTTTGTGATTTCTGTGTTTTTTTGGATGATTTTGTGAGTATTTTTATGATTTTGGTTACTTTTTTGATGATTTTTGGTGTTTTTTATGATTTGGGGTTTTTTTTTGATGATTTTGGGTGTTTTTTTGATTTTAATTGTTTTTTGATGATTTTGGGTGGGTTTTTGGTGATTTTGGGTGGGTTTTGTGATGATTTGGGGAGGTTTTTGGTGATTTGGGAGTTTTTTTGTGATTTAGGTGTTTTTTTGATGATTTGGAGTGGGGTTTTTGGTGATTTTGTTGGTGTTTTGGTGATTCTGGGTATTTTTTGTGAATTGGGGAAGTTTTTGATGATTTTGTGCATTTTTAAATTATTTTGTGCGATTTTTTGTTGATTTAGGTAGTTTTTTTGATGATTTTGTCTGTTTTTTTTGATGATTTTTGGTGGGGTTTTTTGAGGATTTTAGGTGTTTTTTGATGATTTGGGGTGGTTTTTTTATGATTTTGGGTGTTTTTTGATGATTTTGGCTGGTTTTTTGCTGACTTTGGGAGGTTTTTTGCTGGCTTTGGGGTGTTTTTTTAATGATTTGGATTGATTTTTGATGATTTTGGTTGTTTTTGATAATTTTAGGGGTTTTTATGATTTTGGGTGTTTTTTAATGATTTTGGTTAGTTTTTTTGATGATTTTGGGTGGGGTTTTTTGATGATTTCGGGTGTTTTTTGATGATTTTGGCTGTTTTTTTGCTGATTTGGGGAGGTTTTTTGATGATTTTGGTTGTTTTTTATGATTTTGTCTAGTTTTTTGATGATTTAGTGTCTTTTTTACAATTATTGTTATTTTTGTGACGATTTTGGTTGTTTTTTGATAATTTTGTGCACTTTTTGGACGATTTTGTGTAGTTTTTTTTACAATTTTTGTTATTTTCTCGCCGAATTTTGCTGTTTTTTGACGATTTAGTGCCTTTTTAACAATTTTCCTTATTTTTTTACAATTTCATGCTGGTTTTTTTGCCGCTTTTCCCTTTTTTACCGATTTTGTGTTTTCCATCCCAGGCTGAAGACGGCGGTGTCGGCGCGTTACGGGCTGCGGGCGCAGCCGCGCCGGGTGGATCTGATCGCCGCCGCGCCGCCGCCGCTCCGGAACCTTCTGCTGCCCAAACTCAGAGCCAAGCCCGTCCGCACCGCCAGCGGGGTCGGAACAACGGGAATTCCCAAAAATACGGGGTCTGGGAGATGGGGTTTGGGATTTGGGATTTGGGATTTGGGATTTGGGATTTGGGATTTGGGTCATTCCAACCCAAAATAGCCCCTGAGGGGATTTGGGATTTGGGATTTGAGGTCATTCCAACCCAAAATAGCCCCTGACACGATTTGGGATTTGGGATTTCGGGTCATTCCAACCCTAAATAGCCCCTGAGGGGATTTGGGATTTGGGATTTGGTAATTGGGATTTGGGATTTGAGGTCATTCCAACCCAAAATAGCCCCTGAGGGGATTGGGATTGGGGATTTGGGATTTGGGATTTGGGATTTGGGATTTGGGATTTGGGTCATTCCAACCCAAAATAGCCCCTGAGGGGATTTGGGATTTGGGATTTGAGGTCATTCCAACCCAAAATAGCCCCTGACACGATTTGGGATTTGGGATTTCGGGTCATTCCAACCCTAAATAGCCCCTGAGGGGATTTGGGATTTGGGATTTGGTAATTGGGATTTGGGATTTGAGGTCATTCCAACCCAAAATAGCCCCTGAGGGGATTGGGATTGGGGATTTGGGATTTGGGATTTGGGATTTGGGATTTGGGATTTGGGATTTGGGAATTGAGGTCGTTCCAACCCAAAATAGCCCCTGAGGGGATTTGGGATTGGGGATTTGGGATTTGGGATTTGGGATTTGGGATTTGGGGTCATTCCAACCCAAAATAGCCCCTGAGGGGATTTGGGATTTGGGATTTGGGATTTGGGATTTGGGATTTGGGATTTGGGATTTGGGATTGGGGATTGGGGATTTGGGGTCATTCCCACCCAAAATAGCCCCTGAGGGGATTTGGGGTTTGGGATTTGGGATTGGGGATTTGGGATTTGGGATTTGGGATTTGGGATTTGGGATTTGGGATTTGGGGTCATTCCAACCCAAAATAGCCCCTGAGGGGAATTTGGGATTTGGGATTTGGGATTTGGGATTTGAGATTTGAGGTCATTCCAACCCAAAATAGCCCCTGAGGGGATTTGGGATTTGGGATTTGGGATTTGGGATTTGGGATTTGGGATTTGGGGTCATTCCAACCCAAAATAGCCCCTGAGGGGATTTGGGATTTGGGATTTGGGATTTGGGTCGTTCCAACCCAAAATACCCCCTGAGGGGATTTGGGATTTGGGATTTCAGGTCGTTCCAACCCAAAATACCCCCTGAGGGGATTTGGGATTTGGGGTCATTCCCACCCAAAATAGCCCCTGAGGGGATTTGGGATTGGGGATTTGGGATTTGGGATTTGAGGTCATTCCCACCCAAAATAGCCCCTGAGGGGGTTTGGGATTTGGGATTTGGGATTTGGGATTTGGGATTTGGGATTTGAGGTCATTCCAACCCAAAATAGCCCCTGAGGGGATTTGGGATTTGGGAATTGGGATTTGGGGTCATTCCAACCCAAAATAGCCCCTGAGGGAATTTGGGATTTGGGATTTGAGGTCACTCCAACCCAAAATAGCCCCTGAGGGGATTTGGGATTTGGGATTTGGGATTTGGGATTTGAGGTCATTCCCACCCAAAATAGCCCCTGAGGGGATTTGGGATTTGGGATTTGGGATTTGGGATTTGAGGTCATTCCCACCCAAAATAGCCCCTGACGGGATTTGGGATTTGGGATTTGGGATTTGAGGTCATTCCAACCCAAAATATTCCCTGAGGGGATTTGGGATTTGGGGTCATTCACACCCAAAATACCCCCTGAGGGGATTTGGGATTTGGGATTTGGGATTTGAGGTCATTCCAACCCAAAATAGTCCCTGAGGGGATTTGGGATTTGGGATTTGGGGTTTGGGGTCATTTCAACCCAAAATAGCCCCTGAGGGGATTTGGGATTTGGGATTTGGGATTTGGGATTTGAGGTCATTCCAACCCAAAATATCCCCTGAGGGGATTTGGGATTGGGGATTGGGGATTTGGGATTTGGGATTTTGGATTTGAGGTCATTCCAACCCAAAATAGCCCCTGAGGGGATTTGGGATTGGGGATTGGGGATTTGGGATTTGGGATTTGGGATTTGGGGTCATTCACACCCAAAATACTCCCTGAGGGGATTTGGGATTTGGGATTTCAGGTCATTCCAACCCAAAATAGCCCCTGAGGGGATTTGGGGTTTGGGATTTGGGATTTGGGGTCATTCCCACCCAAAATAGCCCCTGAGGGGATTTGGGATTGGGGATTGGGGATTTGGGATTTGGGATTTGGGATTTGGGGTCATTCACACCCAAAATAGCCCCTGAGGGGATTTGGGATTTGGGATTTGGGGTCATTCCCACCCAAAATAGCCCCTGAGGGGATTTGGGATTTGGGATTTGGGATTTGGGATTTGGGATTTGGGATTTGAGGTCATTCCCACCCAAAATACCCCGGAGGGGATTTGGGATTTGGGATTTGAGGTCATTCCAACCCAAAATATCCCCTGAGGCTCCCTGAGGGGATTTGGGATTTGGGATTTGGTATTTGAGGTCATTCCAACCCAAAATATCCCCTGAGGGGATTTGGGATTTGGGGTCATTCCAACCCAAAATAGCCCCTGAGGGGATTTGGGATTTGGGATTTGGGATTTGGGATTTGAGGTCATTCCCACCCAAAATAGCCCCTGAGAGGATTTGGGATTTGGGATTTGGGGTCATTCCCACCCAAAACAGCCCCTGAGGGGATTTGGGATTTGGGATTTGGGATTTGGGATTTGGGATTTGGGATTTGGGATCATTCCAACCCAAAATAGCCCCTGAGGGGATTTGGGATTTGGGATTTGAGGTTTGGGGTCATTTCAACCCAAAATCCCTGAGCTAATTCCACCAATTTCCCTGGAATTTTGGGAATCCCTGAGCAAATTCCACCAGTTACCCTGGAATTTTGGGAATTGCTGATCTAATTCCACAAAATTTCCCTGGAATTTTGGGAATCCCTGAGCTAATTCCTGCAATTTCCCCAGAATTTGGGGAATTCCTGAGCTAATCCCTCAAATTTCCCTGGAATTTTGGGAATTCCTGAGCTAATTACACCAATTTTCCCCGGAATTTTAGGAATCCCTGAGCTAATCCCACCATTTTCCCTGGAATTTTGGGAATTCCTGAGCTAATCCCAACCAATTCCCCTGGAATTTTGGGAATCCCTGAGCTAATTCCTGCAATTCCACTGGAATTTTGGGAATCCCCGATCTAATTCCACCAATTTTCGCTGGAATTTTGGGGATTCTCGAGCTAATTCCACAATTTTACCAGGAATTTTGGGAATCCCTGAGCTAATTGATCCAATTTCCCTGGAATTTTGGGAATTCCCGATCTAATTCCACCAATTCTCCTGGAATTTTGGGAATTCCTGAGCTAATTCCTGCAATTTCCCTGGAATTTTGGGAATCCTGAGCCAATTCCTGCAATTTCCCTGAAATTTTGGGAATTCCTGATCTAATTCCTGCAATTTTCCCAGAATTTTGGGAATTCCTGTGCTAATTCCTGCAATTTCGCTGGAATTTTGGGAATTCCTGAGCTAACTCCACCAATTTCTCTGGAATTTTGGGAATCCACAAATTTTCTTTGGAATTTTGGGAATTCCTGAGCTAATTCCGCCATTTTCCCTGGAATTTTGGGAATCCCTGGGCTAATTCTTCCAATTCCTCTGGAATTTTGGGAATTCCTGAGCTAATTCCACCAATTTCCCTGGAATTTTGGGAAATCCCGTGCTAATTCCACCAATTTCCCTGGAATTTTGGGAATTCCTGACCTAATTCCACAAATTTTCCCCAGAATTTTGGGAATCCACAAATTTTCTTTGGAATTTTTGGAATTCCCGAGCTAATTCCACCAATTTCCATGGAATTTTGGGAAATCCTGAGCTAATTCCACAATTTTCCCTGGAATTTTGGGGATTCTTTGAATTTCCCTGGAATTTTACGGATTCCTGAGCTAATTCCACAAATTTTCTTTGGAATTTTGGGAATTCCTAAGCTAATCCCAACCAATTTCCCTGGAATTTTGGGAATTCTGAGCCAATTCCTCCAATTTCCCTGGAATTTTGGGAATTCCCGAGCTAATTCCTGCTAATTTCCCTGGAATTTTGGGAATTCCCAAGCTAATCCCAACCAATTTCCCTGGAATTTTTGGAATTCCTGAGCTAATTTCACCAATTTCCCTGGAATTTTTGGAATCCACAAATTTTCTTTGGAATTTTGGGAATTCTGAGGCAATTCTTGCAATTTCCCTGGAATTTTGGGAATTCCCGTGCTAATTCCTGCGATTTCCCTGTAATTTTGGGAATCCCAGAGCTAATTGATCCAATTTCCCTGGAATTTTGGGAATCCCTGAGCTAATTCCACAAATTTCCCCGGAATTTTGGGAATTCCCGAGCCAATTCCTGCAATTATCCCCCGGAATTTTGGGAATTCCGGAGCTAATTCCACAAATTTCCCCAGAATTTTGGAAATTCCCGAGCCAATTCCTGCAATTTCCCTGGAATTTTGGGAATTCCTGAGCCAATTCCTGCAATTTCCCTGGAATTTTGGGAATCCCCGAGCTAATTCCACCAATTTCCCTGGAATTTTTGGAATCCACAAATTTCCTTGGAATTTTGGGAATTCCTGAGCTAATCCCACCAATTTCCCCCGGAATTTTGGGAATCCCTGAGCTAATCCCACCAATTTCCCCCGGAATTTTGGGAATCCCTGAGATAATTCCACCAATTTCTTTGGAATTTTGGGATTCCTGAGCTAATTGATCCAATTTCTCCAGAATTTTGGGGATTCTGAGCCAATTCCTGCAATTTCCCCGGAATTTTGGGAATTCCTGTGCTAATTCCACTAATTTCCCAGGAATTTTGGCAATCCACAAATTTTCTTTGGAATTTTGGGAATTCCTGAGCTAATTCCACCAATTTTCCCCGGAATTTTGGAATCCACAAATTCACTTTGGAATTTTGGGAATTCCCGAACTAATCCCAACCAATTTCCCGTAATTTTGGGAATTCCCGATCTAATCCCAACCAGTTTTCCCCGGAATTTTGGGAATTCCCGATCTAATTCCCTATTTTCTGAGGAATTTTGGGAATTCCCGATCTAATTCCCGATTTCCCCCGGAATGTTGGGAATTCCCGGTCTAGTTCCTGCTAATTTCCCCAGTATTTTGGGAATTCCCGATCTAATTCCTGATTTTCCCTGGAATGTTGGGAATTCCCGATCTAATTCCCGATTTCCCCCGGAATGTTGGGAATTCCCGATCTAATTCCCGATTTTCCCTGGAATTTTGGGAATTCCCGATCTAATTCCCGATTTCCCCTGGAATTTTGGGAATTCCCGCACTAATTCCCGATTTTTCCCGGCAGGTGGCCGTGGTGGCCGTGATGTGCAAACCCCACCGCTGCCCCCACATCAACTTCACCGGCAACATCTGCGTGTGAGTACCGGTGTGAAAATAAATCCCATATTTCACCCCAAAATTCCATTTATTCCTTCCTTTACATCCCAAAAAACTCGTTTTTTCCATCATTAACAGAATCCAATAATTAATATTTAATTGGGATGTGAGAGGGAATTTTTCCTGTCTGGAATCTCAAAAATTTAAATTAATCCTTCAATTAAAATCCCTAAATAATTTAATTTATTCTTCCCATTAAAATCCCCAAATAATTTAACTTATATCTTCCATTAAAATTTCCAAATAATTTAATTTATTTCTTCCATTAAAATCCCCCAAAGATTATTTCTTCCATTAAAATCCCCAAATAATTTAATTTATTCCTTCTTTTAGAATCTTCAAAAAATTTAATTTATTCCTTCCTTTAAAATCCCCAAATAATTTAAATTAATCCTTCAGTTATAATCCCCAAATAATTTAATTTATTCTTTCCATTAAAATCCCCAAATAATTTAACTTATTCCTTCCATTAAAATCTCCAAATAAATTAAATTAATCCTTCCTTTAAAATCCCCAAATAATTTAATTTATTCTTTCCATTAAAATCCTCCAAAAATTCATTTTTTCCATCATTAACAGAATCCAATAATTCATATTTAATTGGGATGTGACAGGGAACAGCCTCACCCGATTTTTGGCTGTTAACACTTCTTAAAATTTCATTTATTCCCTTTTATCTGCTGTGATAAATTTAAATTTTTATATTTCCAAATTATTTTCTTATTTTTTTCTGCAAAAACAGCAATTTGTGACTCAATTATTGAGATTATTTTTAACCAAAACTGGTAAAATTTGCCCCAGGGGAGATTGAAGGGCTGCAGAGGGAATTTTTCCTGTCTGGAATCTCAAAAATTTAAATTAATCCTTCCATTAAAATCCTCAAATAATTTAATTTATTCCTTCCATTAAAATTTCCAAATAATTTAATTTATTCCTTCCATTAAAATCCCCAAATAATTTACCTTATTCCTTCCATTAAAATCCCCAAATAATTTAATTTATTCCTTCAATTAAAATCGCCAAATAATTTAATTTATTCCTTCCTTTAAAATCCCCAAATAATTCAATTTTTTCCTTCTTTTAAAATCCCCAAATAATTTAATTTATTCCTTCCATTAAAATCCCCAAATAATTTAATTTATTCTTTCCATTAAAATCCCCAAATAATTTAATTTATTCCTTCCATTAAAATATCCAAATAATTTAATTTATTCTTTCTTTTAAAATTCCCAAATAATTTAATTTATTCCTTCCATTAAAACCCCCAAATAATTTAATTTATTCCTTCCATTAAAATCCCCAAATAATTTAATTTATTCCTTCTTTTAAAATCCCCAAATAATTTAACTTATTCCTTCCATTAAAATCCCCAAATAATTTAATTTATTCCTTCCATTAAAATCGCCAAATAATTTAACTTATTCCTTCCATTAAAATCCCCAAATAATTTAATTTATTCTTTATTTTAAAATCCCCAAATAATTTAACTTATTCCTTCTTTTAAAATCCCCAAATAATTTAATTTATTCCTTCCATTAAATCCCCAAAAATTCGTTTTTTCCATCATTAACAGAATCCAATAATTAATATTTAATTGGGATGTGACAGGGAACAGCCTCACCCCAATTTTGGGCTGTTCACACTTCTGGAATTTCATTTATTCCCTTTTATCTGCTGTGATAAATTTCAATTTTTATATTTCCAAATTATTTTCTTATTTTTTTCTGCAAAAACAGCAATTTGTGACTCAATTATTGAGATTATTTTTAACCAAAACTGGTAAAATTTGCCCCAGGGGAGGAATCTCAAAAATTTAAATTAATCCTTCAATTAAAATCCCCAAATAATTTAACTTATTCCTTCCATTAAAATCCCCAAATAATTTAATTTTTTCCTTCTATTAAAATACCCAAATAATTTAATTTATTCCTTCCATTAAGACCCCCAAATAATTTAACTTATTCCTTCCATTAAAATCTCCAAATAATTTAACTTATTCCTTCCTTTAAAATCCTCAAATAATTCAATTTATTTCTTCCATTAAAATCCCCAAATAATTAAACTTATTCCTTCTTTTAAAATCCCCAAATAATTTATTTCTTTTATTAAAATCCCCAAATAATTTATTTCTTTTATTAAAATCCCCAAATAATTTAATTTATTCCTTCTTTTAAAATCCCCAAATAATTTAACTTATTCCTTCCATTAAAATCCCAAAAATTCATTTTTTCCATCATTAACAGAACCCAATAATTAATATTTAATTGGGATGTGAGAGGGAACAGCCTCATCCCGATTTTTGGCTGTTAACACTTCTTAAAATTTCATTTATTCCCTTTTATCTGTAGGGATAAATTTAAATTTTTATATTTACAAACTATTTCCTTGCAGAAACAGCAATTTATGACTCAATTATTGAGATTATTTTTAACCAAAAATGGTAAAATTTGCCCCAGGGGAGGCTGAGGGGCTGCAGAGGGAATTTTTCCTGCCTGGAATATTGAAATTAAACTTATTTCTTCCTTTAAAATCCCTAAATAATTTAACTTATTCCTTCTTTTAAAATCCCCAAATAATTCAACTTATTCCTTTTATTAAAATCCCCAAAAAATTTAACTTAATGCTTTCATTAAAATCCACAAGTAATTTAATTTATTCCTTCCATTAAAATCGCCAAATAATTAAACTTATTCCTTCTATTAAAATCCCCAAATAATTCAATTTATTCCCTCCATTAAACCACCAAATAATTTAATTTATTTCTTCCATTAAAACCCCCAAATAATTTAACTTATTCCTTCCTTTGAAATCCCCAAATAATTTAATTTATTCCTTCCATTAAAATCCCCAAATAATTAAACTTAATCCTTCCATTAAATTCCCCAAATAATTTAATTTATTCCTTCCTTTAAAATCCCCAAATAATTTAACTTATTCCTTCCATTAAAATCCCCAAATAATTTAATTTATTCCTTCCATTAAAATTCCCAAAAAATTCATTTTTTCCATCATTAACAGAATCCAATAATTAATATTTAATTGGGATGTGACAGGGAACAGCCTCATCCCGATTTTTGGCTGTTCACACCTCTGAAATTTCATTTATTCCCGTTTATCTGCGGTGAAAAATTTAAATTTTTATATTTCCAAACTATTTCCTTGCAGAAACAGCAATTTATGACTCAATTATTGAGATTATTTTTAACCAAAAATGGTAAAATTTGCCCCAGGGAGGCTGAGGGGCTGCAGAGGGAATTATTCCTGTCTGGAATCTCAAAAATTTAAATTAATCCTTCAGTTAAAATCTCCAAACAATTAAACTTTTTCCTTCTTTTAAAATCCCCAAATAATTTAATTTATTCCTTCCATTAAAATCCCCAAATAATTTAACTTATTCCTTCTTTTAAAATCCCCAAATAATTTAATTTTTTCTTTCATTTAAAATCCCCAAATAATTTATTTCTTTTATTAAAATCCCCAAATAATTTAATTTATTCCGTCCATTAAAATCCCCAAATAATTTAATTATTCCTTCCTTTAAAATCCCCAAATAATTTAATTTATTCCTTCCATTAAAATCCCCAAATAATTTAAATTAATCCTTCAGTTATAATCCCCAAATAATTTAACTTATTCCTTCCATTAAAATCCTCAAATAATTTAATTTATTCCTTCCATTAAAATCCCCAAATAATTTAATTTTTTCCTTCTATTAAAATCCCCAAATAATTTAATTTATTCCTTCAATTAAAATCCCCAAATAATTTAATTTATTCCTTCCATTAAATCCCCAAAAATTCATTTTTTCCATCATTAACAGAACCCAATAATTAATATTTAATTGGGATGTGAGAGGGAACAGCCTCACCCCGATTTTTGGCTGTTAACACTTCTTAAAATTTCATTTATTCCCCTTTATCTGCTGTGATAAATTTAAATTTTTATATTTCCAAACTATTTCCTTGCAGAAATAGCAATTTATGACTCAATTATTGAGATTATTTTTAACCAAAAATGGTAAAATTTGCCCCAGGGGAGGCTGAGGAGCTGCAGAGGGAATTATTCCTGTCTGGAATCTTAAAATTAAATTTATTCCTTCCATTAAAATCCCCAAATAATTTAACTTATTCCTTCCATTAAAATCCCCAAAAAATTTAATTTATTCCTTCTTTTAAAATCCCCAAATAATTTAACTTATTCCTTCCATTAAAATCCCCAAAAAATTTAATTTATTCCTTCCATTAAAATCCGCAAATAATTTAATTTATTCCTTCTTTTAAAATCCCCAAATAATTTAATTTATTCCTTCCATTAAAATCCCCAAATAATTCAATTTATTCCTTCCATTAAAATCCCCAAATAATTTAATTTATTCCTTCCATTAAAATCCCCAAATAATTTAATTTATTTCTTCCTTTAAAATCCCCAAATAATTTAACTTGTTCCTTCAATTAAAATCCCCAAATAATTTAATTTATTCCTTCCATTAAAATCCCCCAAAAATTCATTTTTTCCATCATTAACAGAATCCAATAATTAATATTTAATTGGGATGTGAGAGGGAACAGCCTCATCCCGATTTTTGGCTGTTTACGCCTCTGGAATTTCATTTATTCCCTTTTATCTGTAGGGATAAATTTAAATTTTTATATTTTAAAGATATTTCCTTATTTTTTTATGGAGAAACAGAAATTTGTGACTCAATTATTGAGATTATTTTTAACCAAAGATGGTAAAATTTGCTGCAGAGGGAATTTTTCCTGTCTGGAATCTCAAAAATTTAAATTAATCCTTCAATTAAAATCCCCAAATAATTCAATTTTTATCTTCCATTAAAATCCTCAAATAATTTAACTTATTTCTTCCATTAAAATTTCCAAATAATTTCATTTATTCCTTCCATTAAAATCCCCAAATAATTAAATTTATTCCTTCCTTTAAAATCCCCAAATAATTTAATTTATTCCTTCCATTAAAATCCCCAAATAATTTAACTTATTCCTTCCTTTAAAATCCCCAAATAATTTAATTTATTCCTTCTTTTAAAATCCCCAAATAAATTAACTTATTCCTTCCATTAAAATCCCCAAATAATTTAACTTATTTCTTTTATTAAAATCCTGAAATAATTTAACTTATTCCTTCTTTTAAAATCCCCAAATAATTTAATTTATTCCTTCCATTAAAATCCCCAAATAATTTAACTTATTCCTTCTTTTAAAATCCCCAAATAATTTAATTTATTCCTTTTATTAAAATCCCTAAAAACTCATTTTTTCCTGTCATTGATGGAAACTTATAAATAATATATGTATATATATAAAATATATATATACATATAAAAAAATTAATATTTTAATGGGACATCCTCACCCAATTAATAATTAATTTTAGAATTAATTGTCGGTGAGCTGGTAGTGAGGAAATAAAGGAAAATTCCCTGGATTCCCTCATTTTCCTGTCTGAATTCAAATTTGGAATATTTTGTTTATTTCAAATAGCACATCCCTAAACTCAGGAAAAAAATACAGATTTTTTTATCATGAAAATGTTAAGATTCCTTCAATTTCTGGAAAAATTAGTGGGTGAAATCCAAATTTTTAAATAACACATCCCTAAATTCAGGAAAAAAAAAAACCTGATTTTTTTATCGTCAAAATGTTAAAATTCCTTAAATTTCTGGAATAATTAATGGGTGAAATCCCAATTTTCAAATAGCACATCCGTAAATTCAGGAAAAAAAAAATACAGATTTTTCACCATCAAAATGTTAAAATTCTTTAAATTTCTGGAAAAATTGGTGGGTGAAATCCAAATTTTTAAATAACACATCCCCAAATTCAGGAAAAAAAAGTTTTTTTACTATCAAAAATTTTAAATTCCATAAAATTCTGGAAAAATTGATGGGTGAAATCCAAATTTTCAAATAGCACATCCCTAAACTCAGGAAAAAAAAATTTAGATTTTTTTATCATGAAAATGTTAAAATTTCTTCAATTTCTGGAAAAATTGATGGGTGAAATCCAAATTTATAAATAACACATCCCTAGATTCAGGAAAAAAAAAATACAGATTTTTTTTATCATCAAAATGTTAAAATTCCCTAAATTTCTGGAAAAAAATCTGAAAAAATTCTGAAAAAATTCTGAAAAAAATTCTGAAAAAAAATTTATGAAAAAAAAATCCCAATTTCCCATGAGAATGTTAAAATTCCCTAAAATTTTGAAAAAAAAAATCTCAATTTTCCATTTATCCATGGCAAAAAAAAATCCGATTTTTCATGGAACAAGGTGATGCTCTTGAGAGAATTATGGAAAATTCAAATTTTTTGAAATTGTTTTTGTAAAAAATGTAAATTAATCTGCGTGGAATTTTCGGCCAAATATTTTATGGCTGCTCCTTAAAATAAATAAAAATCCCAGAAATATTTGGAGGGATTTTGTTTTCAGAAAATCTCACTGGGATTGTATCAGGTCTGAGATGGTTTAAAATTAATTAAAATGAATTAAAATTGAAATTAATTTGAATTAAACTTAAAATGAATTCAAATTATAATGAATTTAAATTAGAATGAATTAAAATTAAAATTAAAATTAAAATGAATTCAAATCAAAATGAATTAAAATGAAATTTAAAATGAATTAAAATTAAAATGAATATGAATTAAAATTTTAATGAAAATGAAATAAAATTAAAAATAAAATGAATTCAAATTAAAGTGAACTAAAATTAAATTGAAAATGAATTAAAATGAAAATTAAAATTAAAGTTAAAATTAATTTAAATTCAATTGAAATGAATTAAAATGAATATGAATTAAAATTTGAAAATCAATTAAAATGAAAGTGAATTAAAATTCGAAAATCAATTAAAATTAAAGTGAAATAAAATTAAAAATAAAATGAATTAAAATTAAAATTAATTAAAATGAATGAAAATGAAAATGAAAATGAAAATTAATTAAAATTAAAATGAATGGAAATTGAAATGAATGGAAATTAAAATGAAAATTAATTAAAATTTAAATGAAATAAAATTAATTTAAATTGAAATGAATTAAAATTAAAACGAATTAAAATTAAAATTAACTTACATCAAAATGAATTAAAATTAGAGTGAATGGGAATTAAAATTAAAATGAATTAAAATTAAAATTAAAATTAATTTAATTCCAATTTTCTGCATTTCCCTCAGGTACTGCCCGGGGGGGCCGGACTCTGATTTTGAATATTCCACCCAGTCCTACACAGGATATGAGGTACAAATTTCCAATTTTTCCTGTTTTTTTTTAATTATTCCAACTTTCCCTTAAACCTGACTCGAGTTTTTTTTGTTAAAAAAAATCCCAATTTTTAAAAATCAAATTAATTCCCTTTCAAAATTCTCTGAAATTAAATAAATTCCCTTTTATCTGCAGTGATAAATTGAATTTATTTCCTATTTTCTCCCTGTTTCTGGAGGAAATTTAACAGGAATTTGTGATTTGTTTTTACCAAAAAAATTCAAATTTTAAGGATGTGAAATAGGAAAATGAGGTAAAATTCAACTGGATAAATTTGGTGAAAATTCCTTTTAAATTGGAATTTTTTCCTTTTCTACCTCAAATCATTTAAATCTTGAAGGAAAATAGGAAAAAAAATGAAAAATCCCAAATAAATCCAGGGTACAAAAAATGCTTAAAAATCCCCTTAAAATATAATTAATGGGCTTCCGTTGATGGAAAAAATGAGATTTTTAGGGATTTAAATGGAGGGAATAAATTGAATTTTGGGAATATTTGAAGCCAGACTGAGTCTCAGTAATTTGTAAAAATATTTTGTTTTTTTGTAACTTTTTTGTGACTCACTGCTGATGTTTTTTTTTAATGAGAAAACACTAAAAGTTGAATTATTTGGGCGTTTTTAGGTCCTGTTACCATAAAATTTAATAAAAATTTTTAAATTATAATAATTAAATAAATAATAAGTTTTACATTTAAATTTATTTTTTAATTTTTTTTTAAAGAATAAGAGGAGCCACATTCCTATTTGCAATTTTACTTTTTAAAGCACAATTTTAAAACTTTTTAAAAATTAAAAATAAAAATGTATTTTGTGGATTTGAAATTCTCAGTGTGTTAAAAATTGGATTTTATTATTTTTAAGTGGGAAAAATGTTAATAAATTAAATTTTTGGTTTATTTTTTTTTACAATTTTTTTTTGTGGGTTTGGGTCCATCAGTTAAAAGTTGGATTTTATTATTTTGAAGTGGGAAAAAATGTTAATAAATTAAATTTTTGGATTTTTTTTTTTAAATTTTGTGGGTTTGGGACCAACATGATTTGAAATCCTCAGCGTGTTAAAAGTTGGATTTTGTTATTTTAAAGTGGGGAAAATGATAATAAATTGAATTTTGGGGTATTTTTTAGCCAACATCCATGAGGGCCATCCGAGCTCGCTACGATCCCTACCTCCAGACCAGGCACAGAGTGGAGCAGGTACTCCCCAAAAAACCCCAAAAAACCAAAAAAAACCCACCTAAAAACCCCCCAAAAAAAACCCCAAAACAGCAACAACAACAAAAAAAAAACCCCACCAAAAAAACCCCCCAAAAAAACCCCAAAAACAAAACTCCAAAAATACACCCCAAAAAACCCGACAGAAAAACCCCCAAAAGACACCCCAAAAAACCCCTGAAAAAAACCTAAAAACCCCAAAAAACAACAACAACAAAAAAAAACCCAAAAACCCCAAAAAACTCCCCCAAAAAAACAAAAAAAAACCCTCGAAAAAACCTGAAAAAACCCAAAAAAAACCCCCAAAAACCCCCAAAAACCCCCAAAAAACCATCCCAAAAAAACTCCAAAAAAAAAAGAAACCCAAAAAACCTAAAAAACCCCAAAAACCCCCCAAAAAACAAAAAATGAAAATTAAAAAAAAACCTGAAAAAAACCCCAAAAAACCTGAAAAAAAACCCCAAAAAACCTTCAAAAAACCCAAAAAAACCCAAAACAAAAACCCCAAAAAACTCCCCAAAAAACCCCAAAAAACAAAAAAAACCCAAAAAACCTCCCCAAAAGCCCCAAAAAACCAAGAAATAAAACTCGAAACAAACCTGAAAGAGACCCCAAAAAACCCCGCAAAAAAACAACAAAAAAAACCAAAAAACAAAAAAACTCCACAAAAAAACCCCTAAAAAAACATAAAAACCCAAAACCCCAAAACAACCCCAAAAAACAAAGAAAACCTCGAAAAAAGCCTGAAAAAAACCCCAAACCCCCCCAAAAAAACCCAAAAAACAAAAAAAAACCCCCAAAAACCCCAAGAAAACAAAAAAAAACCTTGAAAAAAACCTGAAAAAAACCCCCAAAAAAACCCAAAAAACTCAAAAAACCTCCAAAGAACTCCCCCCAAAAACCCCCTAAAAACCAAAAAAAACCCCCAAAACCCAACAAAAAACCCCAAAAAAACCCCCCAAAACCCCAAAACCCCCCCCAAAAAACCCTCCAAAACCCCCCAAAAAACCCAAAAAACCCCCAAAAAACCCCCAAAGAACCCCCAAAAAAACCAACAGAGCACTCCAAAAAAGCCCCAAAAAGCCAAAAAAAAACCCCAAAAAACCCCAAAAAACCAAAAAATAAAACTTGAAAAAAACCTGAAAAAGACCCCAAAAAACCAACAAAAAAAACCCCAAAACCCAAAAAAACAAACAAAAAACCGCCAAAAACCTCCCAAAAAACAAAAAAGAAACCCCAAAAAACCCCAAAAAACCCCAAAAAACCAAAGAAAAAACTCGGAAAAAAACTGAAAAAAATCCAAAAAACTCCCCAAAAAACCCCAAAAACACCCCAAAAAACTCCCCCCAAAAACCCCCCAAAACTCCCCACTGAATCCCACAGCTGCAGCAGCTGGGCCGCAGCGTGGCCAGGGTGGGGTTGGTGCTGATGGCGGCACCTTCACGGCGCTGCCGGAGGATTATCGGGAGTTCTTCATCCGCAGCTCCGGCCCCACACAGAAACCCCAAAAACACCCCAAAGAAACAAACAAACCCCAAAAAACTCCTCAAAAAAACCCCAAAAAACCCAACAAAAAAAACCAAAAAAAACCCCAAAAAAATCAACAAAAAACCCAAAAAATAAAAAAAAACCCTCCAAAAAAACCCCTAAAAAACCCCCAAAGAACCCCAAATAAACTCCCAAGAACCGCAAAAAAAGCTCCAAAAAAAACCCCAAAAAACCAACTAAAAAACTCCTAAAAACTCCTAAAAACCCCAAAAAACAAACTCGAAAAAAATCTGAAAAAACCAAAAAAAAACCCCAGAAAACTCCCCAATAAACCAACAAAAAAACTCGAAAAAAAACCTGAAAAAAACCGCAAAAAATCCCCAAAAAACCCGAGAAAGCCCCAAAAAAACCCCAAGAACCCCAAAAAACTCCTCCAAAAAATCCCCAAAAAACCCCCCAAAAAAAACCTCAAAAAAACCCCAAAAACCTCAATAAACAAAAAAAAAAACCCAAGAAAACCCAAAAAAACCAAAGAAAAAACCCGCCAAAAACCCCAAAAAAACCCCAAAACCCCCAAAACTCCCTAAAAAAACCCAAAACTCCCCAATTATTTCCACAGCTGCAGCAGCTGGGCCACAGCGTGGACAAGGTGGAATTTGTGCTGATGGGCGGCACCTTCATGGCGCTGCCGGAGGATTATCGGGAGTTCTTCATCCGCAGCCTGCACGACGCGCTCTCGGGTCACAGCTGCGGCCCCACAAAGGAACCCCAAAAACACCCCAAAGGAACAACAAACCCCCAAAAAACTCCTCAAAAAAAACCCAAAAAACTCTCCTAAAAACTCCCAAAACAACTTCCCAAAAATCTCCAAAAACCCCCCCCAAAAAACCCCAAAAAACCCCCAAAACCCCCCCAAAAAACCAAAAAAAAACCCAAAAAACGCCCCCAAAAAACTCCCCAAAAAAACTCCAAAAAACCAAAAATCTCCCCAAAAATACTCCCCAAAGAAACAAAAAAGCCCAAAAAACTCCAACAAAAAACCCCCAAAAACAAAAAAAAATCAAAAAAAACCCTGAAAAAAACACAAAAAAACCCCAAAACCCCCCCAAAAAAACCCAAAAAAGACCCCAAAACCCCCCAAAAAACCTCAAAAAAACCCCCAAAAAAACTCGAAAAAACCTAAAAAAAAACCCCCAAAAAACCCCAAAACCCCCAAAAAACTAAAAAAAAACACCCCAAAAAAGCCCCCAAATAAACCCAAAAAAAACCCAAAAAACCCCATAAACCCCCCAAAAAACCCCAAAAAAACCCCAAAACTCCCCAATGCATCCCACCGCTGCAGCAGCCGGGCCGCAGCGTGGCCAGGGTGGGGTTGGTGCTGATGGGCGGCACCTTCACGGCGCTGCCGGAGGATTATCGGGAGTTCTTCATCCTCAGCTCCGGCCCCACACAGAAACCCCAAAAACACACCAAAGGAACAAACAAACCCCAAAAACTCCTCAAAAAAACACCCCAAAAAACTGCCCCAAAAAACCCTAAAAAACCCCCAAAAAAAACCCCCAAAAAAACCCCCAAAAAATCAACAAAAAACCCAAAAAACCAAAAAAAAACCTCCAAAAAAACCCCTAAAAAACCCCCAAAGAACCCCAAATAAACTCCCAAGAACCGCAAAAAAAGCTCCAAAAAAACACCAAAAAACCAACTAAAAAACTCCTAAAAACTCCTAAAAACCCCAAAAAACAAACTCGAAAAAAATCTGAAAAAAACACCAAAAAACCCCCAAAAAAACAACAAAAAACTCGAAAAAAACCTGAAAAAAACTCAAAAAAAAAACCCCAAACCCCCCCCCAAAAAACCCTAAAAAAACCCCCAAAGAACCCCAAATAAACTCCCAAAGAACCGCAAAAAAAGCTCCAAAAAAAAAACCAAAAAAACAACAAAAAAACTCCTAAAAACCCCAAAAAACAAAAAAAAAACCCCGAAAAAAACCTGAAAAAGCACCAAAAAACCCCTCCAAAAACTCCCCAAAAAACCCCAAAAAACCAACAAAAAACTCGAAAAAAACCTGAAAAAACCCCGAAAAAACCCCAAAAAACCTGAAAAAGCCCCCCAAAAAAACCCAAAGAACCCCAAAAAACTCCCCCCAAAAAAACCAAAAAACCAACAAAAAAACTCGAAAAAAACCTGAAAAAAACCCCGAAAAAACCCCAAAAAACCTGAAAAAGCCCCCAAAAAAACCCCAAAGAACCCCAAAAAACTCCCCCCAAAAAAACCAAAAAACCAACAAAAAAACTCAAAAAAAACCTGAAAAAAACCCCAAAAAAACCTCAAAAAACCCGAGAAAGCCCCAAAAAAACCCCCAAAAAAACCCCAAGAACCCCAAAAAACTCCTCAAAAAAATCCTTAAAAAACCCCCCAAAAACCCCCAAAAACCTCAAAAAATAAAAAAAAAAACCCAAGAAAACAAAAAAAAAACCGAAGAAAAAACTCGAAAAAAACCCAAAAAACTCCCAAAAAACTCCAAAAAAACCCAAAAAAAACCCCAAAACCCCCCACAGCCTCCCGCAGCTGCAGCAGCTGGGCCACAGCGTGGACAAGGTGGAATTTGTGCTGATGGGCGGCACCTTCATGGCGCTGCCGGAGGATTATCGGCAGTTCTTCATCCGCAGCCTGCACGACGCGCTCTCGGGTCACACCTCCGGCCCCACAAAGGAACCCCAAAAACACCCCAAAGAAACAAACAAACCCCAAAAAACCCCAAAAAACACCCCAAAAAACACCCAAAAAACCACCAAAAAAAACCCCCAAAACCAAAAAAAAATCGAAAAAAACCTGAAAAAAAACCCCAAAAAACCCCCAAAACCCCCAAAAACCTCCCAAAAAACCCCCAAAAAACAAAAAAAAACCACCCAAGAAACCTCTACAAAAAACCCCAAAAAACCCCCCCAAAATAAAACCAAAAAACCCCAAAAACCAAAAAAAACCCTCAAAAAAACCCTAAAAAACCCCAAAAAAACTCCAAAAACCCCCAAAAAACAAAAAAACCCAAAAAATTCCCCAAAAAACAAACAGAAAAACTCGAAAAAACCCTAAAACCCCCAAAATAACCCTAAAAAAACCCCCAAAATAACCCTAAAAAAAACCCCAAAAAAACCCCAAAACCCCCAAAACTCCCTAAAAAAGCCCAAAACTCCCCAATTATTTCCCCAGCTGCAGCAGCTGGGCCACAGCGTGGACAAGGTGGAATTTGTGCTGATGGGCGGCACCTTCATGGCGCTGCCGGAGGATTATCGGGAGTTCTTCATCCGCAGCCTGCACGACGCGCTCTCGGGTCACAGCTGCGGCCCCACAAAGGAACCCCAAAAACACCCCAAAAAAACAAAAAAACCCCAAAAAACACCCACAAAAAACACCCCAAAAATCCAAAAAACAAAAAAAACCCAACAAAAAAACCCCAAAAAACCAACAAAAAACCCCCCCAAAAAACCCCCAAAGAACCCCAAAAAAACCCCAAGAACCCCAAATACTCCTCAAAAAAATCCCCAAAAAACCCCTCAAAAAAACCCCAAAAACCTCAAAAAAAAAACCCCAAAAAAACCCCAAAAAAACCTCTAAAAATCCCCAATGAATCCCACAGCTGCAGCAGCTGGGCCACAGCGTGGACAAGGTGGAATTTGTGCTGATGGGCGGCACCTTCATGGCGCTGCCGGAGGATTATCGGGAGTTCTTCATCCGCAGCCTGCACGACGCGCTCTCGGGTCACACCTCCGCCACCGTGGCCGAGGCCATCAGGTGAGTCCCTTTTCCCTTCCCAGCCCTTTTTCCACGGAAAATCCCATTCCCGGGCAGCCAAAAGTCGGAGTTTTAAGTCTTGGTTCGGTTTTGGGGCGATTGGGGTTTCAGGTCGTTCGTTGGAAGAGCGGAGAAGGTAAATTTTGGGGTTTTTCCTGATTTTTTTGGTGGTGTGGGTGGGTTTGTTGTGGGTGATTTGGAGTTGTCAGGATTTATTATTTATTTTTTTATTTTTTATTCATTTATTCTTTATTCATTTCTTCTGGATTTATTTCTTCTTGATTTATTTGTTCTTGATTAATTTCTTCTTATGCATTTCTTCTTGATTAATTTCTTCCTGATTAATTTCTTCTTGATTTGTTTCTTCTTGATTAATTTCTTCTTGATTCATTTCTTCTTCATTCATTTCTTCTTCATTTATTTCTTCATTTATTTTTTCTTCATTTATTTCTTCATTTACTCTTTAATTATTTCTTCTTCATTTATTTATTCTATATTCATTTATTCTTATTTTAGAACCATAATCTCCACTAAAAGTGATTTTAGAACCATAATCTCCAACAGGAGTGATTTTAGAACCATAATCTGCAGTAAAAGTGATTTTAGAACCATAATCTGCTGTAAAAATTATTTTACAAACATAATCTGCAGTAGAAGTGATTTTAGAGCCATAATCTCTAGTAAAAGTGATTTTATAAGCACAATCTCCAGTAAAAGTGATTTTAGAGCCATAATCTGCAGTAAAAGTTATTTTAGAACCATAATCTCCATCAGAAATTATTTTTGAACCATAATCTCCAACAGGAGTGATTTTAGAACCATAATCTCCAGTAATAGTGATTTTAGACCCATAATTTCTGGCAGAAGTGATTTTAGAACCATAATCTACATCAGAAATAATTTTAGAACCATAATCTCCACTAGAAGTGATTTTAGAACCATAATCTGCAGTAAAAGTGATTTTAGAACCATAATATCCAGTAATAGTGATTTTAGAGCCATAATCTGCAGTAAAAGTGATTTTAGAGCCATAATCTCCAATAATAGTGATTTTAGAACCATAATCTGCAGTAAAAGTGAATTTATAATCATAATCTCCAGCAGAAGTGGTTTTAGAGCCATAATCTGCAGGAAAAGTGATTTTATAATCATAATCCCCAACAGGAGTGATTTCAGAACCATAATCTCCAATAAAAGTGATTTTATAATCATAATCTCCAGAAAAAGTGATTTTAGAGCCATAATCTGCAGTAGAAGTGATTTTAGAAACATAATCTCCACTAGAAGTGATTTTAGAACCATAATCTCCAGAAAAAGTGATTTTAGAACCCTAATCTGCAGTAAAAGTGATTTTAGAACCATAATTTCCAGCAGAAGTGATTTTAGAACCACAATCTGTTGCGTCGGGGTTCCCTCTCACCACTGGGCAGTGCGGGAAGGGGAGGGGGCGGCCGGTCAACAGAAAAGTACAAATTAATTACAATCACAATAAAACAAATTAATATACAAAGGGTATAAAATTGACATAAATTCTGAATTTGGGGTAAAACACTCAGCAGGATTCATAGTTTGATCTGATTTTCACCTTCATGGAATTTGTATAACAGAGTTAAGGCAGCGAGCGGCGACATGGCGTGTCTGATTTTATTCTTTATTTCCGGAGTGGGCACAATACCGTGGGTATAAACTAAATAGGATGATAATTCTTTCTATAAAATGTAAATTGACAAATAGATTATTAAATAAAAGGGAACATTGGGTAGGGTGCGTTAAGGAATGGGATTGGGGAATCGGATAATCGCTTGATTAGTGACTGTCATGATTTGTGGGAGTCCAGAGCTTCCCTCTGGCTGCCCTGGAAGGTCTCAGGGGGTCAGAACCCCCCTGGACAGAGCCCCCAGAGACACTGGCTGTGATCTCTGCCCATGGAAAAGAGTTTTCAATCTTACAGGATGAATTACAAGCTCTGAGTGTTTGATAAGAGTAATAATTAAGTGTGGCACGGGTGCAAAAGTAAAATTTTAAGTTTCTAGATTAGGGGTCCAAAGGGGACAAGATGGAGGAAATGGGTGTGTCTTGTCCTTTTCCTCCTTCTTCATGCCCTCCATGTTTCACTGTGGTGTTGGCATTTTTATATTTTATATTTTATATTTATAAATACTTTATATTTACAGTAACATCGGCATGTTATTGTAAATCCAGCACAGGTAGTTTGTGGTGTATAATGTTTGTAACATCCCACTGAGGGGTGTTACATTGGTGTGTTATTGTAAATATAGCACAGGTAGTTTGTGGTATATAATATTTGTAACATTATATACCAGAAACTGAGGACTGGGTTTAGGCTGGGGACACACTGTTCAACGTAGGTGACAGATATTGGCACGTTATTGTAATATATTAAATATATTTAAATATATGTAAATATATATATTTAAATACATATATATTAAATATATTGTAAATATAGCACAGGTAGTTTCTGGTATTTAATGTTTGTAACATCCCACTGAGGGCAGAGCCCCACACGCTGCCCTGCAGGACAGAGCTGCGGCAGGGCAGCAGAACATGTTAGAGATAAACAGAATAAACAACCTTAAAAACCAACAGAAACAATTTATAACTTCTGCTTTGGCAGTGGGGCTGACAGACAGAGACTTTCTACAATCTCGGAATCATCAATACCACAGATTCCGACAATGATTGATAAGGGGAATCGGTAAAGGTTGGACCAGGGTGCCGCCATCTTGGGGGGAAAACAAAATGGCGGGTTTGCGGTCCGGGGTTTCAGCCCCACCTTCCCTCAAAGGAGACCCCCAAGAAGGGGGTGATCTCCCAAAAAGGAAGATCCTCTGATGGGAGATCCTCAACAGCGACCCGTCCCACCAGAGGAGGAGCCAGAAGAAGGATTAGGGAACATCCAACCCCGCCTCCCAAAAACCGGGACCAGCCTCGCGGCCATTTTGATTGTCGGGGCCCTTGAGGAGAGGGTGGGGCTGGCGGGAAACCAGGGGCGGAAAATGGGTTCCAAGTGGCGTGGCCAGCGCCATCTTGGAAGGGAATATAGGGAAAAATTTAGGAAAATCTGAGGGGAAGAGGGTCTGGGGAGCTTCACAGAAGCAAAAGTGGGAATTTACTGGAGAGGACCCCAACGCAGCTGGATGTCGACGCAATGCGTGGGTGTAACGGGGCTCTTGTTGAGATTTTATCAACCCTCCATAGTGGACATCCCACCTCTTCTGTTTCTGTCCCATTTGTGTCTTTTCTACCCCCTCCATCCAGCCCAGATTGGGGAGGAAAGGATAGAGAAGACGACTTTTCGAGGGGAAGAAAAAGCAATTTAATATGGGTCCCCATAAAAGATGAGGTGAGGAGTACCTGGAACCTCCAGAAATGAAAAACCCAAATGCAAGAACACAGCTCCCGTCTGAACACGGGCGAGGGTTAAAACACAAAAATAAAAATGGGGTGGTGGGATGGACCCCACCCCATTTTAGCCCCCCTTACCCTCCGGGGCCCTGGTGGAGATGACTTGATTCTTCTCCTCCACTTGGTGGAAAAGTCACACCCAACTGGGGACGTTCCTCCTCGGTTTGGCTCTTCCAGAGGTTTGGGTGTTCCCAGGACCTGCAGTTTCCCAAAACTCGTCCCTGGAGCTTTGGGCTCGGCCACAATCGGCCTCTGGTGGTTTCGTTATGGTGCTGAATTTATTTTTCGCTCGGTGTTCCGCGTGCCCCAAGACCTTTTGGGGTGGGCGGATGTTTTATACGAGAATTTATGAGGAGGGATATAGGAACAATAATCAATAGGGGAATAACGAGAGGAGTTTGGGGTAGGATTAACATTTTAAATAAACAGGGATTGTTCTGAAAAAAGAGGCAGGGGAAGAAGGATTCACATTTTGGAGAAAAGGGGGTTAGGAGTGAGAGGAGGGGGGTGTGAGCAGATGCTGAAAGAATAAAAAACACGCTCCCGCAATAATCTACAGCAGAAATTATTTTAGAACCGTAATCTGCAGTAAAAGTGATTTTAGAACCATAATCCCCAACAGGAGTGATTTCAGAACCATAATCTGCAGTAAAAGTGATTTTAGAACCATAATCTCCAGCAGGAGTGATTTCATAATCATAATCGCCAGTAAAAGTGATTTTAGAACCATAATCTGCAGTAAAAGTGATTTTAGAAACATAGACTCCAGTAAAAGTGATTTTATAATCATAATCGCCAATAAAAGTGATTTTAGTACCGTAATCTCCAACTGGAGTGATTTTAGAACCATAATCTACAGCAGAAATTATTTTAGAACCATAATCTCCACTAATAGTGATTTTAGTACCGTAATCTGGAGTAAAAGTGATTTTAGTGCCATAATCTTTAGTAAAAGTGATTTTAGAACCATAATATCCACTAAAAGTGATTTCAGAACCATAATTTCCACTAAAAGTGATTTTAGAAAAATAATCTCCAGCAGGAGTGATTTCATAATCATAATCTCCAGTAAAAGTGATTTTAGAGCCATAATCTCCAGCAGGAGAGATTTCAGAACCATAATCTGCAGTAAAAGTGATTTTATAATCATAATCTCCAGAAAAAGTGATTTTAAAGCCATAATCTGCAGTAAAAGTGATTTTAGAACCATAATCTGCAGTAGAAGTGGTTTTAGAGACATAATCTGCAGTAAAAGTGATTTATAGAACCATAATCTGCAGTAAAAGTGATTTTAGAACCATAAACTGCAGTAAAAGTGATTTCAGAATCATAATCTCCAGCAGAAATAATTTTATAATCATAATCCACAGCAGAAGTGATTTTAGAACCATAATCTACATCAGAAATAATTTTAGAACCATAATCTGCAGTACAAGTGATTTTAGTACCATAATCTCCAGCAGGAGTGATTTTAGTACCATAATCTCCAACAAAATTGATTTTAGAACCATAATCTACAGCAGAAGTGATTTTAGAACCATAATCTCCACTAAAATTGTTTTTAGACCCAT